GGCGGCGGCGGCGGCGGCGGGTCGGACGCGAGATGAGGGCGCGCTCTCACCGGATCGCGCGGCGGGCCGGCTTTCGCGTCTGATCCTGCCGCGCCCTGCCGGCTCGTCTCCGGCGGCGGAGGCGCCAGGGCCGGCTCGAGCGCGCCCGGTGACGTCGCACCGCAGCTTAGCGCCGCCGCCGACGCTGCCGGGCCCGGCGCAGTGGCGCTCCGACTGGGCCGGGGGCGGGGCGCCGCGCCGGCTGGCGGCTCGACCCGCGCACCACTCGTGCGCCGCCGGCGGCGCGGCTGGCCGCGTTTTCTCTGCTCGGCTGCACCCGAGCGGCGGCCGCAGTGACGGAGGGGCGCGCGCCAGGTGCTTGGACCGACGCGCGGCCAGCGCGACGCGATGGGACTGCGCGACAGGCCGCCGGCCGTCGTCGAACACCAGCCACCGGGTCACAGCCCGCAGGTGAGCACCCGGTCGCTCCGATAGCCACGAAAGCCTCAAGAGCTTTGGCAGGTAAACCCCCGTGCAATTTGGTTAGTGTGACGAGGGACCTGATCTCTACGAGAGTTCGCGTCACTACCCCTCGTACCAACAGCGAGCGGTCATCGAAACACGGCTGGTGGTGAGTACCCGACGCACATTCCCGTCGTAAGGGGGCAGACATGCTGGACCGAAGTTATGACACCCCAGTGGTATAACTTAAGCTTCCTCACAACCGCGTCTGACGTTTTCGCCGGGCCCACGCGAGGCCAATGCCACTATTTCCGCAGCATGTCACCTTCAGTGGTATTCCTTACACCGTACCGCTGGAGGATAGGTTTCTGGAGGCGATTGACCGCTGACACAAAACATTGGGACATCCGTCCGGTTTTACGGCATGTGTGATTTCGTCGTCTTCCGAGGCCACTGAACTAAAGCGGTGTTCAAAACTGTGCGCGAGACACGTATTTGCTTGTTTAACAACGCAGCATAAAACGAGAGAACCAAGTTCAGATCGCACCGGTTGGCACTGTCTTGTGTGATTATTGCAGCGATCTCCGCGACCTGACAGCGCAACCGAGCGGTTTTCAACAAGCAAAAATTATGCCATTGTTCTCCAGTAATATGTTCAAGGTATTTGAATTCGTCCTTTTTCAATCGGACCAGTATTCGTTAAAGCACCGACTTATCCCTCAAGGTTCTCATTCTCCACTCAGTTAGTGTACATTTGCGAAAAAAAGCCTAAGAACACGAGTCGAAACCAGGGATTCTCGTCTCGATGGCCCACGGTCCGCACCGGCACCGGATCAGCACCGTTTGACCAATGATGGAACACACAACCGTCCTAACAAAGGGGCGGCCCTAAAAGCGCAACCGGTCAGGCGCGCCCGAGCGCAATCCATGGATCCCCCGTCTGCGGGAGAATTTCAGACTAGGCGTCAGACATCTCCAGCCGGGAGGTCTGACATCATACCATACCGGGAGATATGACATAATTCCCTACCGGGAGGTATGACATTCGTTCCACACCTGAGCAAACACGTCAAACTAAATGCGTGGTAAATGCGTAGGTCTGCGATGGTCTGACATCATACCATACCGGGAGATATGACATAATTCCCTACCGGGAGGTATGACATTCGTTCCATACCTGAGCAAGCACGTCAAACTAAATGCGTGGTAAATGCGTAGGTCTGCGATGGTCTGACATACCATACCGGGAGATATGACATATTCCCTACCGGGAGGTATGACATTCGTTCCATACCTGAGCAAGCACGTCAAACTAAATGCGTAGGCAATGTGCCGCCCACACATGGCTGAACTGATCTGGGCATGTCACACATCATATGGCAGTGAGTCCGCTATCTTGACGCACAGATGCGCCAGTAAAGCCCCTCCGCCGTGACCGGGAGACCACCAATCTTACCTGGTACAAACGGGTCTCAGGCATAACGTGCTGTGGTACAAACCGAGGTCGATCGCGTCATGGAAGACTAAACATGCGCGCAGTACAGTGGCACTGTGGACGCATTCTGATGCATAATTCCAGCTAACTAAATGCCCACGAAAGGCATGCACGAACCGCGAAGGACATAAAACGAAACCTTCGACTTCGGCCCCCGCTGCGAGCAACACCTGGGTAGCCCTCGGCAAGCAGCAGTCGAGCTGATGATGCAGTCGAGTCCAACAAGGGATAGCGTTTCTCAATAACGAGTCAAGCACACGTAGGCGTGGAACTGTTGGCGGAGGGGATCACAGTCCCCCCCCCCCTCCCTCCCCCTACGTGTCCTGAAAGCCTAGCATTAACTCTACGGTGCGTATGGAGTGAGCCAACTTCCAAACGGGTGGTTCTCCCGATTTTTCGGATGTTCCTACGCCTTTGTCAGCGCGCCTCACTGACGTATACTGACAGTGGTGCACCCCATAGCCACCTGTTGCCTTTGCAGCATTAGTCCAGCGTCACAAATCACCGGATTGCTTCGCCATCTGTGCCGCCTCGTGCAGTCAACTACATACCGCTAAGCAAAACAGATATTACGGACATTTACAATGTAAGTACAATTTATGGCATGGCGGTTCCTTGAAGCCTTTGTTCAATCTCCTGTTCAATGCGACAGCTGCCAAAAGACCGTATGAGTAGCACATCACAAGAAAATGCATGCCTTTCTCCAGCCACGCCTTCTGTCCACCTCGCGAAGGGAGGGGGGGGGGGGGGCTCTTGGACACATAAGGCAATCCCAGCCCGGACACCACGCCTCTGAGCCGCCCATCTGGACGGCTTGTATCCGGGCCACCCTAATCCAGCGGCCACGGGACGCACCTAGTTCCACGGGCAGCATTCACCGACCATATACAGCGAGCACAGACGAACATGCACCGACGCCCGCAGCGCGGCTGTGCCGACGCGTCGGGCGCGCCGGTCGTCTCCGAGTCACCTGCGTCCTTCTCCGCTCCTCCGCGCACGCCGCGCTGGCGGGCGTCGTCGGCACGCCGCGACAGGGGCGTCGCCAGGATCAGACGCGGAGGCGCGGCCGATCACCCGCCGAGTTCAGTGACATCGAAAGGCCAAAGCGGCGAAACATTGACATCGGGGTAGAAATGCAAGCGATCGTGGGACATGCTCCCCTGGTATCCCATTGGCCACGCCACTGCTCCGTGTATTCTTCGGTGCAGACTGAGCCGCAGTCGGCGGTGGAAGACCTCACAATCCTCACTGCATGTGCAAACCTCAGTTAATTCACCAGCAATGGCGACCAGTTCCCTGACATGGAGGCAGAGGTTAGGGAACATATCATGAATATGAGGAGTGCCATAACAAATACTCAGGTTAATCATTTCCATGTGTTGCCTACAGCTAATGTTCGGCATTTTCAAAAAGTGGAGTGTCATGGCATCTGAACCCAACCCATCCCCTCCCCATTCCTATACATATGTCTCAAGGTGTGCAATTGCCACCATGACTGGAGCCCCTGGAGTAAATTTTTGCCTGGATTACTACCAATGTGTTCAGCCCTAGCAACCTGTCAGCACTCAAGTTTACTGCCTTCTCCCCAAGAAGTGCCAAATGATGGACCTTGAACATCCAGGAACTGTTAGTAATGTTAGTGTTGTTACAATGATGCCCCATGCTAGTGACAAATAATAAACTATCCCACAATGCACAGTTTTCCTTCTTTCTCTCCACATAATGTGACTCAACCATACAGTGAGCTGTCAGAGACTGGACATGCTGCTCACCAATCTCAAAGGGAGCTATTTATATGCATTCCTGACATGAGCCTGGGCATGTGATCACATGCAGTACATGGACCTACAGTCAAAGCTCATAAGTTACTGAAGTTTCTTACAAGCCATCAACTGAGAGGGTACAGTTAGAGGCTCAATGTGACTCCTTATCAATGAAGAAGGCAAAGTCGTACTCTGCAGACAACCAGGGCCAGCAAGCTCCTTGCATGTAAGCATCTATGGCAAAGCCACAGGGATCAAATATCACTGATAACACACTGGTCACAAGAAAACAGACATTTTCTTAGACAGGGAGAAAGACAGCCAATTCTACAATGTTGAACAGTTTTAAACAACTCCCATTCAATAACTTTTAATCTAGCTTACAAGTTAAACAGAGCAATTTTTAGCCCTGCTCATTATGAGCATAATGCCCAATGTTTGACAGCCTGCAAGTGATGCAGACTGAACTCCCAATCACAAGTGAGCACATTACTAAATGCTTTAAACCAAATGTCCACCACATAGGCATAATTTCACAAAATGAGTTGTGAAGGTGCTGAAGGGCAAAAACAAAATGGCTCAACCTACCCTCAAAATATGTCAACAAATAGTTTTCTCCCTGGATTTGCCCTAACTTTTACTCAAAGTTGAGGGAAGGCAGGTGGAGCCCACATTGGAGAGAAGGGACTGAAGCTCCGCCCCTCCCCAAATTGAATGGGAAACTACACCCCCAGTTAACTAAGCATATTTCCTAGATAAAACTGTAGCCATTTCTCAAAGTTCAGTGGTTACCTTGTAAAAGCTAATGCAACTTGATGTTGTCAAATACTCTGAATGAACAATTCACACCACATCAAACTGGAACAAAACCATTGCATTCATTCTAGGCCACACCCATATGTAACATCACATATGGAGGGTGAAACTTTTAGACTTAGGCATGACAGTAACAAGAGGAGAAGGGATTGGACAGATTAAAGTCATGGCCAGGTGTGGCTGCATAGCAAATTGAAGTTTTGTGTTATCAATGTCCTAACAGGAAGACAAGGCAGAGGGAGAGAGACAGGAGTGAGAGAAAGAGAAAGAAAGATAGATAGATAGATAGATAGATGAGATGAGAGATGAGAGATGAGAGATGAGAGATGAGAGATGAGAGATGAGAGATGAGAGATGAGAGATGAGAGATGAGAGATGAGAGATGAGAGATGAGAGATGAGAGATGAGAGAGAGAGAGAGAGAGAGAGAGAGAGAGAGAGAGAGAGAGAGAGAGAGAGAGAGAGAGAGAGAGAGAGAGAGAGAGAGAGAGAGAGAGAGCATGCTGACCAGTGGAGAGGTTAGTCTCCAACAATTACTACACCACTTGTATACACAAAGATGTGTAGCCACATAGGGACTGAAGCCATTTCAGTGTGCCCTCACCATACCCTATACACTCCGACAAAATTGGCACAGCATTCCTGTTTCACTCATGAATACCATAAGTTCTGCACAAATATAAGGATGCAACGACCCTCCCAGCCCAGCTTAAGTACCATACCTGGCATACCCGTTTGAAGAATAACATCCAGCGTACACCAGACATGACGTACCAATCATTTCTGTTCGGTAAAAACGTTGATTAACACAGATACCTAGTCACAGCTGTTCCCACCACAATCACACTTACCAGTATCCGGTCCTCAGCCATCACATTTCAACATGAACTCCTGCTGTGCTTAGTAAACAGAATGTAGGGAAGCCATAAAAATGTGCGCCTTAAATGGAGTAAGCGCGTAGCAAACGTCATATATTGATCAAGTGCTCCAATCTGGCTATCAAAGTTTTAACAGGTTCTACATTGACGTCACGACCCTGCTATCAGCTGGCCAACAAAACACATTAATGACTTTTGTAGGCACTTTTCCATCTAAAGACTCTTCTTATCAAGCTTTCAACATTATGGTCATCAAAGTTCTTAAAATAAAGTCTTTTAATTACATTTCTATAAAGTAGAAAATGAGCTGTGACGTCGTATTGTTATGATTTGGTAGCAAATCCTAAGCTACCATATTTTTGGTGCTCAGGTCACGAGAACCATCTTTCCAAGCTGGTTTGCAATCGTAGGATCAGAGGGATCGAAACGAAAACAAATAGGAGCAGATAGGATTCGAGGCGGGCGTCCGCCCCCCTCTTCGAGGCGAGGTTGTTTGTGGTTCCGTTGTAGTGCTGCATGCAAATTGGTGGAAGTAATAACCACCAATGTCGCCGACCTATTTTCGAAGTTTGTTGCACAGCTCGCAATGTGATGGACCTGAAGTGGGCATCTTTGCTGCAGCTTTCGGAGCAGTGGGTGCATCATACCCGATTGATTAGTTTCCATATCCGCAGATATAAGGCCTAGGCACTCAGAGGTAGGTATCGCATGTGGGTGAAGGCAGAGGCGTAGAAGCCAGCAAACTGTAAAGAAGCCAGCAAACTGTAAAAGATCCTGTAAACTGTAAAACTGAAAGACATATTAGTTCAGTTGGTTTCTTTGACAGATTTCGTCTTTAGATGAGGCTGGTTATAGAACATACAGTTGGCTCATTGTTGTTGCACAATAGGTCATGTATTCTTGTAACTCCTAGTATCTGTGCACCACTTGATATGTGAAACCCAGCTATGAAACAGAGGAACCAGTCACTGGTAAAGTGTTCCTTATATTGTTGCATGTGGTGAAGCCTAGAAAATGTTTAAGGTTAATCATCAATACATGCTCAAACTATAGTTAACTATTGACATGAATTGTTTGTGGAATCATTATAATTAAGGTCTAACTTGATATAATTTGTGTTTGGCTTAGCGGTCATCCCATAAAACCCATGGAGGCTTCACCACACACAAAACGCATACCATGCATGGCTTGGAAAAATGGTTGTTTCATGCCTTCCTTTTGCTTTACAGGTGCAATGGCAGCAGAGGTACTTCTAATCACAGCAAATGTTGGATCCATCTTTGAAGATGTAAGGCTTCAGTGTTTTGTGTAACATGATACCTGTGTGTTATGTGATACCTATGGATGTCTTGAAAAAGTTCAAGCCACACAAGACATGCATAAACAGATCCTGAAAAGATAAAATTAGGTTGTATATCATGAGAAACAAAGCTGTTCAAGCTAGATAAGCTCTACAGTTGATGTAATATTATGAAATGACAATGATGCAACACTGTTTTGCTTGGCATCTTAGATAGCACCTATTGTAGATGATAACACTTTTTGCCATTTAGAATAGAGTTCAAGTTGTAGATTTTATTTAAGTCACATACTTTCTGATGTTCAAAATAATTTTGCTGTAACCATGTGTTCAGTTGACTGCACCATTTTGTGTCCTTGAATATTATGGTTCTTATATCATGTTCTTTAAGGCAAGTTAAGCTTGCATCCCTCCAGATAAACAGGTCTGTTTAAGGCCATATTTTGCAATTCATTATTAGGTTGTCAGGCTACTGTGTTTTTACACTGTGTTTGTACACAGTTTTTATGTTTTATTTCACCTAAGCATGCAAAACATTGTCTGTTCTCTTATGAATGATGCTGCTGAAGCATTTCTAAACTTACCTTTGTTTTGAATGGTATGACATGTTCTAACTCCTTTTTCAGCCTGAAAACATGCTTAAGATATGGATGGAAGAATTTTTAAAGGTGAGTGTAAATGATGTTAAGATAATTTCTTAATGATAAGGCTTTCTAGGGTGCTGATAGCATAATTGTCAGTATGTCAGTTTTGCTTGTTAGTATGTTATCATGATATGTCAGTTTTGATATTACTCTTATTTGGTTATGTATTCTTATTCTGATTAAGGATATTGCCTTTTTGAAAATTAAGAATGAAAGTAAGTGTACAGCATATGTTGCAGACAGGACAACATTGCATGGCCATTATGTTTAGCTTTATTGCTCCAGCTGGTCTTGACATGCCAAGGGTTTTGGCTCACTGTGTTTCCCCATCTCAGCTGATCCGGGATCAAAAGCCAGAATTTGTTGCCCTGCACTGCCAGGAAGTTGGTGGAAAGAATTATGAAACAAGCATGCAACATGTCAGCAAATTTGTCAGGTACAGTGCCTAGAACATAGTCTCTGAATGAAGGAAACCTAAGGTTACCAACTGACAGCAGGTCCCACTATTCATAGTTGTTGTACCCTGGTGTTGTTTCATGTCATTGGTGGTCATAAGGTTATCAACTGACAGCAGGTCCCACTATCCATAGTTGTTGTACCATGGTGTTATTTCATTGCCCTTATGGTAGCAATTTGGTGTGTGTTGTGCAAGCATGTCAAGACAAGTTAAGTGTTCTCCACATTGGGCAAACGGAATGCCGCATGTTTGGCGGACTTTAGTTGTTATCCCTCAGTGTCATTTCGCTGCTCTTATGGTGGAGATTTGGTGCATATCTGAGAAGCATGCCAAGATCTATACGTGGCGGATTGTGAGACGTGTGCGGCGCGCGCTCGGCTGGCAGGGACGTGCTGGCCAGCCCGGAGATCGACGGCCAGTTCGACCGGGCCGTCATCCTGCTGGACGAGGACTTTAACCGGGCGGCCAGCTTCACGGCGCTGGGCAACCTGTACCTGGTCAGCCGCCGACTGCAGGCCGTCCGGCTCTGGGACTGGCGCGGTGAGCTGCGGGCCACGGCGGCCGCCGAGCGGAGCCTCAGCCCGCTGCCGGGGTCTGTCTCTGGACGCCGGGACCGTAGGGCCGGCGGGGTCGGTAAGCGCTGGCCACAGCGGCCGCCGAGCGGAGCCTCAGCCCGCTGCCGGGGCCTGTCTCTGGACGCCGGGACCCGTAGGGCCGTGCGGGGTCGGTAAGCCGCTGGCCACAGTGGCTGCCGAGCGGAGCCTCAGCCCGCTGCCGGGCCTGTCTATGGACGCCGGGACCGTAGGGCCGTGCGGGTCGGTGGCCAGCACGGTTACAGGCGCTGCGGCGTTTGGTACGCTCCACGGACCGGCAACGACATGAGTCTCCTGGCGGTGGGGCGCCGACCTTTATACGGTACTGCGTGCCCAGACGCAAGGCTTATTCAAAGCAGCGCTCTATCTGACCTGTAAAACAGCTTTAAAGAGAAGTAAACTTCTTTTTTCTGGCTGGCCCAAGAAATTTTGGCGTTATTCCCGGCTTCCGCGCCGGTTTCAGATTGGTAGCTATATGACCACCTCAGTCGGTGCGCCCGAAAACCCCAGGTCGGTAAGCCGCTGGCCACAGCGGCCGCCGAGCAGAGCCTCAGCCCGCTGCCGGGGTCTGTCCCTGGATGCCGGGACCGTAGGGCCGTGCGGGGTCGCTAAGCCGCTGGCCACAGCGGCCGCCGAGCGGAGCCTCAGCCCGCTGCCGGGGTCTGTCCCTGGACGCCGGGACCGTAGGGCCGTGCGGGGTCGGTAAGCCGCTGGCCACAGAGGCCGCCGAGCGGAGCCTCAGCCCGCTGCCGGGGTCTGTCTCTGGACGCCGGGACCGTAGGGCCGTGCGGGGTCGGTAAGCCGCTGGCCACAGCGGCCACCGAGCGGAGCCTCAGCCCGCTGCCGGGGTCTGTCTCTGGACGCCGGGACCGTAGGACCGTGCGGGGTCGGTAAGCCGCTGGCCACAGCGGCTGCCGAGCGGAGCCTCAGCCCGCTGCCGGGGTCTGTCTCTGGACGCCGGGACCGTAGAGCCGTGCGGGGTCGGTAAGCCGCTGGCCACAGCGGCCGCCGAGCGGAGCCTCAGCCCGCTGCCGGGGTCTGTCTCTGGACGCCGGGACCGTAGGGCCGTGCGGGGTCGGTGAGCTGCGGGCCACGGCGGCCGCCGAGCGGAGCCTCAGCCCGCTACCGGGGCCTGTCTCTGGACGCCGGGACCGTAGGGCCGTGCGGGGTCGGTAAGCCGCTGGCCACAGCGGCTGCCGAGCGGAGCCTCAGCCCGCTGCCGGGGCCTGTCTCTGGACGCCGGGACCGTAGGGCCGTGCGGGGTCGGTAAGCCGCTGGCCACAGTGGCTGCCGAGCGGAGCCTCAGCCCGCTGCCGGGGCCTGTCTCTGGACGCCGGGACCGTAGGGCCGTGCGGGGTCGGTGGCCAGCACGGTTACAGGCGCTGCGGCGTTTGGTTCGCTCCACGGACCGGCACGACATGCGTCTCCTGGCGGTGGGGCGCCGACCTTTATACGGTACTGCGTGCCCAGACGCAAGGCTTATTCAAAGCAGCGCTCTATCTGACCTGTAAACAGCTTTATAAAGAGAAGTAACTTCTTTTTTCTGGCTGGCCCAAGAAATTTTGGCGTTATTCCCGGCTTCCCGCGCCGGTTTCAGATTGGTAGCTATATGACCACCTCAGTCGGTGCGCCCGAAAACCCCAATGAACACTAAAAAATTTGACTACCCGTCCGAAGTAAATCGCAAAATGCTGAGGATGAAGAAATTTCAGTGACGATAACGGCGTTTGTTGCCATAGTGGCTGTGTTGTCTTTTTGGACCCCAGTGTTTTGAATGTTTATAACTTGCAAAGAAGTATCGCCAAAATGGCATACAAGATGTTTTTGTCTGTGGTTTAACACAATAATCAATCCGTAATTTTTATGACGATTTATTTGTAGAGTAATGATGATAACTTACCTATCTCGATGAAACGGAGGCATCTTATATTTCTCGGGATTGTTCCGCCACTCACAGAAGTAAAGTAAAAGCTGTTTGGTTCGTTTGGTCATGTCCTGAGTTTCCCTGTACTACGTGTGCAGGCAACATGCGCTTGAACGACAAAAGCTCGCTAAAATAGCCGATTTAAAATGGTGATCGTTGCACTAGGTTTGCATTTGTGAACTTGCATCATGACTGTCCATGTCATAGCAAGGATGAAAAAATTATTGGTAAAATTTGCGGATGTTAGATAGAGCTATGACAGCTTGCTATATTGATATCGCTTCATATCTCAACATTTTCCCCCGCAGACTGATTCTCGGTCTAATTGTTTTGCTTCCCCACCCCCTGCATGTTCATACGCCGGCTTCCCCGTGGTCACCACTGCTGATTTTACGATGAAGCAGCGCATCCTTTTTAGTTAACTTCAGTTTCGAAGTGAATTTTTACTCCACAGATCATTTCATTGGCGTTTATGAAACCCGATAGATGCCTGATGAAGTACGGACAGACTCCCTGCTTCAAATTTCCCTAGACGCAAAACGACCTCAAAAGTAGGCGCGCCCTGAAATCCTAATCATCATACTTCAAATTTCCCCATAAATAGTGGAATTTTGCCGGCGTATGAGTATGAGTGAGTAGAGAGTTTTACATGGTTAGTCCTTACTGGATGCAACCTGATTCGCAGTGGAACCTTGGGACGCTACTCATGACGTCAAAATTGTACGCCTTTCTCTCGTGGTGAAACTGGTTGCAGGTGGGAACTAAGTGACGCTCTCCTCGTGTGGGTGAAGTGCCGCTATGCGCTGATCATACCAGCTGTGCTGTTATAGGCGAGGAATGCGGTCGGCACACCGGTGACGGGCCGCATTCCGCACGCCCGTTTAGAAGGCAGCAAAGCTCACGGCTGACCGATGTCGGTGCGGCTGCAGAGGAGGCCTATCGGCCGGTGGAGGACCACGAGGTGTACAGCGGCCACCTCGCCGGCGTTGCCGTGGCCGACAAGGACAAGTTCCCACTGGAGTACTTCCCCAACTGCAAGTGGTCCCGCAAGGGCTACCTGCGCACGCGCTGGGAGATCCGCGGCACGGAGCTGGACCTCGTCAACATCCATCTCTTCCACGACGCCTGTAACATGATCGCCATCGAAGCGGTGAGACGGCCGGCAGGCGTGACTCGGTCGCGCCACCGAAGGCTCGGGCTGCCCTTCTGTTAGAGGCGGCCGCCGCCAGTCTGGCACCCTGACGATGTGGCTCGTTGTTTGATGTCATTCCTGTCGGCTAATAAGACTTGGAAGTACTTGTCGGCTTGTCAGGCCGTTGCGGCCGGGTTATGCGCTGGTAATAGTTTGGCCTGAGTATTCGCAGTCAGCTGGCTGGTCAGGGGCAGCGTCCTCAGGGCACCTGTTGTCATAGTAATGTGGCTGTTGTGCCTGAGTATTCGCAGTCAGCTGGCTGGTCAGGGGCAGCGTCCTCAGGGCACCTGTTGTCATAGTAATGTGGCTGTTGTGCCTGAGTATTCGCAGTCAGCTGGCTGGTCAGGGGCAGCGTCCTCAGGGCACCTGTTGTCATAGTAATAAGGCCGTTGTGTTCGGCAAGTGTTTTGCTGTCGAAGACGGTCAGTGTGGTGTCGATAACCTCGTTTGTTCATTATAATGGTAGCAAAACAATCGTCTTATGCGTGCTTCTCCGTTACTAGACCAGCGCTGTGATGGCTTAGAAGGACATTGTATGTTGCCTGCAAACCCAGAACCACAACAGCCAGATGTTGTCACTGGGATGCTCGCGACCGACTCCGATCGTGTGCTCGCAGTCCCCGTCGCCGTACTGCGAGAACCGGCGGCGTGCCCTGCAGCACACCCTGGACCGTTTCCATGGCGACAAGCACAGCAACGTGCCCTTTTTCATCTTCGGCGACTTCAACTTCCGAGTCAACACACACGGTGTCGTGAAGGTGATGAGCGGCACGTGCTGGGGCGGAGTAGTTTGAGACGTGTGCGGACAGTGTGCACTAATCCGCATCACGCGGCACTCCCCAAGGCGTGTCCTGGGGCGCAGCGGACCTGAAGGGGTGATCTGAGATTGCTTTGTCACCACAGCAGCATGGCTCCCTGTCCCGGTTTTACCTTGCGCTTTTAATCCTAGTGTGTCATCGTTATTTCCGGGAAGCTCTGTTTCTGGTGGTGCTGGTTTTGATACTGGCCAAGTGGTGGTAAGGATTTCCTTGCCTGAAACATATATTTGTCTCGTGAGCCAGCCGTGCTCTTCGCGAATCGGTGGCTGCCGTCCCGTCGCTGCCCCCTACGCCCGTCGGACTTGTTGGGTCCGCGGATCCCCCTGACGCGGCCGTCTGTCGCGGCAGCACCTGACGAAGGACCTGAAGCCTCTAGCCAAGGCGGACCTGGAGATGGTGGAGTTCCACGACGATACGGAGACGGTCGTGCTGCGGGTGGGCAAGAAGGAGTTCTTCCACTCGACACACCAGGACACCTTCCTGCAGGACATATCATGGGTACGCAGGTCGGCGACAGCCCTCAGCGCCGGTTGTGCTCACGAACGGGTGAACTCTCTGCTGTCGTATGCGTTGGCGAATCACGAGATCGCAGCTCGCGCCGCGCGCCAGTCTTTCCAACGGCAGCGCCTGAGCCCGGTGCGGTACTGCGCAGTGGCCGCCTTCTCACGGTCCCTGCCGATCCCCTCAGCTGCGTAGCTTCGACCGCGAGCTGGACGAGTTTCAAGACCGACTGCACGAGTTTCCCATCGAGTTCCCGCCGTCGTACCCGTTCGAGGAGAACGTGCAGCGCTCGCAGTACCTGATGAAGACGCGCTGCCCCTCCTGGTGCGACCGCATTGTTATGAGCAAGTCGGCGCTGGAGATCATTCACCAGGTGGGCGGTGGTGCGGGGCAGGGAGCCCCTCCCTGTGAGGTGAGGACGCCCGGCGTACACTGGGGATGGCCTTGTCATGAGCCAGTCGGCGCTGGAGATCATTCACCAGGTGGGCGGCGGTGCGGGACAGGGGGCGGCGGTGAGGACGCCCGGCGTACACTTGGGATGGCCTTGTCATGAGGAACTCGGCGCTGGAGATCATTCACTAGGTGAGCGGCGGTGTGGACGCCTGGCGTACACTGGGGATGGCCTTGTCATGAGCCAGACGGCGCTGGAGATCATTCACCAGGTGGGCGGCGGTGAGGACGCCCGGCGTGCACTGGGGATGGCCTTGTCATGAGCCAGTCGGCGCTGGAGATCATTGACCAGGTGGGCGGTGGTGCGGGGCAGGGGGCGGCGGTGAGCACGCCCGGCGTACATCTGAGGATGATCTTGTCATGAGCCAGCCGGTGCTAGACATCACCCACAAGGTGACTATGGTTGAGGGGGGGGGGGGAAACTCGCGATGAATTGAGGTGACCCTCGCGTTTGGACCGCGTTTAGCGTCGGTCTCCTGGGCCAGAGGTCGCCTTGGCAACGTGATCCCGTCTGCTGTCATGAAGGGACATTTCAGGCTGAAAGAACGTGAAGGCCATTTTGCTCATGAGGGATGCGATCGCACGCACCACACGAACATCACGCTGCCACAACGCACGCATGTGTGTGGCCCCGTGGCACCGCACCCTGCTGAAAGTCACCTGCGTGCGGGCGTGGTGTTCAATACGCTGCCGTGCTGGGCGGCCGTGGCGGCTGGCGCGCCGCTGTCGCCTGCTGACCGGGCTCTCCGTCGCCAGGAGGAGCCCTGTGACGTGACGTACGGCATGGTCGGCAGGGACCGGTGTATGGGAGACCACAAGGTGGGTGTGCGCCACTGGGCAGAGGCTGGTGGCGGGTGGGGCTGCGCTGGCTGCGCTGGCTCGCGGTGGTGGGAGATGGGGTGTCTGCCTGTCGCGATGGGCCAGGTGAAATTCTGCCGAGTGGTATGGATGCGACCGATCACACGTAGCCCGCGGCGGGCGGGTAGCAGGCCGCGCGGCGGTGGCTTCGGAGGCGTGCGTTTGCGCGGGACCGACTTGCGGCCCGGTCGCGTGGCGTGACCCGTGCCGTCATAAGACGAGCAGATCGTACAGGGCGATGGATCCCAGTGGCCGTTAGCGCCGGCAGATATTGAGCAGCGTGATGGCAGTAATGCGCGTGGGCCCACCGACATGCGGGATGAATCGAAAGTCATTTAAGATCCCGAGTGGTGATGCTTGATGGCGTTTGACGAATGGTCGTGTCCACCACCACCGTCGGTTCTTTGTTTGCGAGTCCTCACTGGTGGAGGAAGTCACGTAACGGGAACTCCGTTGTCTTATGACATCTAGGGTTTTTTCATTCTCGCTGCACGTTGCGAGGTATGTGGGGAAACGCTCAGCCCTTTTGGTGGAATTATGGGTGCATTCGTATTGTATGAGCAGCTATCATGAATATATATATATATATATATATATATATATATATATATCGAAATAATACTGGCAGCACTATTCAATTTTACTAAGTGCTTTCTCCATTCCGCGCGAAGACTAATTCGTACCGTCTCACCTCATTGTCAAATCTGTTTATGACATCTGCCAACGCACATGCATGCGACCTGATAACGTTCCAGAGCATGTTACCACAACTAAAACTTAGCTCAAGTGTTTCAGGTCATCTTCCCAAAGGCGAACTCTTTCAGAATCATTGGGCCGAACCAATAGGAACTCCGGCCTCGCCCAAAACGCACTCATCCCCGCAACATGGCGGCCGAACACGCTCGTTGGTTTCTCTGATTCGTCCAGCTTTGTGAACATTGGTGTATGTCAGCGTCCTCCTGCCATCCAGCGTTTTGCTGTAGTGGGCTGATGTAGGCGGCACGTGCTCGGGTCTGTTATCGAGGCACCTGTTGTGATCATCGCTGTCCGATTGCCGCTCTCTGTCTCCATACACGATTCTTTCTGCCACCCATGGACTGCAGGTTAGAGGGCAGAACCGCCTTTGTGATAATCTCCCAGCATTTGTTTCCAATAAGCTCGGGCGTTGGAAGCCTACCGATTGGTTGTCCGCCCCAGCTTAATGACACAAAGCTCTCATGCTGCCAGCGTAAGTTACAGCGTACAGTATGTAACAGTACAACAGTTTTCAGTCCCTATATTGTACTTTACTCTCACGACTGATACTCGGCGTTAATGTGTCTGGCCCTTTACGTGGTGTCCAATTTGGTCCGACATTGCGCCATCGTGAGGTCGGAGGATGCCAAACGGCAGCGGGGGCTCGCGCTGCCGAACCAGCCACGTCAGTAACCGATGGTTTGGTGTGCCCTTCTGCAGCCCATTTACCTGGCATTCAACCTGAAGTAATGCAAGGTATCCTGGGCACAAACGTTTGTACAGTTTGCTGGTTTTGTCCGCTTCTGTGCTTGCTCGGTGTGCCCTTCCCTTTTCTGTGGTAGACTTAGTTCTGTGGCATCGGAGCATTTTCTCAGTAATTAAACATCTGCCCTGCGCCCAAGTATTTTGGGAGTTTCTTGGTGTTGTACTAGCGACTGTCACATGATTCATGTTAACGCGTTTTCTTTCTTTAATGTGGTTTGAAGTATGCATTCTCATGGATGTTTTTTTACCGTCCTCCCCGTGCCTGATTGGTTTTGTGGAGCAATGCGCCTGTGTAGATAGCCCTACCCCGCTTAGCTTTCGTCCGCGACGATCCCCAGCTGGTCTGGGACTGCCTGCCGCCGTAGGTGTTACGACACCGGGCTCAACATAATCCGTCCGCAGTTTTGCACATGAGACAGCACACAAGACAATGCACGTGGTTTTCACCCGCCACATTTCTGTATGTGTGGGTGTGTGGTTGTGCGTGTATGTGAGTGTGACTTGAGGCACGGTGCTTTTCGGCAAGCGACTTGCTGCTCTTAGAGAGATGACATAACGTGTAGGTACTGCTTCCTCTCTAGCCGCAGCCTCGGCTGAATGAAAACATGTATTTGCGCCCTGGCATTGTGAAACCCTGCGCCCGCTTTTGCCGTTAAAAAAAACTGTCAGTATTGCAGTGGTTGTCGTCGACCAGCTTGTCGATGCCATACAGCTGTCGCCAATGTCGTCGGGATTGTAGGGACGCAGGTCCTCTGAAGATGTCGCGTGATTGGTATCGCCCCCTGCCCGTACTGTATAGACTAATTGCTGGGACTGTCGTCCTCGCCTGGTGTGTTAGGATTTACACGAACGCACCAGCTGAGTGCGCATATCAACTCAGCAGACGAGGACGATAGTTCGAACAGTCAGTCCATCCGTGATCCTTCTGTATTGTTCGCTACGCGCAGCTTTTGGTGGCTTTCCGTAGGGAATAAGTCCGGTGGTGCCCGTCCCAAGGAGAAAAGTTCTGTGGGGGTGCCAAGAACACAAACCACACCACGACGCCACTTCGCTTGCATGTTCCTGGCGTGCTAGTATGAAAATCTGCTGACGTTGTGTACACTTGGCGAAGTGTGTCTGCACGTGGCCGTGTTCGGCGCGGTCCTCCGTCCGCCAACGTCTGCCTAATGGCCCGCAGCCGATCCTGCTGCAGCTGCGACTGCGCGTCGGCGCGCGCGTCGTCTGCTGCGCGCCGGGCCGTCCGTGCGGCGCCGGCGGGCCGGCAGCGCGCCGCCCGCTGCCGGCCGCCGAGAAGGCCGCCTCGCTGCCGCTGCGGCCCGACTCGCCGGCCGCCGCCGAGACCGGCCGCCGGCGCTACTGCTCGCTGGGGGGCGAGACGCCGCCGCCGCCGCCGCCGCTGCGCAGCAAACAGAGCCGCCTGCGCCTCGAGCTGTACGAGCGGCTGCAGTCGCACCACAGCTCCTCCGACGAGGACTGGTTCGAGGAGGTGGACGAGCCGGACGTGGAGGACGCGGCGGCGGACGCGGCGCCGGCGCCGCCGCCGCCGCCGCTGCCGCCCGTCGGCGGGGAAGGTGGGGGCGTGCCGGTCGCCAACGGCTCGGTGGTCGGCACGGCCGCCGGCGCAGTCGTGTGCCCTGGGAAGGCTAGAGTACAAAAGGTAGAGGAGCGACCACGGACGCAGGCAGAGCGGTGCTGGCAGTGCGGTCTGCTGTAGGTACCGCGGCCGTCCGCCGGTCGAGCCCCAGCCCGGGGCGCTAGTCGCCGCGTATGCAGGACGGAGGAGCCTATCGCCGTCCGGCGCGTATTTATATTTATTTTTTGTTGTTTTAGACGTTGGTGTGGTCAGCGCCACGCTTGGTGTTTATTGTTCTGGCGCACGTTACTGAGCTGTTTATGGACCAATGTTGGGCCCGAACGAATGATGTTAGACTGGTACAAAGAGCTGTTGTTGGGAGGGCAGGGCGGGGAGAGTGCGCATCAGTGTGGCTTCGGCCACCTTAGCCTACTGGGTACAAGTTGCGCTAACGAATCGTCTCGTTAACCTCGAATCTATTTTACTATTTACCACTCAGCATGTCACAAGATGTCTTGCTTAGTTGACTGTTGTATCTGAGTTGATGTTGTTGCGGCTGCAGTTTGCGGGTGGCGGCCGCGCGCGGCGCCGCCGCCGCCGCGGTGTCGTTCAATGTCGTGCAATGTTAGCGCCGGCGGTCGCTTGTCGCTAGTCTGCCGTGCGTCGTGGGTCCTTGTCGTCGGTGTGGTCCGCTCGCGGCCGTAGGTGACTAGGCTAGAGCTGTTCGGTGTCGTGTCGAACCGCCCGCCGTGTGTGTGTGTGTGTGTGTGAGTGTGCGCGCCTCGGCTTGCCCGCACGAGACCGCCCGTCGCGCCCGGCACGCGGTGAGTCACACATCCTGGCCAACGCTGACGCGCTTCGTCATGCCTCTCACGCTCTGGCACAGCTCAAACCCAACGGCACAGGCCAGTTCGGTTACTCCCGTTGTCGTAATGGTGACCCGTTGCTCTCGCCAAGCGCTGCGTCGAAGTTGATGCCGGTCCCTTTCCCTATATTTGTAGTCCAGATTTAGCTATTAGTTCCGTGTCACAACTCTCATCGTGCTGTCGGCGGTGCGGTTTAACTACAGCCGACATCACGACGTTTCCAGATAAAGTACACAGGTCACGATTTTTCCGACGGAGGTTGCCCATTCCCCGGTCTGCTAGATGTGCGGTTTTCTGTCACATTAAGTGCCGTACAGTACCAAGGTTGCTATGCAGTGAAAACGTCCCAGTGGCCGCACGTGCCGTCCAGCCCGTCGCCACCCGTGCTCACCTGAAGCCGCATTCTCACCGGCCAAACACGGGGTGAACCACGCCACTCGATTGGTGCATGCCGCCGCGCCGTAGCTGCTTGTCGCCGCGCTGCGCAGCCGCTCGCCGGGCGTCGAGTCCCTTGCCGGACGTCGAGTTCCTCGTCAGACGTCGAGTCCCTCGCCGCACGCCGCCATAGCCAGTATCGCGCCACACGCTGTCACAGGCCCGGCCCGCACCGCCGGGAGGCCGCTGCGCCTCGCTGGCGCCCGCCATAGCTTTTGTGCCGTGCCATGCTCGCTGTCGCTGCTGCCTCGTGTCACAGCCGCGCCCCGCCGCGCGCCGGCCGCGCGTGTGCGCAGACCGCGTCCCGTTCGGCGTGGTCCGGTCGTCGCGTGTCCCCGCCCCGGCCGTGCTGCCGCGGCGCTGGCGTCGGTGCAGTTGGTCGTGTCGTTTGTGATAAAGAACCCGTGCCATGGGACAGTGTTTGTGCGACGGATCTGTTGCCGAGGGAAGCCTGGCCCGCTCAGCGAGGGTTTCCGAAGGTCATTTTCCTCAGATGTCCCCCTTCTGCTGGTTTACTGGCGTGAACCGCAGTGGGCAGTGACCTCTATTGCACGTATGTGTGGAGTACCGTCTGTCTCGGGCCCGGCTAGAAAGAGCGTGATTTGACCACGGCTAGCAGCTGTGCCTGTAGTTTCGTGGCTTGCTAGTCACAAAGAATTAAGCACACGGTTATTGGCATGCCGTGGCTATGGGACAGTACGTAAAGCTGGTGGTTTTACTACCCGTGGCGTGTACTGCCACGTTCGCCGTCTTTTGACTGAAGATGCATCTGAAGGTGAACCCAATGACCGTTTGACCGAATAGTTGAAGGCATCGCGGTCAGACCATGAGGTCCGACTGGGACTCCCGCCAAAGGGGGCCTAATCGCCCCGGTCGTCACGTAGAGGTGACGGCGCAAACGGTTCCATCAGCTACGCGCGTGGGTGACAATCAGAGACGCGCTACATTTGCTCTCTTGTAAGGAACGATTACCTGAGCCGTATGTGCGACTTTTATCATGCTGTACTGCTGCAGGCCGCTCGCACGTAAAGGCTTTCGAAGCAGCATCTGCCGGGACATTATTGCGGACGCTTAGTCCGCGAATACGAGGAATTGGGATATTTTGCCTTCCCGCGTTCGTGGTGTTTCTGGCGTAAGGTCCCAACGAATTGCATCAGCTTCTTCCCGGTTTTAAAGCCTCTGAAGACACATTGAGGCCATCTTATGTTCATTTCGCTTGGCCATGTTGCCTCGACGCCCAGATCATGTCAAAATGGTGCATTTGTACTACCATAGGTGCCTTACCTCGGGAGCTTATTCGTCTTGACTGTTCGATGTGTGTTTACGAGCGCGGTCAATAAGTGGTCAGTTTGACCCGCGAAGCTTTTTCCAGGAAGATTTCTGGACGGCGCAGGGTACCCTCGCCAAAGTTTGCATAGCTGTAAAGAATCGAATAGCGGTTCTTTTGATGCAAAAATGAGATCATCTTGTAAGGTCGCTGACCTATGGCAGGTCAGTCAGGCCACGGCTGTCAACGAAGGGCATTGCTCTGGAACCGTCCAATGTGATGCAACAGCGGAGCGCTAGACGAGGCCATGCACATGAGAAATAGTTTCTTAGTCAAACAACCAAGTGAATTCATAATTACAGCAAACTCCATTGATCTAGGGTCGGATATGAAGATCAGACCGAGGTGAAAACCGGCCTGCCTTTTTACTCGAGAACTTGGTGTGTATGGTAGTTTCTGATGCTCATTTCGAATTTATTCATGACAAGGACGACAACAGACATGTCCTGTGGACTTCAAGGTCAGAGCAGGTCACTGACCTAAAATGGCCCGGGACAACATTTTGTTACTTAGCGTAACCCCTGACGCTTTTCTGGATGGCAGTAAAGGAGCGGTCTTGCAGGTTTTTGGTCATATTGACCCTAAAAATATTACACAAGATCGCTTATCGTAATTCAACACCACACCACACAACACCACACAATTCAACACTTAATTGACCTTGCACGCCATGTCACTGTATGAAGAGGTCTGGGGATTTGAGACACCGATCTGGTGTTTGATGTTGTTTAACCTTATTTGGCCGCAAGGTCATGACCTAGTAACCTCAAATTTTGGCACAAGTAAGTTCAAATGCAGGCCAGTCCACCGTGTGAATTGGGTGCGTCAAGCCATGCTTAACTTTGGGATCCCAGAAGGTCAAATTGCGCCCGCCCCCCGTTGCCGCCCCCACCCGGGCGAAGGATATTCAACCTTCTGCCCGGCCGCGTGTTTACACCATTGAAGCACGATAGCATAGAACACGTTTATTGATGGTTTTCAGAAAGGCTGAGGAGTGGTATTAGATCACGGATGAAATAATTTCGGATTATCGTCTTCGCATAGTGTGTCAGTACCTGCACAACATTTCAACCAATTCATTGAGCAGAATAAAGTAAGTCAACCAATAAGTCTTAGGTTAGCACAATGGTAGACCTCTGGGCTCGTAATCAGAAGACCTCTGCTCAAATCCCGGGAATTCCGAGGAGAAGAGTTGGGACGCATGCGTGGTTGCAAATCACACACTATCTTGTCTTCTCCGGACTCCCAACTTTTGATAACGGCCGGGAGACGGAGCGTTTGTATGTGCTAACGCACCGGACGGGGACGATTGTCGGAGCCTTATTCCACACGTGTATTAATGCCGGCACAAGTACCCTCGACCCCGCGCTACGTCACCGCTGGCTAATTGTTATTTCGATCTCCATCCATAATGCGTCATTGTAATGTGATGATAATGGTGCCTTCATGCGGTCTAAAGCTTATGCCTAGCATCATCGTCATGAAGTGATAGCGATAGCAGAAACTCACGTTAACAGTTGACCTTCCATCAGCCAATGACGGTATTGACAGTCAATCAACCAGAAGCATCGCTCTGGATGCATTGTATCACTGATACAGCATGCCCCATGCACAGCTGAAACAACGTGTACCGCCCGACATCTCCACGCCACCCCGAAACCCTTGGCCAGCAGATGCCAAATGCTTTGCGGCATTTGCGGCATACGCACTTCTCGACTTTTTAGTATAACAATAAGATCAGCCTGGTGATGACATGAGAACTTAAATATACATGTACGCCCATCGCTAGAGTTTTCCACGATGTGCAAAAAAAGTATTTGACGTGTTCACCCCATGTCGCATGCAGGCGCGCAGCCTGAAGAACAGAGGAATGTGGGGGGGGGGGGGGGCGCTGTGCGTCAGCTGAGCGACTCAAGAGTACCTTTCATTTCGTAGATTTAGAGCAAAACGCTCTGATGCTTGTTGGATACTCTACCGTACATACTCTGCCGTACACATGTACAACTCACCCCGCTCTCCCCTCATTTACGTAAGCGTGTGATCCAGTGCATACACCTGGCCATCCGGGACCAAGTGTGCGCTGTGCTGTGCACCCATTACGGGCTTGGGCTAACCAGGTTGGAACTACAGAAGCCTGTTGTTTTGTGTGCCATTGCAGACATCTTTGCTCCACATTTGGGTCCAAAAACATGTCAACGGATGATTTAGTATTTTATCACTATAGACCACCATTACCAGACGGCCGAAAATGACGCTTTCTCGTTCCGTGAGTTCCCAAAATCATACTATGCAATGGACAAAATTTCATATATCTTTTCTAGATGTGCTGTTTGTGCTTGACTGCGTATGAGCTCTAAGTTTGGCCGAACTCCCATGTGAGCTTTGGCATGGTCCAGCTATGTGAAAACGGTCTAACCGCCGGCGACCTCGAACAGCCTGTCTATGGAAAGTGTCTATGAAAAGTGAAACAGACTTGTACCCAGCATCGAGCTGCCGTGGTCAGCAGCTGGGGACTTACGAGCCAGGCCAGCGTGCTTGGGGTATCGATCCCAGTATCTTTGTTCTCCGGATACTGGAGCCGTCAAGTGTGAGCGCCGGGCTGAAACAAAACCATGTCTCGTAAACGTTAACTAGATAAACGATGCCTTGCAGTGGACCTATGCTTGTTTCAAAACACTATCGGTTACCAAAAGGTGAATCCAAACCATCGGTTGACAGAGATGGATCCGAACTATTGGCTCCTAGAAAACCACATCTATCTATGGTATGACGTAATCCGAAGCGGTAAACGACCACTGTAACCAAAAGCAATATTTGGAGTGCGTTGATTGCGCATAATTTCACTTGTGTGCCGTTTTACCCGTAGCGCAACCCCAATGACGAATGTCACACGTTCCCAATTGAACATAAGCTGCATTGTGACGGTGGTTATGAGGACTTTGTGAATCCCACACTTGCGCTGCCAAACGCCTACTATTTAAGTTCGGGTTTGGGACATATGGACGTATCCAACACACGCGCTACACGCCGTGTGCATCACGCACTACAATGAGAGCTGGAAGCAGCTTCCAGAAGCGCAAATCATTCGGAGTGTCGCACTTCACAGGCGGACCAAGTCTCCCCATCTTACCCTCCGCTTTTAGCGTGCTGTCTTCCGACGGTAGGACAGCCTGCAAGTGACCTCGGCCTCGGCCGGCCGCCTGTGCGTAGGTCATCCGTCCAGCGTGCCGTCTTCCGACGACAGAACAGCCTGCAAGTGACCTCGACCGCGGCCGGCCGCCTGCGCGGTCTCCCCATCTTACCCTCCGCCTTTAGCGTGCTGTCTTCCGACGACAGGACAGCCTGGAAGTGACCTCGGCTCCGGCCGGCCGTCTGTGCGTAGGCCGTCCGTCCACAATGCGGCTGCGGTTGAGCGCGTATGCGTCAGCCGAGCGGCGGCTGGGGCGGCCCGGGCGGCGAGCTGGTGACGCCGGTCCAGCGGCCACCGCTCGTCCGGACGTCCGTGCGACCTTCGGGATGACGTGGGCTGGCGGGGGAGGGGCAGTGACGACGGCCGCTGGAAACCCCGCGCCGCCGCCGGCCCCGGCGCTGCGCTCTCCGGCCGCCCCACACTCGGCTGAGACGGCTCCGGCACGGCGCAGTCCAGTCCAGTTCCCACAGCCGGCCGTCGGCATGGTAAGTCATCCGGTAGGGGCCCGTGGCAGTCCGCGGGTCGTGTAAACAGGCGAAAAACCCAGCTGGATGGAGGCAGTGTTTATGCTCGCGGACGGCTCGGGTAAACCTCACGGAGGCAGATCGTGCAGGGATTTGCGGCAGCTTGACTCATTTTGGTCGTGACGAGTTTGGCGGTGGTGCTTGACATTCGTTTTTAATGCACGCTCTGCTTATTTGGGACCGGGAGGTCTGGTGACAGGGTGCGTTCATGGCAGCAATGTTCAGGCAAATGCATGATTAGACGTGCTCCCGTTCAAAATCTTCTCGATAAGCCGGAACCAACGATAGAAAACACGGCAGGTGTGTCATGCGACGTATTTCATGCGCCGCTTACTGCACAGACGCACGGAGCTGACAAGCTGGCTGGTGGACAAAGCGCCATTTTCTGGGAACAGTAACCTCCACCTTGCTGTCCTCACGGGCCGCCTAATCTCAAAATGTTCCAACTGGGGCATGCGGCAGCCATGAGCCGCGAGCCGGCTTGACGGCCGCGCCGGTGGGAGTCCCACCAGAGCACCTGCACAAATCCCTGTGTTAGCTAATGCTCGGTGGTATCGGTAACCTCCAGCGATACCCGCAGCTTTGTCCCGCAACTTATCTCTCTCCTGAATCTCTATCTCCTATGAACGGAGCGGTCCACATTGGAAGATCTTGAGACAAGCATCAGCTATGGTGAAAAAGCTCACTTGTAAACAGTGGTATGCTTTGATATGCAAGAAAAAACTGCTCTAGATAACACAATTTTACAGGCAAGTAAATTTGTTTCTCAATACGTCATCGCTTCATTGTCATGGAACGTTTCTATGACGCCAGAATCGCTGCCTGACTAGCCGTGTCAGGGTGGCCACTAGTGCACGAGCTGGCTCGCCTGTAATGCTTTAACCCGCTGTGTTAGCTGGTTAATGTATACGTGTGGAAATATCGGTGATCATTTTGTGTGCGTATTTTGGATCTTGTTGCACCGTTCTAAGCGCTTCTGTGACGCCGTGCTATGTATGATATGCTATGCTATGCTATGCATCACGTGTATGGTTTGTAATGCTGTGCATCACAAACCGTGCTTGGTGATCGAGGCAAGCTATCAGCGGCTTTAACTGGCTGTTAACTAACTATTGTCTGCCGATACGACGATTCTTGGTAACGCACTCAATACATATATATTACAAGGCCCTGCTTGCGACCGTTTGCATGGAAAGGCCTTGGGGTGAGGGAATTAATGCGACGTTTTGGGATGCTATAATCTCTCGGTGGCTGCAAATTGGGCGGCGCGAAATAGTTTGCCCAAATTTGCGGGCGCCTAGCTCAGGAACAAGGGGATACACAACGGACAGTCGATCAGCACGTCCGCCTGTAAACCTCGCATGTCCGTGTATTTGAGAACCCCTTGTAACGGCGCTCGTCATTCAGCTGGCGATTCCAATCAGCGAGGCGGGATCCGTGGTTTTTGACCACACAGCCATCTCGTTTGCGATCCGGTTATGACCTTTATGCTCCGTCTGCGGTTCCCAAGCTCTCCTCGGTGGGGATTGGAGGCTAGGCAGGTGCTCTACTTTGGTCCTCGCGCGGCTGAAATGTGACGTGGGCTACGGCGGCCGTCGGAATCTGACCTCGAAAGCAGACCATCGGGGTCTGACCCCGGGAGCTGGCCGTCGAGGTCTGACCTCGGGAGCCGACCGTCGGAATCTGACCTCGAAAGCAGACCATCGGGGTCTGACCTCGGGAGCTGGCCGTCGAGGTGTGACCTCGGGAGCCGACCGTCGGAGTCTGACCTCGGGAGCTGGCCGTCGAGGTCTGACCTCGGCGGCTGACCGTTGCGGTCTGACCTCGAGGGCTGACCGTCGGGGTCTGACCTCGGCAGCTGACCGTCGCGGTCTGACCTCAGTAGCAACTGAAGGTGGGCTCCCCGACATGGCTCGAGCTGTGTCCTCCCCGCCCCCTCTCAGCTACCATGCGGCCGCGCTGGCGGGGCTGGAGGAGGCTGCGGTTGGACTGAGCCTTTCCGCTGAAGCGGCGAGGCCTCGACACGCAGGGCGAGCGGTCGGTGTCTCGCTTATGTGCTCCACCTGCGGTGAACAAGCGACCTACATAGTGTCATGCTTGACTGCCTGTGTTGCAGACATGACTAACCTTTTCAGCCGTTTCGTGCACATTTTCGCGTGTCCTTTGAAGTTAGTCATGCGTCCGCATCGTGCGATCTCGTTTATCATTGGAATCGTACCGGAACTGGAAGTTGAAAGGTCCGCTTACGTCAGGGACGTGGGGCTTTGACTGACCTGGAGCTTTGGGACGCGAAACACTGACTGGTCTGGAGCTCTGGGACGTGGAGCTCTGACCGGTCTGGAGCTCAGGGACTTAAAGCTCTGGCCGGCCTGCAGCTCCGGGACGTGGAGCCCTGACTGTCTTTTGGCCTTGGAACAAGGAGTACTGGCCGGCCTGGAGCTCTTGGACGTGGAGTACTGGCCGGCCTGCAGCTCTGGGACGTGCAGTACTGGCCGGCCAGCCGACTGGCCATGTCGGCTGAATCGGCTCATGGCAGCAAAGCCTTGTAGCGTACTATCGCCGATTACTTTGCATGTGATGTAGCAAATCTGCTAGATGTATTTAGCTGACGTGCAACATTAGCGAACGTTTGTTTATAAATTGGCCATGGCTCAGAAAGCCACGCGTGTTACTCGGCCCCACTCACGCGGTGCATTATTGTACCGTCCCATTGGCCTCGTTAGCCTTCTTCGCACGGCTACCATACCACACCTCTGCTGCAGGCGCACCGGGCTCTCTGCACACTCATGGTCATCGGGCTCAGCTGGGCTCCGGCTTGCGGTCAAGGTGAGTCTCGTTGTGCCTGCGCCGCCCACCCCGGCCGCCCCTGCAGCGCGCTGGTCGCGGGGGAAGCGTCCGGTTGGGTTTACCCGCATGTCGGAGCAGGGGCCGCGGGGTGTGACGGACCGGTCCGGATCGGCCGCTGCGGGCCAGCCCTGGCTCATCTTCGTCCGTCGGGGCTGTGTGAGGGATGACTCGGCAGACACGGAGGCCTCCGTGCGGCCGTGGTCTGCCACACTGCACGGGTGAATCCTGAAGTGTTGCACAGAAGATTAAGCATCCTGTGAAGCTATTAGAAGGTAGAGGGGGAGAGAGAGAGAGAGAGGACACGGAGCATAGGAGAAGGGTAGAAAGAGAGGAAGGGAGCAAGAGACAGACAGACAGACAGACAAACAGACAGACAGACAGACAGACAGACAGACAGACAGACAGACAGACAGACAGACAGACAGACAGACAGACAGACAGACAGACAGACAGACTGACTGACTGACTGACTGACTGACATACACACATACATGCATCATACAGCCAGCCAGACAGACAGACAGACAGACAGACAGACAGACAGACAGACAGACAGACAGACAGACAGACATACAGACAGACAGACAGACAGACAGACAGACAGACAGACAGACAGACAGACAGACAGAGTGGAGGCTGACTCTGACCAAGCTGGAGTTTCCCAGTCAAAACCGCAGTGATTATCTTGAAAAGCTACCTTTTGCTGGCTGACTGAGGAGCAGTGATTTATCGCCGGAAGCGGGCGGGCTCCATCAAGGGAACAGTTGTTCACCTGTATCTATTGGGGAATGTATGGCCATGCGCTCCGATGCGTATCCGCTGGTGCCGATTGTAACCGATGTGTACTGCAGGTGCATGCCTGGACATAGTTCACTCGCGTTGCGGCAACGCTCGTGCGCGGAGACGAGAATTAGATCGAAATTTCCCGGCGAACGAACGGCGTGTGTGTATACAGAAGCAGACATTTGCCTGGAGCCCCCAAAATATCCCAGGATCCCATCTTATGATCACAAATAATGCAACCCTAGGGGATCCTGGATCCACCCTTGGTATCCAGACACTCGTCTTTTTTGAAGTACGGATAAAATAGTCTAGCGCTGTCAAGAAACGTCCCGGAGCGGCTTAAATCCTTCTCTGGTGACAGGGCTGAAATGCACAAAAGTACTTGAACGTTGGCCTCATATGGCCATGTCGTAAAGGTTCATGCGTCAAGGGTCAGAGGGCAAAGGGTCAGCCATGTTTAAACCATCAAATTCACGACCTCGCGATGATATGGTACTGGGAAGATAAGTCACTTGGACATTTGCATGCCTTGCACCGCGGTCATACCGCAAAAAGGTCACAATACACAATCAGCAGGAAAGAAACATTGGAGCACGACCTGCCTGAATTAGGTACGAGTTCCTGCGTGCAGATAAACTGCGCTGTTCCTGCGTGCGGATAAACTGCGCTGTTCCTGCGTGCGGATAAACTGCGCTGTTCCTGCGTGCGGATAAACCGCGCTGTTCCTGCGTGCAGATAAACTGCGCTGCTCCGCCCGTTTGTTCCACCGGCTCCGACAATGGCGAATGCGTCGGTGTGCATTAGGTGCGACTGGTCATGGATGTCACCGCCGTGAAGCCAACCCCAACGAACCCGTGTGATTCACCTAACGGTCGTGGTTAAGATCAGGGAGTGCTGTGCGCATTGTTAATACCCGAGGTAAACGGATCGCACAGCTGCACCTGCTCGCCGCCTGGATCGTCACCAAGCGAGTTTCTCGCGCTGTTCTTAAGAGTCATCGGGCGAGGCGACGCGGAAAGATGCTGAAAATAATTTTGCGAGAGATTAGAGAGACTTTAACACCTCGTCGTCGAGACTGTTGTGTCGGTGCCTGCCAGGTGTAGGTGACCACGGACACTGTGAGCACCTGCCACATGTGAGCTGTCGAGTAACGTATCACATTGCATGAATGTGGTGCATATAGCATTGTGAGCTATTTTCAAAGATTGTTATGCCGTAGCGCACGTGCCAGAAGATGGAGGTGTCTATGGCCATGGGTACCTGATGGGTATAAATGAGGAGTAGCGTGCTTGAACCAGGACTATAAAGACACCCTAATACGTTTTGGATTAAGTTAGACACGGGTTTCAAAACGATATTTTTCTGGTAAAGAGGGTCTGGCTCTCATTCCTCATTACAATGAAATAACTTCCATTTCCACGTTACTTTTCGGTGTCCTATAAGCGACACCACCCGAGCGACGTCCCCATTTTGTTGCGGCAGCGGTCTACCCAAATAGATACACACGACGTGTCACACGGGCTCATCCTGCAGTCTTGGCAGGCATGTGGCGTGTTCGCTCCGCCTCTTGCGCCAAGGATGGAATATTATCCCAAATCGCGTCAATTCAGGACACTCCAGTAGGCAGTCCAAAACGGCCGCAGGCACCGACGTGGTTACCAGAACAATTCCAACAGTCGTGTGCAGATAATGCTGCTTGCTTCTCCTCCTTGCATTGACTAACTGCGGAGTGGTGTGACCGTGTCTGTCACGCGTGCACACAACCACTCCAGTACACAAGCTCTGTCATCACAGACGCTAATCACAGCCCCCTCCACAGACATCGTGTTCGGCAGGCCCTTCGACAAGCCCGTGTCATCATCGTCCTCCTTCATTGAAATTCCGGCGAATGTGCCCGGCAGCGACGTGGTGCTTCTGCGCGGCGGCGACGGCCAGTCCGACTGCCGGGACCCCGACCGTCATCTGGGCCGCTGCGGCGTGTTCCAGGAGTGCCGGCCGCTGACCAGCACCCTGCTGCCGCTGACCACGGGCAGCGTGCGCTACCTGAGGCGCTCGATCTGCCGCTTCAAAGGCGGCCAGGCGATCGTCTGCTGTCCGCACGACCCGCCACGGCTGGAGGCGACCACGGCGGCGCCGCCCTCGCTCGGCGACGAGTCGCGCCCGACGCCACCGGCGCCGACGGAGCCGGGCCCGACGGCAGGGAGCGGGACGGAGACCGCCACCGAGTCCGGCGCGGGCGGCGAGGTCAAGCCCACCGAGCCCGCTGAGGTCGAGACCAGCACGGCCACAGCGACCGAGGTGGCTGCGACGACGCCAGCTGAGCCTGAGGACGAGTCCGCGGTGCCGCCGACCGGCACCGAGGCCCCGGTGCAGGTGGTTGACGCTGTGCCCGGCACCGTCCAGCCGGACGCCTCCACAACGTCCGCGTCCCCCGAGCCCTCCTCGGAGACGATGGCGCCGGACGCCGACTCGGCTGGTGCCGGCGCTGACTCGACAACGGAGGCTGCGGTGGAGGCGGAGGCCACCGCGCCGCCCGCCGAGATGAACACCGCGCCGCCCGCCACCACCACTGCCGTGGTAGACTCCACCACCCCCGCCAGCGCCGGGGACACCACCGGGGAGCCGGGAGCCGGGAGCGCGGAGCCGGGGCAGACCAACGGTCTCCGACTGGAGGAGGACGGCAGGGGCGAGCCGGTCGCCCCGCCGGGTCTGGACACGTGCGGCTACAGGAACGTCAGCGCCAACCGCATCATCGGCGGTCGCATCGCCGAGCCCAGTAAGTGGTCGCCGACGGCTCTGACGATTAAAGGAGCGATTCTTTGGTGTTTTTGAAGGGGTGCTCCACCTTTGTATGAAGCTCTGAACTAAACTAGCAATCTCGAAGACCATTCGGTGGCTTAGATGCGTTCTAGTGCCTTAAACGCGTGCTAAATAATGGTGGGTTCTCTGGAGGGAGAACGAACGTTATTTTTACTTGAGTTTGATCTATGCAGTGGTGCGGCAGGCACAGGGTGCACGGTGTACAGGCACAGGGTGTGCGGCAGGCACAGGGTGTACGGTGTACAGGCACAGGGTGCACGGCAGGCACAGGGTGCACGTACCTCTCTCCGCTTAGGCCCAGAAAAGCCCGAAGGGCCCCTCGGGACCTGCGATTAAGGGCCCAATTTTAAGGCTCAAAAATGGGCTGGCCGGAGGTCATACCAAGGGCCTCCAGCTCATAGGGCAGGGCCCTGAAATGTCGGTCGGGGGTCCTAGGTGCCGATCGGGGCTCCTCTGAGTTGATGATGGTCTTTTCGTCGGTCAGGCACCATGCGTACCGAACAGTAGACTCCGTGTCGGCCTGGGCCTAAGGGTCAATTTCCCAAGCAGGTTCAAGCCCGGGGCACGCGAATGACATTGGTCAGGTTCCTAAGCCAATGAGAGGTCCCCTGTGTTGGCCAGCGGCCTAAGGTGCCTAACAGGGATTAAGTGTTGGCAGCGGGCCCCGAGTCAGCCAGGGGCAGCGTTAGGGTAGGCCTGAAGAGGTGCCAAAAAGCCCCTCGGGACTGACGCTCAAGGGCCTGGCCAATGATGGAAGAACTCGAAGGGCCCAAAGCCCTGCCTGAGGCCACGCTCACGATCAATGCCCGTAGGGCCGTCACCTAAAATTTCACGCAAAGGGCCTCTTGCACCGATTGAGGATTCGCTGGGGGACAGTGTGGGCCTCCTCTATTTCGGCCAGAGATCGCCAACACCAAACACTCGTCTCTGTGTCGGTCTTAGCCATTGCGGGCCCATTTCCCAAGCAGGGACAAGACCAGGGCTCGCAGTTTGCATTCGTCTGGGCTCCTATAACAAAAGGGGCCCCCTGTGTTGGGCAGGGGTCCAACGAATTTAAGCAGGATCCTGTGTCCGCACGCAGCCCGAGCAGCTCAGGGAACATTTGCTAAACAGAGACAGGGACGGGACCCTGAATGCCAGAGGGCCTCTTCCTTGGTTGGGGCCCTCTGACAATGGAAGGGGATATGATAACTTATGATTAGAGTCCACGATGAGCCAACGGGGGTGCCTGTATCAGCTCCCATTGCAGCAAAGGGCCATCCAGCTAAACTAGTCTCTATACAGGCATTGAATCGCCTGCGGCGAGTCTTGTGTTATGGCGGCTCCTGGGCCAATCCGGGGTCAACTGCAATGGTGGGACGACCTCTCGCGTCATTGAGGGGACAAATATATGATGTATTTCCCTGGTGGTTTTCGGAACGACCAGAAAACCCCGCCCCGTGTCGCCAGAATGGCAGCTGACAGGCATCCGGTGCTGGAAGGGAATGGCCCTCCAGCCCGGGGGCGGGAACGATAATGCGCCCCCTGGTGCATATGGCCCCATTGACGGGAAAAGGTGAGGGTCTCATTAATGTTCAACAGTAACTCGCAATGAAGTCAGAGATAAAGAAGGACACCCAAGTTTGCCTGAGAGCATCCATCCTTTTGTAGAATCGACTGGTGAAACAAATAACGTAAAGAGTTTTGAGCCCGCACGCTCGCAATCTTGGAGCAAGAGCTGCGACGGTCGGGTTTGCAGTCTCCGTAGAACCAAACGGTGCTGGCCGCCGCAGATAGCCCCAGGCGGCGGGCGTCGGATGTGCGGGAACGACCGTCGTGAAACAATGCCTCCAAAAGTCTTTCAAAATAGATTCGTACCATTCCTCAGTAATCGTGCAGGAGTCCTTGAATACTTCTGTGTAACCGATACAAAATTTGACAAAGTTTCGTTTTCTCTCGATTTAGAAAGCGTTCACTGAGCCATTGAAATCCCTCCTTCGTTCAGTTCATTCCGTTCAAAACCCAAACAGAATGGCATATGTATTCCAGTACATTCTGGCTTCTATTCCAGATAAAGAAGGTAGGTATAAAATAGAACAAAGAAAATCGTGCCCTCGAAATGAACTACATTTCTATCCACGTGTCCACCATTTCCAGTGATATTTGGTTTGTGGACCCTATCAACCTCGCACCCCGCCCGCACTTAAGCCAGACTCTGGTTGTGCGCCTAGTCCAATGCAAGGTTACAGGAACAGCGGAAAATCTGTGAACTGTTAAGGGCATAATCGTCCGTCAAAAGTCACTCATTTCCGATAACGTATGTCCTTGCCATAATCTAGCACGAACAAGAATTCAAGCGATCACAGCATGAAAAAGATATTCGAGTTCGAGTTAGAATAACCTTATCATCATCTAGCGATTCCCGATAACGCTGCCCACCTTCCTACCCTAAGCTGACCACCATGAAGCAACTTTTTTGAGAAACTCCAGTCGACATTTTTGCTCGCTGGTCTGCACGGAACACAACATTGCCATGCATTGGTTTCAAACGAATGCTAAGTTGCGGCTTAGGAGCCGCAGCTGAGAAAGCGAATGGCATGAGATGTCTGCACGTGCGGGACACGTGGTTTTATTGGAGACTGCAACGCTCAAGGGCACTTGATGCTTCTACGTGGCCGATCTGAAGTACTCGCAGGTGGGAGACGAAATTTTGTTTGGGGTTGCGTGGAGGCATTCGGAATATTCTCAAGCCTGAACAAAGATGACCCAATGGGAAAGCCATTTTGAACCCAGCCCTTAGTGAGTGTTGTGTGGAAATTTAATACTTGAGAGCAAATTCGGTTGTCCTTCAGCCTTTGCCTTGAGACCCGTGCCACCCTACCTTGACAGCATTAACAGTGGCATTGTCTTCAAAGGCTCACCAAGTGAGTGTACTGTTTCCGCCTTCTCCTGACGCCACTTGCCGCAGTTTGCCAATGTCTGGTGGGTTCGTGGAAGCCGCTGACTTTGTCGCGCACGGTTCCAGACGCCTGGCCATGGCTGGCGGCTCTCGGTTACGAGTTTACGGAGAACAAGATCGAATTCTTCTGTGGAGGAGCCCTGCTCACAGACCAGCACGTTCTCACGGCCGCCCACTGCATCAAACCGGAGCTGTAAGACCGCCGACCGGCCAGAAGCACCGGATTTGGGGCGTCGCAGACCGTTACGAAGCAATCTTCATCGGTCCCCAGTCGTGCTTGATGTGAAGCAGGACGTGACGCATTAAAGACCCAGTATTTGGGCGCCGCGGCACCGACGCCGCTGCTGATGGAGCCCGGACGGTGCAGTCACAGTGTCTTGGCTGCCATGGTCTGCACTTTACCGGCACCAGGACATGACAGACATGCGCTGATGGCATCAAACGCTGGTGCCAAACCTGGTACCAGTCAACCCCGCCGTCTCTATGCTGGCTCTCACTGCATCTAGACCGGTGCCGGTGCCAAACCCGGTACCAGTCAACCCCGCCGTCTCTATGCTGGCTCTCACTGCATTTAGACCGGTGCCGGTGCCAAACCCGGTACCAGTCAACCCCGCCGTCTCTATGCTGGCTCTCACTGCATCTAGACCGGTGCCGGTGCCAAACCCGGTACCAGTCAACCCCGCCGTCTCTATGCTGGCTCTCACTGCATCTAGATCGGTGCCGGTGCCAAACCCGGTACCAGTCAACCCCGCCGTCTCTATGCTGGCTCTCGCTGCATCTAGATCGGTGCCGGTGCCAAACCCGGTACCAGTCAACCCCGCCGTCTCTATGCTGGCTCTCACTGCATCTAGATCGGTGCCGGTGCCAAACCCGGTACCAGTCAACCCCGCCGTCTCTATGCTGGCTCTCACTGCATCTAGACCGGTGCCGGTGCCAGACCCGGTATCAGTCAACCCCGCCCGCTCTAGCCGGCTCTCACTGCATCTAGATCGGTGCCGGTGCCAAACCCGGTACCAGTCAACCCCGCCGTCTCTATGCTGGCTCTCGCTGCATCTAGATCGGTGCCGGTGCCAAACCCGGTACCAGTCAACCCCGCCGTCTCTATGCTGGCTCTCACTGCATCTAGATCGGTGCCGGTGCCAAACCCGGTACCAGTCAACCCCGCCGTCTCTATGCTGGCTCTCGCTGCATCTAGACCGGTGCCGGTGCCAAGCGGCTTTTAAACCAAACTGTGTACCTGACATCGCGTATTTGATCTTGAGTGATTGTGGTGTCATGGAGCTAAGATTGCCTGTCTTGTAGAAACCTGACACTCGTCTTCGGTCGTTTTACATCACATTGCCGGAGCGGAGGCGGCAAGAAGACCATACAATTGGCAGCGTGCAACGCAACTCCTTTCGGTGTTATTTTGGAAGCAGCAGAACGAATCGACCGACTGGAAACGCCTGCTGTTTCCTTTTTCACCTCTCAAAGTGATACCGTGTTCGGTAATCTCATCCAGCATGGTAATCGGATTCTGCGCTTCCATCGTTTCAGAAAGACGGTCCGGCTCGGAGACCATGACTTGTTCAACGAAACCGAAGTGAACACCGTGGTTGAACACCCGGTCCTGGCCAGCTTCCCTCATCAGGAGTACAACAATCGTACCTTATTCCACGACATTGCCATCATCAAGCTGCGAACTCGTGTGAAACTTACCGGTAAGGTGCTGCACGTAAGGACGGACTTAGGGTGGTAATTTACTTTTGGTCACGGTTTCAGCATTGACAAACGCTTGTGCCTTGGAAATGTTAGTGAAGTCAGCACGTGAGTAGTACCGCATATTTCTCAATACGAATTTGCGCATTTTGCTAACTGTACGTACACGCTATGATAACGTGGGAACTTTGCCGCCGCAGTACCTGCTGAGTCGCGTGTATGGAGCATGATATCAAAGACAGAACAATGGCATTCCGAAACTGGGCGACATGAATACTCAGAATAAAGCGTTTCAATGTAACAAGCTTTGATTGGATTGGCTAAGTCGACGTGCAAAAATCTGCACACATTAGACGATTGCTATTCACGACCACCCACCTCTGATTTCAGACGCTGTGCATCCTGTTTGCCTTCCCATTGTTCCTGAGATGCGAGAGTTGAATCTGGTCAGGAAAACGGCCTTCATCGCTGGATGGGGGACCACAAAGTTCAGTAAGTGAAAAATGGCATGAGTCGGCTGACCGGAGCATTTTGTCAACTGGCGCACTGATCCTCAAACTGCTGTATTTGCAGCTGATGCTGCTTTATCCTCGCACACTGTTTTAATTTCATTCAGCGTTTCGTTCACACCTTGTTTTATCTTCAGTTAAGGCTTCTCATTCTCAGTTGCCCCTTCCTCGTCCGGGCCGGTCGCACCTAACGTTACGCCTGCTGCACTACAAACGTGTGTAGGGTTTTGCCTTGTGCACGGAGGCATGACCTGACAGCAGTTCAAGTAGTGAATGGGGGGCTCGACTCAAATTTTTCAGCCGACTCAGGACCGGCTCACAGATTGCGGGATCCGATCCACTTCATGACTCATAGCCGTTTCAAATTTTTGATTCAACTCAGGTTGCGCCCGTCGCTTGCGTTAAATCACTTGGCTTATGACTCACGTGGCTTACAAAATCAAAGATCCGGTTCAGTTCCATTTGGCTGATTCAAATATATATATATATATATATATATATATATATATATATATATATATATATATATATATATATATATATGGTTTAGGAAACAGGTGCAAACAGCCAAGTAGCAAGTCTGCAGTTTGAGGCTAGCAAATACAGCGCAGGAAGCAATACCTTTCCTATGACCTGTTACCAACCAGCTCTCTGAAGTCTCAGCTCTAGGCAAGCACAGCCTACCTGTCACCCACGGTCCAGACCCTTTAGTTGAATAGCATGCAATGTGGACGTGCTGTTTTTTTTTATAGATAGCCTCAGCAATAGCATGCTTACACCCGCTCAAGTAGTGAGTGAGAGGTCAGGCATGAATAGGTTCATTTCTCATAACGCGAACTGATACGGGGGTCGATGTGACCCACTGGTGTTTCCAAATTGATAGAGATAGAGCTTAGCAGAAAACGCCAGTAGATTGGTCCTACGCGAAACCTCACGATTGGTACGAGTTTTTATTTTGTTATTGGTCAATCACTGACCCCGTCATGCCAAGTCAAAGACCAGATTTTCCGGCAAATCGCTCTTTTTGGCTTAACAACGCAATACATACGCTATCGTGCATCTTGAAGACACCAGCTCAAATAGACCTGTTTATTGCTCAATTTTGAGTTAAATGGTGTACATCTATCGTAATTTGTTTTCAGCATATATTGATAATATATGGCTCCGTTAACGTAACGATGTCTCCCGCTGCGCACGCTCCGCGGCATCGTTGGTTGCCGCCCGCCCGTCTGTCTGGCTGCGGATCGCCTTGCGGAGTTCCTCAAAAACCGCCGCTTATCCGAAACCAGAAAAACTAGGAACACGTCTTTGGTGTAAAACCACGCACAATGGATACCCACCGACTACTGAAAAACTTGGTGTGAGTGCACAATATGCCGAAGAAGTATTCTAAAAAAAACTAGGAGGTTGCATCGCCCCCCCTCAGCGCGAGGGTGAAGTGATCATGCAGATTATTCGCGGCGCAAACATGAGCCTGCAAAATGCAGGGTTTTGGTACAAGGACGCATGGAAAGTGTCGTAAATCCAAACTTACAAAAGTTGATTAGCTGGGCAGAACTCGGCATCTCTGTGTCATCAAAAGAAACAAGACACCCCGTGGTGCCTGTTGAACTGATGTCAAAATTATGGTATATAAGCCTGGCATAATAACTATATAATAATATATGCACGTTATTAGCTTGTATATATCCTATGTATTGACTGAGTGTGACTTACTGCCATGAGTCTAAAATTCCTGGTAGACACCTAAAATCAAACCTTTGTTTCAGCAAAAGCTGCTGATTTGCGCTCCTTCCCTCTTTCGTGAAATGCCGCGTGCGCCCCTGATAGTGGTGTTGTATTACCCGAGCCTGTTGTATTGCCTATGAATCGCCCATTATTTGTTCACAAACATGAAGTGAAGACCCCATGATACCGGGCCACAAGTGAAATAAGTGTACCCATGGGCACAGCGCAATCAACAGTTCCTATGTGCGTGAAATAGTGACGCATATGTTGGCGTACATGCCATGCTGAATTGCTCTCTACACAGGATGTCTCAATCACGTTAACTATTCAAGCACGCTAATGCTATTCTCGAAATTCCTTGTATCGATGCGCCTTATCTTTCAGATCCACTCCATTGCTGAGTCTTTGCGCCGATTGTGGAAACGGGCTGGAAGCATCAAAATTCGAGTGCAGAGTTATCTGATGAAATGAATGAATTCAAAATGCTCACCTTTTTAATGGCAGACTTTTGTGTTGGATGCGACAAGATATGTTGGATATCTGACGTGATGAACTGAGCTGCATGCCTGCGCAGTTCTCACGGCCAAATATCTCTCGGTTCAGGCGACAGCGTGCGATATACAAAACGAGATTTAAAATCGACGGAATTCGATCGCTTGCTGGTCGATTTCTGGCGTCTTTCAGTCCGGACGCGGTTCAGCCCCGTACAGCTTGAAGACGGCGCATTCACCTGCACTGAGCAGCATGTCTTAAGCACCCACTCACCGTCTCTGAGTGCCGAGACTCGAGATCAGCCCTTAGGTCGCTATCGAACCGGGCTATCCATGTTTGACGTTTTGGCTCGCGTGGCCGGCCGCAAACCCTGTCCCACACTTTTACCAGTGCGACGGTCCTTTCTCTCCTCCGCCAAACGGTGTGCTGTCTCATGCTGTTGTAGCCCCCGCTCGCCGAGATCCGAGATCAGTGGTCGGTACGGCTCGTGCTTTTCAGCTTTTCCGCATTGTGGAAGCTTTGCGTTTCTCACATTGATCGAAAGAGAAGGTAGAGTTCTCGTGACATCGCAATGCTGCAGGAAAGCTACACTCATCAGTCAGGTTTCATGTAGCTTAGTAATATAACGACACAACTTCAAAGAATTGTGCCACCTGTACCTGAGGGCTGCACGAGGTAAAAAAACAAAAACGACTGCAGAGATACAGGCCCTTCAAAAGCGTGACTGGCTCGGGTGGGACGCCGAAGCCTCAAAATCTTTGGTCAACTGGCTTTAAGACAAGCCGAGCACGCGACCTGTGTCGTCATGAACATGCCCTCTTCGGCGAAACAAAGCCCACATTGAAACAGATTTGAAATCAATCGAAAAACCCTGGTGTTTTAGGAGCCCGCTTGTGTCACTGATGCTCTGATCACGCCTGTTTATATGGCCGACGCTTGAGTCCTTCCTTTAAAGCATTCTGGACAAGACCGATGCCCCGATAGCTAACAAGAACCTCGTTAAGCGGACCGCTTGGTAGGATAGCCTATCTCGATTCGTTTAATTGCATACCGTTCGGAGCGTTCTATCACATAAAAGCTGTTCAGCTACGTCTCGCGGGGGATTACACACGAGCGCGAGCCCGACCCCGCAGCGACAGAGACGGCACGCGGCACGTGTCTATGGTCATGCGTCCGCCACGTGGTTGAGATCCACACGAGCACGGGCTGACCCTGTAGCGACAGAAACAGCACGCGGCACTTGTCGGTGTCGGTGTACTCATGTGCTGTCGCAATCGTGACGCCAGATTCCGCGGCGCGCGGTGGCCGGGCGAAAGTCCGGCGCCGCCGCCGCTGTACACGGAATCTCCGGCCGACGACTCCCTGAGAGAGGAATATCCAGCAGTGATCCAGCGATGATGAGTGGGGGTAGGCACGGCCCCAGTGGAGCCGTGTCTACTGGGGCGTAATAAGTAAATCACCTGCTCTTAGGAGGACGTGTCGTTCCGGCCGTCTCACATTTGCGCTGTGGTCAGTGCTCTGACTGATGCTTGTTGAGATGTCGGAAGTTATCATGTACGACGCTGTCAGATGACAATGGCAACTGTTGTCAGTACCAGAAGACGTAGAGACTTCTCAAACTGTCGGAACTTGATACAAAATATGGCTGTTTTAATAATGCCAGAACGAAAGGAAAACTCTCTGAAATTGAAGCTCAGCACCGGAAACCACGAAATCGTTGACATCGCGTCTGTACGCGATATTTTATCGGGTCCCAAGAGACGACCGTCGCGACCCTCTGACCCCGCCACCGAGCCCCAGCGCAACGTTCGGCTGGGATGCCACATCCGCCTGCGTGCCCCGCGGTGAAGCTGAAGTGCTGTCCACGACGGAGCTAACGCCCCCCCCCCTCCCCCCCCCGCGCGCTGCAGAGGGCGAGGCCAGCGAGGTGCTGCGCGAGGCGACCGTGCGCGTCCATCGCCAGCAACTGTGCAAGCAGCGGTACCGCGCGCTGCGACACAAGATTATCGACAACCAGATGTGCGCCTCCTCAAAAGGACAGGACTCGTGCCAGGTCAGTGGCCCACCCCACATGCCAGGCATCTAGCGGGCCGGCGCGCCGGGAACTCTGTGAGCTACTGGACGGGTCGCATTGGTTTGATTTTTGGTGGATCGCAGGGATCTGCTGTGCTGCTGAAGCAGAGTAGATAACGCACCGGTCGCCTGTGTTGCGTGGGTGCTGTCGGCCTGGATATCTGGCTCCGGAAACACCACCGGTGGGGGAGGGCGGGGGAGCAGTGGGTTATGGATACCAGTTTGCCCTCATGCATTACAACTGCATGCATGTGAGTGCTCAATTGCGAGGAGAGGCAACATTTCATGTACGTGCCATCGTAAACTGCCACTGAAAACTCTATTCGCTGGACTAATGACTTATGCGTCTGGATGTCAACAAAAACAAAATCATTCGCAAGGAAGAGTGGCGGTCTGCAGCCGTTCTGTGCCACACGAAAGCCCCGGCCTCAGATTGAAGCATACGCCAGAGTAAGCCTTTGTCAGCCTGCTGCTGGAGTTTTGACGGCCCTCTGTGCGGCAGGGCGACAGCGGCGGTCCGATGCTGTTCCCGGGTCGGGTGACCACCAACTGGTACGTCATGGGCGTGGTGTCGTTCGGCCTCCGCTGCGGCGAGCCCCGCTTCCCCGGCGTCTACACGCGCGTCGTACCATACCTCGACTGGATCACCGACAACCTGCGCTAGGGGCGCCGCCGGCCCCGGCCGGGTCACGGCACGTGCGCCCTCGGCCCGGTGACCGGTGACCCTCCGGCTCCGGGGTCCTGGGTTCCTCGGGGCGCAGTCGCTCGAGACCCGTCGCTGGGTCGGTGAATACAGACAACGGACTCGGCGAGTCAACGTATAAAGACAACGAAGACAGGCGATGCGGGCACGTGACTGCCCGCTCCTCGCTCGGGGCGTAGAGAAAGCATGACACATGAAAAGACACTAGATGAAAGAATGATAACATATAGAGCAGTTTTCCACGGCCCGAATGCTTGTGGTTGCTCGCTTTTTCTGAGGGCCGTCATTGAAAAACTACAGGGTGGCGTTGTTGTGTCTGCGGACCGTCGGGCCTTCGTTGAAAGGCGGGCATTGTTGAGCCACGGACCCGCCTGCTGTGAAGTGTAAGCCTGATGAAGTGGTATGCCAGTGGAACGAGAGATAGACCAGCCAGGATACCAACTGGATATGTGATCACCGTGTCTCCTACAGGCTGTTTTGGCCATAATATGTATGCTCGCTCCAGCTGCTGTGGCGACCTGGCCGCGCCATCGCATGCATGGCTTCGTCACAGCGGCGAGCCCGTAAGGTCCGGAGGAAACACTGCTCTGCACGGCTCGTGTGCCGGCGGTGCATTACGGCCAGAGCTGTTCGTTATCTTCGTATCGTTGGATGTTTGTGGAGACGTTTCAGGATCCTTGGATTGGGCAACTTGAACTGAGCAATGGCGTGCTGTCAGTGAGGCCTGGACTTGCCCAAACTCGTCATGCTTCTAAGATGAGCTTATTAATGTAATGCTAGTAGGAGACACTCCTGCTCGGGGACCGAACATTTGTGTCGGTTTCGTCAAGTTGAACAATGTCTGCGGCAAACTTGCTCCCTGGTTTATGATTCCGTAAATATAGTTGGACTTCGTCGATAACCTGTTTACTCAATGTGCCGGCGTCATGGCACACCAGCTAAGACCACTCGGGATATCGAATACCAAGCACTACAACTGGACTGATAAATACGGGAAGGCCACACCACGCTCCACGTCCGCAGACGCAAGCCATCCATGTGATCCGGCCCGCAGGTGCAAGCCATCCGTGTGTTCCGGTCCGCAGACGCAAGCCATCCGTGTGTTTCGGTGCGCAGATGCGAGCCACCCATGTGTTCCGGCCCGCAGATGCAAGCCATCCGTGTGTTCCGGTCCGTAGACGCAAGCCATCCGTGTGTTCCGGTGCGCAGATGCGAGCCATCCGTGTGTTTCGGTTCAAAACCGTGAACAAAATATTGACAGAATGGCAATGCCCGGTTGGAACAAGTGAGTCAATGTAGATCACGTTAAAGAAAGGCATACCAGCAGGTGGTTGGTGGCAGGCGGGTGTTTCTCCACAACGTTCCGCAACAGTGAGACAGTTGGGCCGCTGCTCCTTTCCAGCAGAGCAGCACTCGCATCACCTGCAGGACCTAGCATGCTGACTGCCGCGTTCCCATCCATGACTGAATTTAGTGAGGTAACGCTAGCAGAAAAGACATCCATTCTCTTGATTCTGAACAAGGCCAGTGCCACGTGTTTCGTGTGTGTGTTTTGTCTAGCATGAGAGTTTACCACGGACTGAATTTTGGTGGTCCGGCTCGGTTCAGTCGCAACAACGTCATGTTCACGCGCCACCAATCCGCCTTGTTAACAGGCTGGAAATCCGGTTGTCTCCATTCCGTCAAAGCAACAAATTTTCAATACAATCCTTCCAGTCCGTCACATTCCAGCTCTGATAACTACATTCACATCAGCCGGTGTGCATGGAAACTTTCTATAGTGCCTGAACTGGGTACACGGTATGCTGATTCGTGAAACGTGTTTTATGTGACGTAAATGGGCATATCTAACTTCTGCAACTGACATGGCAAACTCCAATCAGTTCCCAGGTGTTTACGCTACCTGATTTGGAATCCATTTCAATACTAACGTGTACATTAGAGTTACACACATTCAGTTCTGTTTCCAGAAGGGTGAAAGCTTGACACGGAGGCTTGTAACACTTATAGCGCCAAGTTTGAGGTCCCCTGGGAGCTCATTGTGCAGGAAGGAAACTTTTTGCCTGCCCACAGTGTTTGTGACCAGTGATGTTCCCAAAGAGGCTGTCGCTACATTTTGGCCCGCATCTTGTCAACTTGAACGTGCGATCAGAATCTGAAGCGACCACCTTTGGTGTGAAATGAACATTTGAGAACAAAATGGGTCATGGTTAACGTAGACGCGTTAACGACTACACTGTCGGCACCTTCCGCTTCGACTTAACTCGTGCTTTTGCATGCGGGCTCACTCGACAGCCAACGGTCTCTGAGAGAAGAGAGCCGAACAATTAACAGAGTCCTTGACTCCCCCACATCCTCAGCGATGGCAACCGGAGATGGCAATGATCGAGCCCCTCGTTTCTGATGCTGGTGTTGATTCAGTCCCAGCCCCTGTCGCTGGTGGCACTCCCTACTTCCATGCGACTTGGGCTTGCGTTCTGACGTCTTCATCACCTATGACGTCAGCACAGCGTCCTGCGCCATGAGGTCAGCGGCGCTATTCGGTTTGCCGCGCGCTCTGACGTCAGTGTCACGTGTGAAGTAAGCGCAGCGTCCCGCCCTATGACGTCAGTGGCGCTGCTTGGTCTGCCAAGCGCTCTGACGCTTGTGACGCCTGAGACAAACAGCGGCCCGCGCTCTGACGTCAGCAGCTCCGTCTGTCCCCTCTGACATCAGCAGCACCCTGCGCCCTGACGTCTGTGACGTCTGCCGTCCGCAGCTCCGTCTGTCCCCTCTGACATCAGCAGCACCCTGCGCCCTGACGTCTGTGACGTCTGCCGTCCGCAGCTCCGTCTGTCCCCTCTGACATCAGCAGCACCCTGCGCCCTGACGTCTGTGACGTCTGACGTCAGCAGCGCGCGGTCCTGTGACGCCCGCGGCGCTGCGCGGTCTGTCCAGCACCGGCCACAAAGCCGCCGGCGCCGGCGGACGTCAGCGCCGCTCTGTTTACACCAGGCGGCCGGAGATTCCAGTAGGCCGCGGAGCCCACGGCGTCACCAGCGAGGGTCGACGCCGCGCCGAGTGGCGTACAGTGCAGTGCAGAGGTGCTGGACGGCGCGGCACGCGGCGACGAGCGTTCCGAGGAGGCGTCGGCCGCTGCGCTCACCAAAGGCATTCGTGCATCCACTCCGCCGACAAGCGCGACGCGGTGGGGCAGTCAGGAACGGGCGCTCAGGACAGAGGCAGTCGCCGTTGTTGGAAGAGTGGCACCGGTTGCGCGCGCGGGTCTGGTCACCGGACAGCTGCACCCCTAACAAGGTCTGTGGGACACTGGTGACCGTGACTGGTGACAGTCAGAGCAGGTGCTGGGCTCAGTTGGGCTCAGTCTTGCGTTTGATTTTGCTTCAGTGCATCTGACGATGATTTGAGTGGCACCAAACTCGCTGGCAGATAATCAATCCTGCACAACATTCTTAAAAATGAAAGGCATACTTAATTTATATCACATGTGGAATTCAAGGAACTGTTTCCTAAGCCATGGCCACTTTTCCAAACTCTTGCCTTTCTCCATAAGTGTATCAAAAACCTATATCTGCATTGTCAGTTCAAACCTTGACATATCTTGTGTCGTCATAGTCAACGAGTGGTTTGTGACATTGAGGCGGGCATTTTGTGAACTTAACACAACAGTATAATGCGTCTGGATCCCGAGGGTGAACCTCGGATCCCGCATGTTCCATCAATGCAAGGATTCTCAATCTTTGCATCCGTTTTCGTGGAATTCTGCCACAGTTTTGCTTGCCAGCATGAACAGATAGATAATATTCGGTCACGCATTCATCCGTAACGATCTTATAAACCGTACATGAGTCCCGCGTGTTTCACGGGCACACGGTTTCGGTGTTTGCCCCTGTCGACTATTCTCGACCGTGATCTGTGGCGATTTTGTCTGACCCGCGCCGTCTTTTGTCAGATGCGGAGTATACCCAGTCTGCTTCTGCTCTTCTGCTCCGTCTTATTGTGTCAAGGTCAAGGTATGGTGGTCGGCTTGTCCGAGGCCTCGCTGCCCTCGCCCCGCGACGGCCGACATAAACAGTGGCGACGTTTGCAGGGGCCTTCTGCTCGGTTAGCGCCGCCAGAGGGGAGCACCGACGCGGTCCGGTCGAAGTGACGCGCTCATATGCGCCCTGTTGAATCGGACGCTCTGCTTACTGAGGGACAGCAGTGCATGTTCACGCTTTGCCAGTGCTCCCCACACCAGTGTCAGGTCAACAATGCCACTGGGGCACCGCTTCAACAGTAAATGCGTCAGTAGTTGTGTGATCGTCTCGATGAGCGTAAATGCCTTTGGATCGATTGTTTCTTGCGATGTCCATGTTAAGCTGAGGTCTAGCTTTCGCCCGCTTTCGTATTGTTAGCACTGGGCCGTAGCACGTTCGCAGTTTAAGGGTGATCATGAGCGCCACTGGTGTTTTATACTCTTATTTGGTAGAGCAAGAATAAACAAACTTTCCGTAGCTCAAGCTGCCCGCTTTCCTCTGCCCTGATACGGATTTCTTATGATTCTAAGTGGGGCGTCCTGTCATGATGACGTAGGTACCACGTCGTGGCGTTCCAGCAACATCCCTCTCCCCCTAGGATTCTACTTCCCTGGCGAGGCACCTCAGCGTACCCCGCCTTCGCCTTCGCCGCCGGCGCCGACGCCGACGCCGACGCCGACGCCGGCGGCCGCGGCGCCGGAGCCGGGCGCCGCCGGGCCGCAGCGGAACAAGCCGGTGGCCCGCTTCAGCCGCCCCCGCCCGCTGCCGGCGCAGGACACCCTGGAGAGTCGGCCCACGAAGCCGTCCGACGACGACGACGACTACGAAGACGGCGGCGGCGGCGCCGACGACACCTTCTTCTTCCCTGCCGAGGACGAGGTCACGTTCACCTCGAGCACGGTGTCGGGGAGCGAGACGGAGCTGGTGATCAGCGCCCGCGCCAGGCACCGCGACGCGTGCCGAAACCCGCGCGGCCAGTTCGGCCGCTGTTTGGAGATCGGCGAGTGTCCGATGCTGCAGGCCATGCTCAGGAGACGGTCCAGAAGCACGCTGATCTTCCTGAAGCAGTCCATATGCAGGTTTGAGAGGTCGGTGCCGCTGCTGTGCTGTCCGCAGGTCCCGTTTAAAACGCGGATCGATGCGACTCCGGCTACGACGCCAAAGCCGACGACGCCGCCGCCACCGACGACGACGCCGCCGCCGCCGCCGCCGACGACTACGACTACCGCGACCACGACGACCACAGCCACGACGATTTCAACCACGACTTCTACCACGACTACCACTACCCCAACAGCCGCGCCGACTCCGCCTGGCGTGGAGCAAACGCCTTCCAAGGGCGCCGCACAAGAAGAGGTCACAACCCCATCCCCACCAGCGGAGACAACGTCCTCCGAGGTGCCTCCTACCACCGCAGAGACCACCGCACCACCCACCGCCGCGCCGTCGCCCACAACGGCCGCGCCTGCGCGTAGGACCACGACTCCCGCGACCGGCGAGGCCTCCCCGACCACGACCCCGGCGACCGGCAGCACGACAGAGCCGCCGGCCGTGGCGACAGCGCGCCCCAGTCCGGCCGGCTCGACGGAGCGGGCCGACCCGGCCACCACCGCTGCTTCGGGGGACGGCGGCGACGGCGAGGCAACCAGCCGGGACGGACGCCTGCACAAGGGCTACCGCATGCCCGCCCCGCCCGCCTGCGGCTACCGCAACGTCACGGGCGTCAGGATCGTCGGCGGCACCGAGTCGGAGCATGGTGAGGATGTCGGCCGGTCTCCTAGCGAGGCTCCGGCGGCCGTCGGCGGCGCTTACTCGTTGAAGATGGCTGCATGATCATCATTTTTCTCTCATGAATGGTTGCATGATTTAAGCGGGTTGGGTTCCAAACTGAGTTAGGCTGAAAACGTGCTTTGTAAACATCTTGGCGTGTCGCAGTTCGGTACTCGGCAGTCGCTCGCAGAGGGCTGTTTGGCACAGGGCAGTAGCTCAGAGAAGACTGTTTGCGATACCGTCTGTCCGTCCAAACATTTCGCCATGCTGGGCCCAGGCGGCTGGGGCGATCGTCTCCAAACGGCGCCAATTGACGGTGCCACCTCGCTGTCGGCTGTAGCAGTTGGTCAGACAGACCATGTTGCCGCAGTGCCGGGTCGATCAACACACCGGGTGGCAGGCCGCCGTGCCTCGGAGGTGGCACGCCGCCGTGCCTCGGAGGCCTGTCGGAACCGTCAGGGTTGCGGGTCAAACGGACGGTGGGGTGGGGGGGGGGGGGGGCGCAGGGTACCACTCGCCAGCGGAAATATGGCCGCCGGCGTGCTCCACGATCCTGTTGGGATCTGCGGAGTGAGCTGTGCCGTGTGCCGCTCGTCGTCGCGACTCGCGAGCTCTTCGGACTCGGACACGGCCCAGTCATCAACGCGTGGCACTGCGGCCGTCAAACATGACACATGAAGGAGGTGGTGGAATTCGGCGCCGTCAAAAGCGAAGCCGTCGGCGCTACGACGTGCGCGCGATGACTTCGCGCACGCTCGCATCCCTTTCAACTCGGTAACCCACATCCCGCCACCACTCGAAGCTGTGCTGGTCATGCCCTTGGCGTGGCAGACGGCAGAGTGGCAGAGCGATATATCCAAACAGGTTTAATTCGGCGCGGGCCGCTGGTGCGCTCACGCTGCACATACAAGTGGCTGGGACTGGGAAGATTGGTACACCGTGCATCGTTCACTACTGCTATCTGAGCACGTGCACATCTGTACCCCACACACACTGAAAGTCTCTGTAGCGCGTGCACGTGAGATTTGCCCCTTGCTTCATGGCCGTTGGCAGCACCTCGTGGCTGAGATCTGGCACACCGTGTGCCCAGAGCAGAAGAGCCCAGCTCCATCGGTGTGTTGATTTCTTGCGTGTTCAGTCGTCGCCCAGACTGACATCCGCCCGCGCAGACGGGCGAGCACCGGGCGGACTACGCTGATCATGGGATCAGCTGATAATACCAAATCTGGTAAGCTGTTTGATATATACAACTGCTATGCAGGATGTACCTGTTCGCGACAAATGTGACGGATGGCTCGTGGTACACGTGCTTAGGTTTGAAACCCTGTTTCCTCCTATGGCCGTATCTAGCATTCAAAAGGCACACGTTAGCTTCGTGCTTACGTTCACTGGGCCCTTGGACCACATGCACACACATAGGCGTGATCGGCGTACGCGTTTCGCTGTCATGACGTGAGTGCCGACGTCGGCACCTGCACGCGCAGATACGTCCCCATTACGCACAGACACGCCCCCATCACGCACAGACACGCCCCAGCACGCACAGACACGTCCCCATCACGCACAGACACGCCCCCATCACGCGCAGACACGCCCCATCACGCACAGACACCCTCCAGCACGCACAGACACGCCCCCATCACGCACAGACACGCCCCCATCAAGCACAGACACCCCCAGCACGCACAGACACGCCTCATCACGCATTGGATGGGCTGCGTCGGTCGCCGAATGGCCAGATAAGGCGCACTGTCCATGGTGTAATGCCAGGCTGTTGCGTGGCCCGCACACTGTCGCGGGTAAGGGCGCTGGAACGCTGCTGGCGCCGGTTCACACCTCTGGAACCTCTCTGCGTTCCATGGCCCGTGCCTGGTAGGCGGCGGGGTGCTGTGGCTTTATAGCGGCACGTGGGGTGGATTAAGGTTTGTGTAGAGCGCAAGATGCACCAGCTGAGCGTCCTGCCGCTTCGTGACGTCCTGTACCCGTGGCCAGACGAAGCGCAACCTAATGCCGGTCACGTGCTGGCGATTCCTGCGATGTACCAGCGGCGGTCTTAAAGTAGTATTGTTCGCATATCCACGCCCGTGTGGCGTGGGTATGCGAACAGTACTACCAAAGACCACCGCAAGAGATCATGGAAGGCATCATCTGCATGTGTAGCCGAAACATATCATTATATCTGAATTTTAGGGAGACTACAATTTAAGCTGTGGGCGTCGTTGGCATGCTGGCTGCATTCATCACAAATGCCGTCAGTGCCAGTGGTGTCCGGGCTGTAAAGAAATGCATCACTCATTATTACACACGATATGTATCACTCATTATTACATACGATATTGAGGACCACCTTGACTGTATTTACCCATCAACATCTTGACCCATATTTACCCATATAGCCCTTCCTCTTGTAGTTGGGCATCGTCACACAATCGCTGGATTGCACATGTCTCTGTCATATATTGTCAGGTCAGTGAGTAAATATCTCATATCTCCCTGCCACGCCACAAGCCTGAGCTGGCGTTTTTACTTTGCTTTTAAGTTCTTGAGAGATATTTTTTTTAAAAATGTAAATCGAAGATGAACAAAACTACATGCATTCAAAAGTAATCGCCTCTCGTTTTGTATTTCCACTGCGTTTTTATTTCGGGTTGAATGCAGATTTGTCAAAGAAAATACCATTGCATCGTGCATGCACACATTGACAGAACGAAGTATTGGTTGCAGTGTACAGGAGGAGGTGGAGAGGCTTGCAGGTCGGATCGCCATGAATGTCCCTAGTAGAACTTTGCGGACAATTTAAGCAACCGATGCAACGATACGTGAGCCGTCTAACTGAACACGCCGCTATGCTTTCGTAGGCCAGTGGCCGTGGATGGCCGCGCTGGGCTTCGATTACGAGGACGGCAAGATTGAGTTCCAGTGCGGCGGCGCACTCATCACCGACCGGCACGTGCTCACCGCCGCTCACTGCATCTTCGGCAAGGACAACCTGTGAGTGTGCTAACGGCGGCACAGCGCCGGCGAGCGACGCCGCCGTCGGGGACAGGGACCAGGACAGCCATCAGAGACGGGGGCTAGCGACAGACACCAGGGACGGGAACCAGGACAGACATCAGGGACGGGAACAGGGACAGCCATCCGGGACGGGGACAAGGGGCATTCATCAGGGACGGGAACTATAGACAGCCTGCATGGTCCCTGTCGGTTGTGTCAGTCGGCCAGATGGTGCCGCCAGCAGGGACAGGGGCCAGGACAGCCATCAGGGACGGCGACCAGGGATAGCTTTCAGGGACGGGAAGCAGGGACAGCCGTCAGGGACGGGAACCAGGGACAGCCACCAGGTGCGGAGACCAGGGACGGTCTATATGGTCCCTGTCAGTGGTGCCAATCGGCCAGGTGGTGTTGCCAGCAGGGGCAGAGACCAGCGAGTGATGTGACTGTGCATGGGTACATGGGTGTCACTACCCATAGACTCAAAGGCTGAAGGCCCCCCCCCCCATATTCGCCGGATTGTAAGGTGAGCGCGTTGGCTTTCCAAAAATAAGAATTAGCCGTCGATCTCAACGTTCCCAAACATTGCTTTGAAGATCGGCGCCCCTGCTGGCCTGATTATCCAGCAGACGATGAGGCCACACTTATCTTCATTTTTGGATCGTCAGCTGACAGTAGTCATTCGAGGCGCTGGCCGCGGTTTAACGAGAGCTGCAGGATCAGGTGCCCTGGGACCCGTGCCATAGCTACACCGGTGGCGCTCCGACACTATTTCTGACAGCGTGGCTCGAAGGAAGTGTCCTCACTCAAAACTGTCGGATCCCCACATCACATTCAAAACATGCTGCCGTCGGCTGCCCTGTCATGGAGACTCCGCGTTGCAAAAGTGCATGCGCACGCGGTGTGCCCACGGCAGCCTCGCTCCAATGAAAGTGCGCTCTTTTTGTTGCAGTAACTGGGCGAGGATCGGCGACCATGACCTGGCCAATGAAACCGACGTGGACACAGCTAAGAGCTATCGTGTGATCGAGCGCCGGATGCACGAGCAGTACAACTCGAGGACGTTCGCCAATGACATCGCCATACTGGTGCTGGAGGAGGCCGTCGAGTTTAACTGTGAGCCCGCGCCCGTCCAGTCGTCATCGTTCAGCAACACTAACATTGACAATGACAATGACAGCAATGGTAACATTACAGCGATGCGTGATAGAGCGAGTAACTGAGCATCGCACGTGGTGTTCTCATTGCCATGGGCTAACGGTGTTATCCATTATCATAATTATCATAGGAACCAGTACCTCGAAGCGCGAATATCACGAACCATCTGAGCTCATCAAGTGAAACAGTGATTCACGTATTCTACGTACACATTTGACTGAAATAATAAAACTGCAATATATGTAGACGTAATTATAACATAGGCGACAGTAAACGTAATTATACAATAGAATTACGACATACATGACGTCATTTGGCGCGTATGAAGCCATTTCCAGAAAATAGTTACTATCATTAACTTCTACACCCCTGATCCACCCGTTTCTGGATCTAATCCGGTTGCTACTGAAAAATCCTGCCGTCCCTTTAGCCCGTTTTTTTTTTCTAAGGAGGCTGCGATTGGCTGAACACCATAGGGTGGCACGTTTTCGCCTCCCCCTCTCCATTCAGCCATCATGGGTGTTACCGAACCATTTTGCCCTTATCTCGACAACCAACCACCCATTTTGCAATCTAAAACACAGTCGATTGCCTGGATAGTCTATCAGCATCCAAGCTGCCCCAACAACGACGAACAGATGAAGTCAGTATTCAAAGTTCAGTTCTCAACTGTAGTTTCATCGTTCTCACAGCGCTTCGGCCGGCTACTCCTCCGAGCACTGTCTCCGACCGTCGACCGTGGTGCTGATCAGGACTCTGGGGATGCTTGGCATGCAGCCATGTATGCATGAGGAGGGCTGGCCTTGCAGTCCTCAGCAGGGCCGATCAGCACCCGTCGACGGTCGTGAAAGTCACCAGTCGGGACGCTGCGTGGATAATAACACTACTGACGGGACAGTGGTCCGAATAATTATTGCATTCGCAGAAATACAGTAGACAAACCTTTCTACACATAATTTCTCGCCGCGAGCTCCGGTAACGGCATTATATATATATATATATATATATATATATATATATATATATGCATGTATATATATATATATATATATATACAAACATTATATATATATAAACATTCATCGGCTGTCGGTGAAGCGATCATGGAACATCCACAGACCTCAGGTCGTTCATGCACGTGTCTGTTTTCCCGGTTTGTTTTGGTTGCTCTCACTGTTTGTATTGACGTGGCCGTCTCCATCTTGTCCACAGACGCGCGGCACACTGTATGCCTGCCTTTCGCCGAAAACATAAAGAAGTTCAACCTTGAAAAACAGAAGCCGTTCATAGCAGGATGGGGAACAACCAGATACCGTACGTTTAGTGGTCTTCTGCTTTGCATTTTCGGCATCTGAACTTCCGTTGCCTTTTTTAGGAAGTAACATGTGCACTGATGCGTGCCCTCTTGCCCGGCTGACTTGGAGAAAACCGCATGTCCTCAAACGTTCTGCTGTTTCTGTCTTCAAAGCAAATAACATTAAGCGTGCAACAAGATCACCTCGAAAACGCTCACACTTGCACGATGGTCGCTGCAACACATGCAACTGTGAGCGTCATCATCATCGTACTCGGATTTTCTCACACCATAAAAGACCCCGGAGATCAAGTGAAATATTCACGCCGTGTGCGAGATTTGAACTTACCCCTTGGCTTGACCTCACTGCAGGTGGGACGGCGAGTTCAACTCTGCTGCACGCCCAGGTGCGGGTGGTGCCGGAAAAACGGTGCAAGAGACGCTACAAGAAGTTTAAACAGATCACCGTCACCAAAAAGATGTTGTGTGCCCGCAGTCCGGGCAAGGACACGTGCCAGGTGAGCGCGGCCGGCCCGCCATCTGTCGGTGAATTGTGGAAGGGCGGCGGGCATGTGTAGTACCCGTCTGTCCTAACCACTGCGGTGATCTACTGGTGATCACCATAGTCTGTGTGTTAACCTTTTCCGGATGAGAAGCTCAGAACTTTCCAGTAATGGTCTGAAATGCATTTCGAATCAAGACATGCATGATACTAACAATTCTGAGTTTTCAAAGTTGCGTGACGTTGCTAACGATCGTCCGTTGTGGCCCATCAACAAGAATTCTCTTTGAACCGTGGCAGTCGAACTTTGCGATCTGGAGCCATATCACGCATGCGCTTTTGACGAAAAAAAAAACGTTGTAGGGAAAAGAATATTGTATCAGGTCATTCAAGGTCAGCCAAAACAAATGTACCGAGAAGAGAAATCTCGGTGGGACTAATTGCTGCTTTTTGGACCTCTTTCCGCGTAACGTGAGTCGCATTAAAGGGAGTGTCCCAGCTTTGGCACATATTTGAAAAATATACTCTAGAGAAAGTCTCAGGACTAGTCACGTCTAATAGTATCACTGGGTAGCGCCACTGCAGCACTGTAAAGATGTAATAGGGATATCAATTTAAATTATTTTCGAGTCCAGACTGCGTCGTCCACGCTTTGCAACAGCACTACCTATTCTTACTACACTTCTTCCCTGCAGCCGCGACTACCATCGTCATGTCAACGACCGTGCACACTTCTAGTGCTGCGAATAAAGGAACGTTTGTGATTGGCTTAACGGGCAAGAGCCTGTTACCGAGGAAACGGTTGGCTGAAGTTTAAAACAGCACGTCACATGGATCATGTGACGCTCCCATTTCCAAAGCCAAAGTACGCCTCGAAAAGAGACACTGTGGTAAAAGTCATAAAGGAGAAATCAAAGCCATAGTATGACGTTTTGTTGAGTTCGCGGGATGACAGCTTCATGTTCTTGTCTATTTTTTGCCCATACAGACAAAAAAAGCTTCCGTAGCATTCCTTGCGCAATCATTTTGACACACTAGGGTATTACAACGTAACAGAAGACACGCGTTGGAAAAAGCAAGGCAAATTAAATGAATCACTTTCATAGTGATGAGCAAGTAGTCAAATCGGATTTCTACCTGAGGGTTGTCTACCTCAAATAGAAATTCTGAGCTACTCAGAGGGATTTCGAAAAATTGGCACAACTGATCAAATTGCACCCGTCTGATATAATAATAAGCGAAAGGGACAAAAAAGTGGGATGTTCCCTTTAACCGAAGCTTGGTGCAGCTCAATATGTGCTATCCAGCGTGTTTGAAAGGGTGGAGCAGATTTTTGGTTGGCGTAATTCACTTAGAAGTCCTTAGTAATAGTATTGCTTGAAAAAATGCGATGTTTAAAGGGATTGATTCTACCGGAGATGTTTTTGAGCTAGATGTCTAGAAAATTGCCGCGCACTCTCTCCAAATTCACGCACGTCTCCTTGCCAAGGAGTTTCCTCATTGCGCCTGATCATATGTTTTGCCTTAACATGGGAATAGTGTGAGGTGTGCAGCACCTACTGATACTCTTAAGGTGACATCAAATAGATTTCGTGGTGCATGCACGGAATATTATTCACTGTAGCATGTCAACAGCTTATCCAACATACCAAGTCGCGTATTTTGCCACAGTCATGAAAAGAATGCTCCAATGCGTGGAGGGGGGGGGGGGGGGGAGCGCGCCCCAACATTCGTGAACTTTTCCGGCGCCAGCCCTTGGGCGTTATTATGGAAATACTTAAGTTAAAAGCACGCTTTGTCCAATAAATGTACCTTTCTTTGATCACGTACAATAAATTGATCGGGGTACACAGGAAATTGCGCCCCAAACTGGGCAACTACGCCGGTAGGTGGGCAGTCGGAGGGTTCAAAGCATGCGACTTCTCTTTTTTATTATGTCCAGGATGGCCGTGGTAGCACTTTTCTTATTGCAGGGGTCCATCGTGCCCACAACCGTTTCATTTCTCCCGCACTCATGGTCAACATATTAAACTACGAAATCGAGGATGATGAAAGTAAAATCGTAGCCATGATAGCCTTAATATATTGGGTTGAGACAGACACTCCCACTGCCAAGGCCATTGCAGAGGCTGCGAGTATCGTAAAACCGTCTTTACATGCAATCCTTTGAGCGTAATATCAGGTATCCGAACAGTTCGGTAGGTGCGCCCCGGGCTTTGCTGTCACTAATGTAACAGACTAGCACATGTTGTGAAAACGCGCCTGGAACGGCGAGTGAGCCAAGTGGAACGCAGAGTCCAGCATTCAGGTTCGACATCAACATAACATTGGAGCATGGGATGAATGAACTTCAGCGCAGCATATCTGCCTCCTCCTCCCCCCCCCCCCCCCGAAACGCGCACACCCCCAACTACTGGCGAGTGCTGATTGGCTGAGTCTGGACACGCCACCCGTCCACCCGCGGAGGCGTCGCACTGTCACTGGTCGTGACGTCAGTCCTGGGCGGGGCAAACTCGTCGGCAGAACATCTGCAGCCGACGCGTCGGTCTGGCTCCGTGCCAAGCCTCGGGCCGCTGAACGCCATAGGCACAATTCTTATGGCTGTAAAGGCCACACACGAATATGCAAGGTAACTGTTCGGTGTCATCCGACTTTTCCTACCGCATGCCCTAAATTCCTGTCTTGTGTTGTGCTGGCGGGTACCGCCTGCTGTCCGTGCTGGTTACCGCGCGTGCAGCAATGACATTTCGCCTGTATCGGTGGCATACTCAAGCGATGCTCGCCTGCTGCGCCGCAGTGTCAAGGTCATGACCACACGCCGCCGTGCGACAGGGCGACAGCGGCGGGCCGCTCATGTTCCCCGCTCCGGACGGCGACTTCTGGTACACGGTGGGCGTGGTGTCGTTCGGGTACCGCTGCGCCGACCCGCGCGTGCCCGGCGTCTACAGTCGTGTCACCGAGTACCTCGACTGGATCATGGACCACTTGGACTGAGACACCCCTCACGCGAAGAGCGCGCCGGCCGGCCGCCGAGCAGCGCCGCCGCTGCTCCTTCCAATGACGTCCTGCAGGCTCCCAGTGCAGTTTAAGGGACTCGATGGGTCAGTAGCGCAGGATGTGTTCGATACGTGTTTGTGAGCGCCGCCGCTGCTCCTTCCAATGACGTCCTGCAGGCCCCCAGTGCAGTTTAAGGGACTCGATGTGTCAGTAGCGCAGGATGTGTTCCATGCGTGTTCGTGAGTGGTTTGGGGCATGGCACCACTTGGTCGCGAGAACCATCAAGTGACTGCACTTACCAAAAGTCGCCTTCACTGGAGCACTGACTCAAGCACAATGCGTGACGAGCGCGGGTGGAATTTCATGTGCAAGTTCATATGAGTGGCAATGATATCATCTGCAAATTTTTATGCCATGATCACAGGCGGTCATGTAAATAAACGCGTTGATCGTGTGAACATTTTCTGCGCCAAACAAGGCCGAGTAAAAGCCATTCGTCCCCTGGTAATTGCATCATATGGCTAAAAAACATGCACGTGGTCAGGCCATGATGTATTGTACTCGTATTCACATCGCAAATAGGTGTTGCCAGGCGACAAGACCTACGGCTTAGACAAAGCCGCGGAACCCGCTGAAGCTGGGCCTGCAATATACCTAAATTGTTCGAAACGTTGACACATGCTATACGACCTTTTTAATTCCTGAGCTGCACAAACACACGCGTGGCTGGTCGCTATCCTCTGATCGTTGCTTGGACCGGCTCCCCTCGGCCCCTCGCAGGCGCCCGCGCGCGCTGCCGCGCACAGGGGTGTGTCCAGAGGGAGGAGCGGGCGGGCAGGCTGGAGCAGGCAGCAGAACACACGGGCTGGCTTCACAATCATTCCGAATGCGTTCAAATAGTCATTGTTGACGGAACGTGACGTTGATGTGTAGTTCTCCAACGATGGCTACTTTTTAAGGGAGCACTTTATTGCTTCGGGTTAAAGGGGATGCTCCACATTTGAAGATGTTGAAGCACAATCATTCAGATATAACGAAATAAGCTCATATATGACTATTGATATACTTTAAAATGAAAATGATGCTCTAGACAAGACAATTTGTCTGTTTAGTAAACATACTTCCAATGCGTCAGTGTTTGATTACGTCACAGTGCTTTGTACAACATTGATTGAGAATAAATTGACGGCCGGTATATCTGGAAATCGTGCTCATGAACACCAGATGTGAGCGACTCGACAATGACATCTTTACTGGCCTTGATCGCGGTGGAATGGCAGGATTTGCCAGTGGAATGGCAGGATTTAAATGACGTTGTTATGACATCATGGATGCCTGGGCGATCTTTAATTAGTCTCCCAAAATTGTCCGCACATCTCGGAGGGTGTGTAGCTAGAAGGGTTTAAAAAACTAGAAGGGTTTAGGTCTTAGGAATGGCAGGGCTCCGAACTGTGCCGGATCATCTTCAATGTGGACTTTCAGTTAGAAACCCCATGCGAATGTGGAGCACTCCCTTTAACATGGGAAAGCAGTGCCATACGGCTGTACATAACTGTAACGCCAAGGAACACCCAGGCGCGAACTGATATACACACGCTGCATATTAATTCTGATTAACTTGCGCACATGTGGGCTAAGCAATGTGCGTCTTTGTCGCGTCCATAATATTGTCAGCGGCTAACAAGTTCGTGCTCTGCCTGAAACTAGACTCGACCATCGAAAACATTCAGCGGTCGTGCCTTCTCTGCAGCGCGGTGAATAGCACGTGACATCGGGCGTATTGTACATGTTGCAACCATACAGGGGGAGCGCTGCTGTCGGAGGTTGCAGGTGCAGACGACCAACAATCCGGCTCTTGCACACACGACATATCCGTTTGAGAGCATCGGACCGCTCTTGACAACCTCACAGCGACGGCACGGGCGGCCCAGCGGGGGCGGGTTCGTCAGCGGCTTCCCGACACCGACTCAGCGTGAGGGCCGGCTGGGCAGCTGGCAGACCGCCAGGTCACGTGACAGCGCTGGAGCGCGCCGCGCCGACTTCCTCCGGCGGTGGGTAAGACGCCACGCACTTGAGGCGGCGCAGCAGGCAGGCTGTCACCCGCAGAGTGCGGGGCGGGTATCACCGGCATCACCGGTATCAGCGGACACCACGGCAATCACCAGCTCCGCGTGATCACTGGCGCCATCACCGATGTTTCTCCCTCGGCAGCCAGGGTCGGCCCGGGTCACGCTGGACCCTGCTGCGCACGTCTGACATGCGGGCGCGATGCGTCCGTGGAACTGTCTGGTATCACATGTGCGTCTCGGCCTCCACGTCCAGGGCTGGGTTGGAGTGGGCCCCATGGACGCCGTCTCCGTTCATGACACCGTCTGGAAAGCACGACAAAGGGGCTGCCAGGCGGACACAGACAGACAGTCTCTTGGAGAGGACAGTGTCTGTCCAGCCTCTCTTGGCTGTTTTGAGCTCATGCAGCCATATATATGATCAAAGATGACAAATCTATGCAAGCGAGCTATATACACACGAGCTATGTATGCAGATACTACCCAACAAAATTGTATGTTGTTGCCATTTAGAATGTTTTTTTCCCGTTGCAAACTGCGGAATGCCTCTGCAATGTTTGCAAAAGCGGTCGGAAGGCTACATTTCTGGTTAGAAAATACGCAGATGATCTGATTTCTACACTTTGACCAGGATACGCGGCTACCCTGAATGGCGATCGCGTGCGGTCCACGTCGTTCGGACACACACACCGATCATGGAGAAGGGGACTACGGCTGCGCACAACGACTTAGTATGACCAATGCAATCTTGAATATTACACAAATGAGATCGTGATTTTCACGTAAAAAGTTATATCTCTCCATTGCGACATTCAGGAGGTCCGCCTCCACCGAAGCTCAGTCCCAGCGTGGTGTCGCACACAATACGCTGCACACGTGTCAGCGATCACTCACCGGACTTGTGCCTCCGCTCGTACCGGCACTGGTGCACGAGGAAGATGCCAGCACAGGCCAGTATGAAGAGGATGGCTGCCAAAAAGGCCAGGCCAACGTTCGTCTGAAAAATACCAAGCGGCTCCAATGAGGTACGACTCGATACACAATGAAATCAGGCATCTTAGGTTCCAACGACTCGCAGCGCTCTTCCCAAATAGCGATCTGGTATACACACCGAGTTATGTCTCCTAGGATTCTGTCCCTTATACTACACAGCACGTACGCCGAGTAGCCTCCCACTATAGGGAGTGCCCAGCGTTGGTCTGCCTCTGCTAGTAAAGCAGTCCAGGCAGCGGCTGCGTCACGTCACGTCACGTCACGCAGCGTCACGCACCGCGTCGTTCTGCCAGTAGCGCGGACCGGACGGCTTGACGACCACCTGGACGGAGCCGTAGCTGACCCGCTGCCCGGCCCGGCTGATGCAGGCGAAGCGGCCGCCGTCCGCCTCAGTCGCACTCTGCAGGGTCATCAGAGGGCCGTCAGCACCCAGCCAGACACGGAGGCGGGACGGTCGGGGGCGGCGCGTCCGCGCACCAAGCTCCCGCTGTGTTTCACGTTTCGCCACGTCAGCTGTGTGCAGCATGCGTACTCGGTTCTGAATGATTTCACCCACGTGTGACCGCCGCCAGAATCTTGGAAGGGGGGAAGGGGGAGGGGAGGGCACAGGGCTAACAAGGAGCTCTCTCCTGGTGAAAGGCCCCGTCAAATATTACAATAAAAAGGCCTCCATCCGGGTCCCGTCATGTATCGCAGTGAATCTTCTATATCCTTTTGTTTTTCACCTAACCATAAGAATGACGCCTCCTAAGCCGATGAGAAGCCGGACTTTGAGGTGAGGTTAGGTGAACCCATGTTTGAGGTCAGTCATCTCATTGGGATCCCGCCCCCTCCCCCAATCTCATCCAAAATTCATTTAAAAGACCCCGGTTGACATCAATACTCCAGGCGATGCATACCGTCTTTCATTGCAGCCTGCACAAACACCTTACTCGCTCGCTGCACTGACGTATGATAATGAGCCGGCATCCTATGCTCACCTGTATTACCAGGTTGGTCTCGTTGGCGACGTAACTCTTGTCCACCGGGGGAACGGCCAGCTGCCTTCCAGACGGATGGATCCAGAACTCAACCGTCCCTAATGGACATCACAAACACACGGACACACAGCTGTCGTCAGTTACCAACGGTGGGCATAATGGCCGAGTGGCCAATGCCTGTGGCTCCTACGTGGGGCACCCGGGCTCAAATCCCGGTTGTGCGATGGCCTCTGACCTTAAGTGCGACCTCTGAAGCCTCTGGTGCTCTATGACGAACGCCCAGCATAGCAGCGAGAACGGTGATGACGTTCAGCGGTCGGTTACCATATTGATAAATCAAATTAAACGCCAAATCAAACAATAGCGCGTAGCCAACACAAACCGTTGCTGTGTTTAACACCAAGCTGCGGTTAGAGTCTGCGATTGTAGGCATATTCGCAGGGCTCGAATCTAGCCATCCATTATAGCGAGCATCCCCTGATCCAAGTGAATGACAATTTAAAAACAACGCGAAATTTACAAGGATGGTCGAGGAGCAAACAGACATGCACTTGTGAGTAGACGCGTCACACTACTGTATTCATTTTTATGAAGCACCAAAAAGTGTCTTTAAACAAGCCATGACACATGCGGGCGGATCACCTGATTCAGGGCACGGCACGTCCAGCTCCTCTCCTTGTTTTACCTCCAGCGTCTCAGAAAAGGCCAGAGCGGCCATCACCGACGCTACACAAAGCCGAAGAGAATTCATCTGAAAAGAAATCGCGGCCTTGATCATGCCTGCCTGAATTTGGAGCCACGCCCTCAGCAGCGCCTGCCAATCTTCCACTGCTTCCTGAGGTTTGTCATTCGTGCACTCAAGACGCGTAGACGTTAGACCACTCACCCGCCGTGATCAGTTCATATGATATGGAAAACAGAGGCGGTAATCGTGCTCTATTCCTAGCGAAGCCAACGCGCGTGATTTGACCGATGAATGAGCCCGCGGGCGGCGGACAAGCCAGGCACTTGATGCCACCTGCGCACTGACGTCACCAAACATCCGCATACAGCCCGGCTGGAGACGAAGACCGGTGCTATAAAGACATCCGCCACACGGTGGAGCTATGCGAAGCTGTTCAAGTGGAACATGGAGCTATGCCAGGAAAACATAAAAGCAGCGGCCGCCAATGCCGGGTTTCAAAACCCGACTTTTTCGTGACCTGGATGAGGACGTCAAATTGAGGTTTGACGACCTTCCGCTCGGGCAGTCCGTAAGCTTGATTGGCTCATTGGCCCGTCTCCATTGTGTTACGAAAGCCTAGGGCACTGCATTGGGACCAGTCTCAATATTGGGTTATACAAATGCGGAACAAATGAGAAAACCTTTACTATTTCCTTGACTTTAATACCAGGCCGTTGTTGGGGCAGGGCGTATAAAAGTTCGGATAAGGCAAATATGACCTAAAAATACAACATCAGTACATTTCAGTTCTTGGCCGTGAATGTAGGTGAAAGTTTGGTCGAACGATCTCTAGCCCCGGAAAAAAAATGATGCGTGTTGCGAATCTTTGCATTGCCTACGATGGCCTAACGATAACTCAACGACTGCAGGCGAAAGGTGGGCTTCGAGCAGCAAGCGCGCGTATTCCATCTTGTCCAGGCTGACGCGGTACCGCTCAAATGCTTACCGAATAAGGCGCTGCTTTTTCACGCCATGGCTTTATCAGTGGACACAGATTCCCCACAGGAACCATAAGATAGAAAGGAGTATCATAGCAAAAATTGTGCATGCGTAAACAATGCGTACAAGTAAGTCAGTATATGGGTATAATTACGTAGGACCAAAACGTGGTATGAAGAATTGCAGATGTACGGAGAGATGCGACGTGAAAAATGCTTGCACGAATAAATCCATACATATACGTATCCGGCGACAGGCCACACAATGAGCTGTGCATACCAGAAATTTAAACGAATTTTTGCCAATACGAATGCTTACATGCTACGATTTGCGACACAAACCTGTGCATGCAAATGTTTACGTTATATGATGCCATGTACGTGATAAATTGCGATGAGCATTCTTGCGAGTGAAGACATGGGATCGCAAGTTTCGTCCGTTTATAACCATACGTGGGGTATCCCAAGAAGGGCGGTCGCGACGCCATGATGGAAAGCTACGAACCTAATATTTTCATACGTTATTTAACTCTCGGTGCGAGTTCAGTCACAGATTATGCACCCACACCGCACCATCGTTTTCAAGCTCCATCGCGCCAGCTCACGCACCATAGCGCTTCCAGCACCCGCACCATCACCGCAGCTTTACGGAGGCCCGCCCCAGCAAGCTTACGCCAAACCGCCAGTACGTACCCTCGTCAGCCACCAGTCGCGTCAGGCTGAGCCTCGGCGCGCGCACCGCTAATCCTCGCTGGCTCGCGACTTACTCACGAGCGACCCACCGCCCGCGCTCGGCCGCCATCCAACTGCAGGACCGTCCGCCCAGTCCGCCCGGCCTGAAGGTCACCCACAGTGGCGCGCAATGCCCGGGGGCACGGCGACGGCGCGCCAGTCACCACTGGCGTCCACCTGAGCGCGGCTCGGCCCAAGGCCAGGTGAGCACCGCCGCTGAGGCGGCCACGGGCACGGGGGAGGTGGGGCGGCCGCGTAAGTGGGGGCGCGCGTGCCCGGTGGTGGGTACACGCCGGGTGCTCCAGCGCTGGTCTGTACGCAGAGCGGTTGGAAGCGTTTACTTTGCCCGTCAGATGGCACTGCGCACGACCGGCCAGAAAGCATGGTTCGGGATACGTCGGATGTACCACTTATGGCAGTCGCGTCCTTCCATCGCTCAGGTCAATACACCTCTCGTCAAATTATGCACTGATATTGGTGCGATCCCGGCGTCTTCCACATGATAGAGTGGCCACGTAAATGAACCTGGTTTCCCTTCAGTGCGTCAGTTCCGGAGCACGCACCGAGAGATGCTCGCCGGTACGTCCGATGTCCTTGTCATAATTCCGGCGAGGCGCCTCGCTCAGTGACGCAGCATGACACGTCTTTCGAAGCTTACCTGCCTCGCTGACGGCGTTCCCACGTCCGCACACAATGTCAACATTTATTTGGCACCAACGGTTGAGTCGTCTAAAGCTTCCGTCACAGCACTATCCAGGACCACAGTTAAAGCGGCGAAATACGCGTCCCACGCGGACAGAGACAAGAAGCCCAATGCATTCCGAGACACGTTCTTCGTGGGGCAGTGATTTGGGGCCAGCCTGGCAAACCTGTAAACTCGCGTCCGATGTCTCCGTGCATAACACCGCCAACCAAACCAAACTCCAGATCTTGCGTGGGGCCTGTCTTACAGATGATGTTTACAGACAAATGTTTTACAGATGCAAGTGCCGCCCATTTCTCTAAAATTAGTTCATCCCTTACTAGGACCAGAATTGTCCCAAAATTCTTAAAACCACTGCATACCAGTCACAACTAGTAATAACGGGACAATACAGTCAGCAGCACAATACGAAACAGCCGGCAAAAGGATCTCCCATCAGCTTCGCTGGGTCACACGCCAGCGAGGTTTCGCGGCCCACACATTGAGCCTGAACTCCCAGGAGAATTGTCCTGATCTGGGCAGTCCCACCGCCGGCGCCGCTGTGCCAGGCCCCACTGACGTGTCGTGAGCCTCACGACGACGCGGCACCGCGGGACACTCCCAGTGAGCGGACACGAACGAGCGCGTCCAGCGCCCAGCATGGCGGACAGCACCCGCCCGTCCAGCAGGGCTGTAAAACGCCAGAAGCCACCTCACACGGGCTTTACAAACGGGCAACACCCTCACAAGGCATGCAAACATGGCTGAGCTACACCCGCGGGGTGTAGCGGCAGCTCCTACATGTTGAGCATCTACGGGGCATAGTCATAGGATTGTTTCACCAGGGTGGATTACACCCTACGAGGGATAGTTTTCCGTATTCCGGTTCAAATCTTGTATGATTTTTCACTCCTGAATACGGAATTTAGCTGAGCCTGCCTGCTAGCCTACCTGGAGACTCACCTGGCTACGTCCGTCATGCTGCCCTGTATCGTAAAGGGGAATGACTATATGAATGACGGGTACTTTTATTTCTACTCTTTCTGAGCCTTGGTTTTCACTCCCGAGCGTTTTATCCGCCACTTTGCGTTGGCTACATCGAGCTTAGGGCCGACATCCTCGGAACGATCAAAACTTCAAACCATCACCCATCCAGTACTGCCTCACGCGTCAACCGAGCCATAACATAGGTAATGAGTCACCAGCGACGGCTCCGAAAAATCCGGCGCCGACGGGTGTCCCACTCAGAGCCGATGGAGGAGGCCTCTACAAACCCCGTCACCAACCGACACCAGGCCAGGCCGGATCGCCACTCAGCGCTCCGCCAGCGCCCGTCACCAGGTGCAGTCGCACCAGCGCCCGCCGAGCCCCCCAACACGACGCCCCAGCATCCCATACAGCCAGTCCCGCCGCCGAGCCGGTGGCGCCCTCTGCACCGGCGCGGCCCGGTGACATGACCAGCGCCACCGCTGAGCCGGTGGCGCCCTCTGCACCGACGCAGCGCGGTGACATGACCAGCGCCACCGCTGAGCCGGTGGCGCCCTCTGCACCGGCGCGGCCCGGTGACATGGCCAGCGCCACCGCTGAGCCGGTGGCGTCCTCTGCATCAGCGGTGACATGATCAGCGCCACCGTCGCGCTCACTCGAGGCCCGCCGTCGACGGCGGCTCGTCAGCCTTGACCATGTCGACCAGCAGGTACTCGGTGCGCTCGGGCCCGATCAGCGTGACGTAGTGCCCGGCCGGCGGCGCGGCCAGCGGCACCAGCGTCATCTCGTCCTCGCGCAGCGGGATGCACGCGCTCAGCAGCGAGTCGTGCACGATGTCGGGCCGCGCCCGGCGGCCCTGGTAGGTGCGACGTGGCCGCGCGTCTTCCGCCGCCACCCGTTCGTCCGACCTGCCGACGTCCGCGTCAAGGGGTCACGCGGCGGGGCGACAGGCGAAGCGCAGCAAGCACCCCGGGAGTGGGGAGCGTACCATACACCTCCGACTTTGTCGAACGACGGAGGGTGGTGCAAAAGGGACGTACTTTAAAGCGCTGCTGACTCTGCTTACAGTTAAGCACCGTCACAGTTAACAGTTCCGCCGAAGTTCACTGTCGCCCACCGTGTCTGACACCGAAATGACCGTTTACTCACGCTTTTAACTACGCTGTATGCGAAACCACACTATTTCGCTGCATTCACCGCTGACTTCCGTCAGTCAGCCACTGTTGTTGATCCGTGCTTTAGAGCGCACCGACTCCATCGGTCTTTAATTCCCAACTTAAGTCCGTAACCTAACCGCTCCCTTCTTTGCCCTGTTCACTCGCCGCCCGCCATGTTGAGCCGTTGGCCACCCTCCCGCCCCCAGTGGTGCACAGGACCAGGAGCATCGGGACGGTACCCACGTTCTATCCTCGGCGGCCCTGCGGTGTTTGTCCTCGTGTCGCCGCAGGTGCGTGAGGTGGCCGAACTGCTGGCCGCACGCGGCACACACGAACGGTCGCTCCTGCGTGTGGGACCTGTCAGAGCGACACGCGGGGTCAGGTCGGGGCGGGCTATCGACGAACCCTTTTGGCTGCACAGCTACTGGCTTCAACGGAAATGCCCTGTGCTTGATACGGACGCAGCGGGTCGAACCGGAAATTGAGACTTACCGCATGTGCCCGTCCACTTCGGATTTCCGGTGAAAGGTCTTGTTGCAAACACCGCACGAGAAGTTCCTGAGCTTCATATGAACCCTTTGCTGGTGGCCCTAAAAGACAACCGCCGTTGAATATAGAAACACACGCTCTGCGCATCTAAACAGACACTGGTTCCCGGCAGTGTCCCAGCTTCCCAGAACCTCAGCCTGTCGTCCGTCTGAGAATGATCGCCTCAGTGAGCACCAACACCGGAGCAGCCCAGCACGCCGGAAAACACTAACCATGATATAAATAAACCAATTCCAGCGGTCTCCCACCCCAGCATAACAACCACTACCCATCCCCCCTCCCCCCTTCCGCCGCCCGCTCACCCGGAGCGAGCCGGGCAGGAAGAGCGCGCCGCACTGGGGGCACGCCACGCGCTCCTCGCCCGTGTGCTCGCGGCTGACGTGTCGGTCCCGGGTCTGCTGCCAGGCGAACGAGCGCGGACAGTGCGGGCACCGGTGCCGCTGCAGGCTGGCGTCGTGCATGGCCTCGTGCTGGCGCAGGTTCTGCAGTCGGCCGAACAGGCGGCCGCACGTGGCACACGAGAGCGGCGGCGCGGCGCGCGCGGCCGCCGGCGCCGCCCCCAGCTCGCCCCGCACCACTGACTCGATCACCTACCGCACGGCCGGCAGAGGGCGGTCAGCGCAAGGAGAGCAGTGCGGGAGTGGGTCGCGTCGGTAGGGGCGGTGTAATCCGGGCCGGTGTCAGCTACGAGCAGCGTACTTCCATTATGACAGTCTTTTGCTCCATCACGCAACGGCCAGAGAAAACCCGTGAACGCAGCAATACTTAAGGCGCATGAATCCACCGGTTTAAAAACGTGCATAAAGATAATATTTTTTTCTCTTTCTAGGAAAACTAAAATTTGGGAATTCTTCTGGTAAACACAATACCGCTAACAATATTCGCGAGACATCTGACTGACATTTTGCAAATTCTGACTTACACCCGCACAGTGGCATGACGTGCTTACTATCTTGAATACACCACCGGCTACCGCCCACTTTCTTGCAGTTGTCCGCCTTCAGCCGCATCACTTCTCCCTCTCATCCTCTCATCATCCCTCCACGTCCCGGCACCAGCGTCCCACCTGGTCCACGTGATCGGGCGGTGAGGGCGGCGGCGAGCCGAGCGCGCCGTCGCCGCCCTCCGGCGGCACCGTCGGCAGGCAGAGAATCTCGGTCACGTCGTACTGCGTGCCGACCGTGTGCACCGTGCCCATCTCGTCCATAAGCCGGCCCACCTCGGCGTCGTGGTCGGCGCGCGAGGCCACGAGCAGGCCGGGCGGCTCCTCCTGGCGGCGGAGCGCGCTGGCGTCGGCGGCCGCTGGAGATGGCACGGACCGCGGCGGCGGACGAGGGAGACGGCACGGCCGGCAGCGGACGGGGACGGCACGGGCGGCGGAGGACGGAGACGGCACGGGCGGCGGAGGACGGTGGAGATGGCACGGACCGCGGCGGCGGACGAGGGAGACGGCACGGCCGGCAGCGGACGGAGACGGCACGGGCGGCGGCGGACGGAGACGGCACGGGCGGCGGAGGACGGTGGAGATGCCATGGACCGCGGCGGCGGACGAGGGAGACGGCACGGCCGGCAGCGGACGGAGACGGCACGGGCGGCGGCGGACGGTGGAGACGGCGGGCGGTGGCGGCGGAGGACAGGGATGGCACGGGAGCGGCGGCGGCGGGCAGGTGGCCGGTGCACCAAAGGGTTAGTGAATATCACATCATGTGACAGGGAACAAGGAATATATCACAGCATGCATATCATGGCACTGTGAATACCATGTGTCGGACCGAGAATGACAGCACAGCCTCACGGTCGGCCGGTCGTCTTCGAAGCGACGGCTATTAGGGCTGTGGTATCATGACAAACTGCGGTGTTACGGTGTAACGTTGCAACGATGAGGACGCTCCTGCCCATGATGTGCTCATGAAACCGTCGCTTATACAAAAAGTCCATGAAGGAGTCCAAAGACCGCCAAGGCCCATGTCTTACGACAACAGATTATGTAAGCACAACAGCAATCCGTTCCGTGCCGCGCTGCACACCCACCTCGCCCTTGCGCTCCCTACTATCGGACAGCATGTAGGAGACGCGTCCGTGAGGCGGCGCCGGCGGCGGCGGCGGCAGCGGCGGTGGCGGCGGCGGAGGCGCCGGCGGCGGGGCCGTCTCCTCGGCGTCGCTGGCGCCGGCCGGCTCGTCGTCGTCGCCGCGGTCGGGCGCGCACGCGTGCCGCGTCACCTCCTCGGCCGAGCCGAACGCCGCCTGGCAGACGCCGCAGCGCAGGCTGTCGGCTGAGTGCGACGCCTGGTGGCGCAGCAGCTGTCCGCGCGACGGGAAGCGCGCGCCACACACGCCGCAGTGGAAGTGGCGCCGCACGTGGCGCCGCCGGCCCGGCTGTCGGCACGGCCGGACGCGGTCAGATCGCGCGGCGCGCGCACGAGCTTTTGACACCACACGCGCCCGAGTGTGGGAAAGAGAACTGCACTTGCATCGCGTTTAATCCTCCTCGCCCTCAAATCCTAGCTTCGCCGCAACAAAAACTGCAGGCGATATTAAAATCTAACAAAGCCCGGCAGGATATTCGCAATATTTAACTGCCAATAATATAGCTACAGAGAAACGATATTAACGCAACTTCCCATACATCGATAGAAAATAGCGACACTTTGCACCGTACCACAGACGATATACGTCGTACGCAAATAGCAGGAGGTCTATTCCGACCTGCTCAGCTGTTTGATGCATCAGTCGGACGTGGCAGGCCAGGCGGGGACGGTTGCGGAACTTCTTGGGGCAGCTGGGGCACTTGAAATCGTTCGCTGTCCTGGTCTCGTGAGTGCTCTTGTGCGCGTTAAGAGCGTTAACCTGGCTGAAGCGTTTGCCACAGATGGAGCAGACATACGGCCGTTCCCCTGGGGAAGAGGGGAGGGGGTCCAGTGAGCCTCAGCAAACCACTGCCAGCACTACACATACCGCGCAAGACCGACAGCAACAAGACCGATATCAAGACCAATAGCGAAGCTTCATAACGGTGCACAATTGTCACAGCAACGTCAGGCTGACAAATGTCGACGCCGGAGTCGAAGAACCGACAGGAACGAAGCAGGCTCTTTGCAAAGAAAGGATGTTTCAGCTTTTCCGCCATCGTCACCACTGATAACCGACCGAGTTCTGCATACCGCTTCGAACGTGCAAATGCTTTAAATTGTTTTGAGTGGCTGATCACAAGGGAACGTAGTTCACATTTACTTAAAAACCTGGACTGAAGCAGGTTGCACAAAGACACACCAGTAACAAACAACATATATCAACACGCTGACCAGCACGAACATGACAGCAGTTTCCGTCCGCGCAGCCTGCCCCACGCACCGGTATGGATCCGGCGGTGCCGATACAGGTTGGACATGTGCGAGAACTGCCTGCCGCACACGTCACACACGCTCTTCTTGATGCCCAGGTGCAGGTTCATGTGGTTCTTGAGATCGGTGCGCCGCTGGAACGTCTTGGGGCAGAGCGGACAGGAGTGCGGCGGCGCGCCGCTGTGCTCGTGCGTGCGGTGGCTCGTCAGCGATACGTGGTTCTCAAACTCTCGGCCGCAGTCGGCGCAGGAGAGTGCCGTCTCGCCGCCGTTCGCGTCCGCCCTGGCCGGGCAGCGCGTGCACCGGCCCATGCCGGCCGGCACCGTCTCGCCACAGGCCGGACAGCAGGCCGGCGCGCGCGGACCGACGGCGCGCGCGCGACGCCGCGGCAGCAGGGCCTCGCGCACAGCCAGCCGCGTCTCGATCTTCTCCGGCCCGTCCAGCGCCAGCTCCAGCGCGCCGGCCGCCGGCGTCGGCGCATGCAGCGTGATGTGCTCGCCACCCGCGCCCGACAGCTCCGTCTCCAGCAGCGTGAGCAGCAGCACGTCCGGCTGGTCGACATCCTCGTCCCCCGCCTCGGCGGTCGCCGCATCCGGCCAATGAAACTCGGACGACATGGTGGCACCTGGGAAAAGCAGATATGTGTTAAAATGGATCTTTGTGGATGTGCTGGGATTGTGATGGATGCTTACAATTATGGAATTACAGTAGCATTTAAAGTTGTGCACCACAGGCATACAATAACAGGATAGATTTCATCATCATTTGTGCGAGATGGCATTGTATTTTGGAGCAGGTCCACACAAGCGGAAGCAACACACTGCTTTCATTGTTACAGAATGCAGCTCAGAAGTCATATTAGAAACCTGAATCTTATGTTTCAAGTAGGAAACAAAGAGGGCATCCCATGACAAAGCCTGTCTTCTTTGTTAACTGAGCTCCTTTGAATAAATCATTTGGAAAGATGCTAACACCCACAGATATGCATATGGGGTATTGTTCACTCAATCCAGGCCCCAATAAGATTTTTCTCAAATGGATCCTATTAAGGAAGTGGTAGCAACTGTGAATTAATCACCCTACTACAAGACAAATGCTGTGTTGGCCTACATCCTTCAGACTGCCTTAACAAGGAAAAACTGTTTTGAAATATATCATCATGAGAGGATTTGAATACTTTTGATAGTAAAATAGCATTTCAACTGAAAAATCCGCACCTTCCAATGTTTGCACCACCAAAAATTTCCACACTGAACCAAATGTTAATTTCATCATCTGCCAGATATGACATAGCAAAATCTATCACTAAATTCTAAAAGGCAGCAATTAAAATCATGATTTTTACATAGCAGATAATGGAAATCAGAGCATTGGAAAAGCCTGAAACAGGATGCATGAATTTTCTTTAAGCAAAAACATGATAGCTCTGTTGACAATCAAAGTTCAGAAAAAAATGTTGCATCAAACAGCTATTGGAAACTTAGTCATGCTTTCCAGATGAATTGTGTTACCAGCAATTGTTTAAAATAAGCAATGGTATTTAGTCATCATTTCCAATGAATATGACTTAAGCAAAATGGCTGAACAAAGAAACTTACTTAACTGTCCAGAGCAGTCAGTTAATTAACAAAGTACTTATTTTAACAGCAACACTATGAACTTGTGCCACATATTTGCAAAAAAAGCTTTCCTACCATCAAATGGCAATGCCTTTCAAACAAAAGACTCAAAGGCACTTTTTCACACACAAATTAATGGTTGCATGAAAATATTCTCCCATTGCATTGTGAACAAGTGATGTATAGCAGCTGAATTACTAACAATGTTATGAAAATATTCACCCCCAATACTCGGAAGCATTATTCCATGTCCAAGCCACACTTCCAACTACTCCAACTCCTAGCATCGAAACTGTCGTCTTCAAGACAGGCATCAGGTTTTTTTAAGTGTTTCGCTCTTATCCTCACCGTCATAAACCTTACTTTATGTCGTGTGTGTGTATGTTGAATACACGACCAAGTTCACAGGAATACCAAACATTTATATTGCCTCTTTTGCGCCAGCAATGCAAACATGGAAAAACACTAAATTGCTGCATTTACGATAAACATAATTAAGTCACCCGAGGGTCTCCCTCGCACTTTAGAACGGCTGCAGCAATGCTACAATGCTCTAGAAAGCCGATCACAAGATCGACGATATCTTGGTTAGTCAGATGCTCTTGGACTGGCAATCTCAGGTCGCCATCTATAAGGCTGCAGCCAAAGACAAGGCTTGGACGCAGCCAAAGCGGTAAGGGAAGGAGAGTGGGAGGGGGAGCTCCGAGGTCAACGACAGGCTCTGTTGGTGAAAAGCCCCCTTTCCGATCAAAATCGTCCAGGTTTGGGTCAATTTTCTTTGAAGGTGACTCGAATTCGGAAAATGGGAATGCCAATATAAATTTAGAAGTGGATTCTCTCCATATGCCGCCCCACGGTAGATGTTCAACATTCTCGGAAAGTGAGGGCACAATGGCCCTCAGGAACCCACCGTTCATGCACACTAGGTTTAGTGGGTTCTTCCTAAATCGATAATGCTCAGCGAATTTGTCAAAATTTTGTTTGGAGCGCTACAGAAGCATTGAGCGTCCCGTGAACTGAAAGTAAAAGCTTAGATCGCAAAGGGACATATATTCGTTGCAATATAACCGACCAATGTTGGCCTCGGGATTTTCATCCTTTCTGCAGAAAATGCTATAAAGTGTAGCACGGTTGCCCGCATATAGCATGTAGGCCCGCAAGTCTTAGAGGCAAAAACCACAGCGCCTGGCGTTGCAGTCTGCGTAGGCGGCGTGGTGTCAGCCAACGTGTGAGCAAGAACAACCACATCTTGAAAAAGTACCTGTGAACTCTTTACACATGAAACCAATTATTCATACGTTTGACAAATAGTCCTGTCCGTATATTCCACCCATGTAATTTTTGGATCGATGATGGAAGCGGATAAGCCTTTACAGCAACGCGAGCTGTTGACGTAATCGAGAAATCCCTTTGTTAGTGTTCGGTTTGACAGATCAAATGTCACAATGATTCTCATTTTTCCATTCCCTTGTTATCCCAGGCCGTGGCACTGTGGCGTATCCCGCCGGTGATCCCGTACCTCCAATACAGAGCACAGAGCACCGCGTGTTGTTCCTGATCTCGTGACTCCTTGGGGCTTACCAAAGGTTCAATCGATGTTTTTTTTGCTTTTTAACCGGTCCAAAAGGCATCCTAGACACCAACAGGTCCGTGTTTCATCACCATAAGATACCTGGCGTTACCTACCATCGGCATTTGGCTGCGTTGCCCCCACTCAGTTCTCATGATATGATACGACTTGGCGGTCGCATATCGCATTGCTGCAGCATCCCTGCCAGTTGCTGACCGGCGCTGCCATGCTGACTAACCCGTTTCATTTTTTGGGCAGACATTTTGGTGGCGTCTCGCTCATAATCGCCATTCCCATGATATCGGACGTGACCTGACAATTTCAAGTGCTTTGTCCCTTTTCACGCCCCCCAAGCTAAATCCAGCGCCAAAAAGTCGTCCTGATCGCATGCGATATCGCGCCGGTCATCACCAATGCTTTTTTGTATTATATAATGATCACATCGAACATATTTTATGTCTCCTGCCACCTGCCTGCACGAAGCAGCCGCGAACTTACATTTTCTTCACCTCGGTTTGGGGCTGAGTATATCGCGCACACGAGTTTATTGAGAAGTACCATTTTCAGCGGTAGGAGCCCTTACTTATCTGAATAGTCTGTCAGGTAGCTAAAATTCAATAAGCAAGCTTATTCAATGCGTGCAATAGGATATGAAGGACGTCCTCTTTTGCTTGAACCGGGGAGCGTAGCCATTATTTTTAGTTTTTGATAGTTTTGGATTGACCTCGTGGAAACTTGTTCTTGAGCTAAAAATGTGAAAAGTCCCATTTGACTTATCTGCTTTGCTTCGGCTTTTCTAAACATTAACCTGATGAGAAATGCATGTCACCAGGCAGTGTTTAAGTTTATTTTTTAAAGCCCGCCGCCGTGTGCGATTTGCAAAGTGCGTGAGCGGACAGAAAATGACGAGTTTTGATCTTTTACAGTTCTAGGGACCATGAACGGCACTAAGCATTTTAGCCCGGCCTTAACGGCAACAAACCCAACTTATTCAGTGTCTTGTAACAGACATACGAAACATGCTAACAACCATTTCCGTCCGTCGCTTCAGTCATAGAACATGCGATCGTGGGACATGTATTTATTTCCAACACACTTGCGGTAGGCACAGCACTGGTGACAAGAAACTATAAGCTAGTGGACGGCTTCCATCACATTCGCAGAAAAGGTCACGAGATGTTTTGATGCTGGCGTGCCCACCCACACCTTACCGGACGGGGCTAACTCCCTAATTATATGGGAAAAATGTGGCGTAAAAAATCAGTCACTCATATTGTTCATTGTCAACCAGTAAGGCAGCATAAGACGTTCCATCATTGCTGGAACTGTCGCAATTGCGGTAGTCCGAGCTGCCTGCTGTGTTTGGACGTCCCTTGTCTCGGCCACCTGAAGGCGTCTGTGAAGGCTCGCATATAGGCACCGCAGGTATGGCGTCAGGCATGGAGCCACAGCCGCACACGTCGAGAACTTCTCCAGTCCGGCCAGACGTGACCAAACAGCAAACTCTTTTGAAACAAAGGAGCCATGTCTGAGAGAACACAGACGCGTGCAACGCCATGCGTTGATCCGCTAATTCACCGGACGGCTCCGTTCGAATTGATTAGGCTCAGGTAGAGGCAGTTCTCTGATCCTTTCATTATTTCAGTCATACCGCTGCGATTTGCAAGGTCCAGGGAATGACCTCGTCTGATAACGCTGGGCGCCGTTGCAGATTGATCCATGATGAGCCTAGCAAGTTATAACAAGATATTTGTCATTGTAGTGGCCGTCAGCATATCACAACGGAGAATCAGAGTTGAAGAATATCACGCACTGCATCAGAACATTTTCGCAGCCTTCGGCAGCACGTCCAGACTCTACCTCCTTTCTCTACCCTTGCTCCTTCATGGCTCTCCGTCATAAAAGAAAGTCTGCTGGAAAGAGGAGCTGGAGGTGGATCCTGGCCTGTCGCCCGGGGATGTCTGGAAGGAGTGCTCTTCCACAACCCGGCCTCTATGAACGGATGCTCTTCTTCGAGGAGTCCGCCATACACGATTACGCCGTGAGTAGTTGGCTGAATACGGAGTCAGGACCCGCCGGCCGTTGAATGCGCCACAAGGCGAGAACGTCACGGAACTCCGCAAACGTGGTTTTTAGCCCAGCAACCACAAGGAACGGAATCCAGGTTTTGGGGCTAACTGATGTCTCCTTGCCTACATAGTCTTCTACGCAGAGCTTACCGCCAATCAAGATAAGACCAACCCGCTGAGGCATTCGATGTCCGTGTCCCTGCCTTTGCACCGAGTCGATCCTGCTGGTTCGGCTGCTGCAACACTGATGAGCCGGGCAGGAGGCACCGGGTAGCAGTCGACGGCAGGACGCCTTCAGATGCGCCGATGAGCCGGACAGGAGGAACCGGGTAGCAGTCGACGGCAGCACGCCGTCAGATGCGCCTCGGCCGGAGGCTCAGAGGATCGGCTCGTAGCCGTTCCAGCTGACGGTGGCGCCGGCCCAGCGCGTGCGTATACAGTGCTCCAGGGGTGGCACCAGGTCGCCGGACCTGGCAGGCGGCGCCGGCGCGTTCGGGTTCCCGCCGTATTCTGCAGCACATACGCATGTTTGTGTCACTGTCGTGCTTCCAGTGCAGGCACGTCTCCCACCGGCCGCCCATTTCAAAGCAGACGCATGGGGTTAGGCGTTGTTTCAGTGCATTACTATCTCTACGCTGCATCCGGCACCCATCTCTTGCTGTTGTTTGTGCTGCTTATCGTAAGACTTAACTCATGCTGTGGAGTGGCACAGAAGCCGGGAAGGAAGCGGATGGCCAGACACTTTTACAACTCCATAAGCGTTGATGTGTCCAAATGTTGCACTTATGTCTGTTTCTGAGCGCACTGTTACTGCATGAGCGAGGAATACATCCGCGCAGTATGTATCGCTGGAGCACCTCGGATCCCATCATCCAAGAACAAGCAAAGCAATCAGCCGTTCATCTCAGCTTCACACGAGCCTTGGTTTCCATCGAGAGGCGTGACCACTCCACGCTGCAGCCCTGAAAGGCCAGAAGCGCACTGACCGACTGTCAGCCGAATCTGATCGTCCTGTCTGGCCAGCATGTCGTAGTAGAAGAGGTCGAACTTGCCGCCCAGCGGCGGGTCGGCGCACAGCCTCCGGTCGGCGGCGAACAAGCAGGTGAAGTGCGACTCGCTCAGGATCACCCAGATGGGCAACATGGGCGCCTTCATGTTGGAGCCCACCTGAAACGGCGAGAATGGCACCCGAAAATGTAGGCAATAGAGGCAATGCATGAGAGACGAGGCCTTCGAATTGGTTTCATCGTCACCAAAATGAACGGCGATAGGGGTCTCTGAGATCACTCGTGAGCTCGAGAACGGCCACTGTCCGCTCCACTTTCCGCGTGATTTAGCATTCACGAAAGCCACCGGCTTCCACGTTTTGGAAAGCTTCAGCGGCCCAAGAAGACCCCGGTGTATTTCAACGCTGCGATCATCACCTCGCATGACTTGTAGTGCTCGAACAGAGACAGGAGGCCGATTTCACTCTTGTTGTCGACGCCGCGCAGCACGGTCACGTCTTTTCCCTCGCCCAGCTTCACGATCCCGTTGAAGACGTTGGAGGCGGCGCTGCCGGTCAGCAGGAGGTTGACCAGCTCTTGGGTGCAGTAGCCGTGACGACCAATCACGGTGTTGGTGGGAACGTCCATGTCCTTCTTCACACTGAGAAATAAAACAAAACACTTTGGGCGTTTGCCTTCATGGTAGTGCACGTCGGAGTGGGGACTACAACGGAGTCTTCAACCTATCATAAAGGACGGACCACCTGAGAGCATTGCACGAACGCGACACTGGGCGCCGAGTGCCGAGCGCCGGACCCCTCAGCGAATCCACACAGCAGCGGGAAATCGGCAACTTTGGCACCGGGGCGTACGATGTGTAGGAAGTTTGGCATCAACCCTCAAGCGCTGGCCTTTCAACATCACGTGACGCAGGCAATGCTGCCGGCACAGTTAACTTAACCAAACTCGGACTTGTGACTTTTGCAATGTTTGACTGTGTGCTGTTCGTGCGTCCATGTCATGCGAGGGTGTGTTGGACAGGCACGTTCAGTGACAGGACCTCTCTTTTACTCTGTTCTCTGCATGTTTAATTGACCACGGCGTGCTTAAGCGAAGACCATCGTTTGTATTTTATGGCAAATACATCATCAGAGGAGGAGGAGGACCTGCTTATGTGTTGGCGCGGGCATACTTTAGCTTTGATAGCTCATGAACTGAAGGAGCCGTATGCGGTGCTGAAGTAAAAAAGCGCTCACTTAATGTCTTCGTGAGAGCACCACACACCTACTGGTGTCAGGTGGAAGCACGTTTCCTTCTCTCCGTATAACCACCACGCGTCCGTTAATATCCCAGGAGAGCACGGTCACATGTGGCCCCTTAATGGGAGCACAATCAACCCCTCAATGCGTGAGAGAGCGCGACTCGTGCATCCCGATGCGCGAAAGAGCGCGGGTCATGCACCGCGATGCGCAAGAGAGCGCAGTTTATGCGCCACGATGCCCGAGAAAGCGCAGCCCATGCACCGCGATGCGCACAAGAGCGCGGCTCATGCACCCCGATGCGCGAGAGGGCGCGGCTCGTGCATCCTTCCGCACGCGCATGCCCACGTCACCGGAGATGAAGTTTGGCGTGGCCTTTCGGCGGTAGCGGCACAGCACTCACTTTTCGACCCCGCGGGAGAGCACAGCCGAGTAGGTAAGCAGGATGCAGCCGGAGCCGTCCGCCGACTGGAAGCGTTGCAACTGCTCCAGCACGTACGCCAGCAGCGGCTCCGACGCGCTGAACGCCTGCAGCTGCAGCGTCTCGGTGATGCCGTCGCTCTTGTAGCGTCCGCCGCCCGGGAACTGGGAGCGGCCCGACGAGCTGCGGCCGGACGCGGCAAGCTCAGAACCTACAGCTCCGACACCTCCTCCCCGAACACTCGCACTAGCCGGACGGGTTTACCAGAGCAGCCACTGCCGGGACCATTTATCGCACGCACACTGGCTGCCCGACGCCACGCCTCAGATGACACACTGACATTGTTCAAACAAACGTTCACAATGTCATAAAGTATAATCTTGTGTTGACTTCTACCGTTGGTTTATTCTTATAATGGCTTTATTGAACTTCTGTCAGGTAAAATGCGGTCGTGAACCGCAACATATTGCCTGCTGTCAAGCGTTATCAAGCATTGTTACAAAACTTTACTTGGTTAGGTTTAACTAACCTCGCTTGAATTATGAGTTGATTGAAAAACGCCACGTTAACCTTATGCTCATGCTATCGGCAGAACTTTTGGCAAACTTTCTTAGCCATTATGCTCATAAGGTCACTGGCACCATTAATAACGCAGCGGAGTTGTAAGCATTGTCGCAGCCAATGAGAACCATACGATCCAATTTGCCTTGTCTCTCAGCATGCACGCGCTCGATGCATTTGGCCTGGTAAGTGAGACGAAGCGTGCGGACGAGCACGTGGTGTTACAGAGCCATCCTGCCGCGTTGTGCGACAAAGACACTGTCCCCGCTAAGCCCCTGCACACGCACGCCCTTCTCCCGCTCCGTTCCACGGGCTCCGCCCTGCGCCGACGACACCGCGCCGGCGGAACTCACAGAGCGACGACGGCACCGGTGCCGTGGCCGCACTTCCAGAGGATCTCGGTGATGGCGGCAGCCAGCGCCGCCCGCTGCTCCTCCGGCGCAGGCTCGTGGGCGTCGGAGACCGGCGGCGTGTTGCAGAGGCGCGAGCCGAACAGCAGCACCTTCATGATGTACGCCTGCACCACGGCCAACACGCCACACGGGCCGCCCTGCAGCAGCGGCGGAGCGTGCAGCGGGTCGGCAGATGGAGCGAGTCCAGACACCCCGGCCCCGCACCCGCCAGGGCAGCAGAACGATGCTGATCGCGCACGGGGCATGATGTAACATCTATGTCTAGGCACAGCTTACACCCTCCTAACACTTCACCAGTCACTCTTGAATAGCAAGAACCTAATTACACACTGAGTGCCCTGCGACACCGTCGGTACTCCCACCACACACGCCGGCTCAGAGCATTTGGCGCGTGCCGCTTGTGTACACCGTACGCACATCATAGGGTATTTCTAAGCCCGACAAGAAAGTCTTGAATGCACCAGTCTCACGAACAGTGCACCTGCAGCGCTCCAATACATCCAAAACTGTAGCGGAGCAGCACTGCCAAGTTATTAAATATCTTAAAATGAGTTGACAATGCAGTGTTCACTAGCAAGACGCGTGGGAAATTCGAAAGTCTACTAACCTTATGCTGCACGATACCATAAGTAATATTCTCGGTTTTGTTGAAGCCGAAGTTTTGTTGCGTCCACTCCGGCGTAAAGCTAATCCCGGTCGACCCGAACATGAGCTCCTTGAGACTGCACCCCTCCTGTTCACTGATGGGCGCGCCCTTCACCGGGGCGCGTCCCACCGAGGACTTCCCTCCCCCGGCTCCGAAGTTCGACATCATGTCACCCATCGTGTCGTCGTCAACGATCTCCAGATCGCCACATTGCTGCCGCATATCGTCCACGGCCGACGGGGTCACCACCGCCGGCGCGCCCTGGCCGACCCGGAGCGAGGAGCGGCGCACCGTCCATGAGTCAAAGCCGAGCGCGCTCTGCGTTATCGGCTGGCCCTCAGCGGCACGTGCGGACCGCCTCGCGTGGGTCGATGCGCGTGAAGAGGTCCGGCGCGCCGGGCTCGGTCGGCGCGGTGGACTCGGTGGAGCGGCGCGGCGCCACCACCTTGCGCTGACCCCAGGACGGGTCGCTGGTGGACTGCACGCCGCCGGTGAGCCGCAGCTCCCGGGACTGGCGCATGCGCGCGCCGCGGCTAGCCGCCTCCTCCAGGAGGCCCGACGAGCGCTGGCCGTCGACGAGTGGCGGCGCGTCTGGCTCAGCGCCGACACCCATCAGCTCGTTCCGCATGCTCGCCATGGTGGCTCGGATCCGCTGTTGCTCCTTCTCCGCGTCAGAGGGAGCCGCCTTCTTGCCTGGCGCCGCCTTGGCCGCCTCCGCCTTCTCCTCTCGGGTGCCCTGCTGGCTGATGCCGAACTTGCCCTTGTCAGCCGCGTGTCGCGTCATGTCCAGACCGTGGCCGCGCACCATCATATCCTCCGCTCTGTGCTCCTGCACGCGCATGGGCCGCAGCTTCCTCTCGCCCCCCGGACGCCGCATGATGTCGTAGTCGTCAGTGGGCTCTGGCTGCTGCTGCACGGGTGGGAGTGGCTGCCATTGCCCCGCCAGCTCAGCCAGCGAAGGCTGCCCTCTGCCGAGTGTGAACGGGTCGCTCAGGGCGCGGTGGGCCTCGCCAAGAGCGCGGCCCTTCGTCTCCTTGCGGGTGTTGCGTTCCTGGGCAGCCTGCACGATATCGGAGCTGCCCGGACGACTGTCCCAGGGCAGGAGCGGGCTGCGCAGGTCAGCGGAGCCTGGCGCGCTGGACGACGTGGACCCTGGCGAGCTCTGGTCGGACCCGGATCCCCGGCTCAGGCCGTATCGACATGTGATGGGACGTAGGGCTCCACTGCCGTCTGCAACACGCAACAGCGTCATTTAGGTTCCGGAATGCGCGGCATGTTTCATCCACCAGCCAACCCATTAAAATGGCGCTCAAGTTTGATAAGTTTCCATATTTACGTTAACCCCATGCGAGTCGTGGACAAAAACAGGGTCACTTAAGAATCACAACAGTGGACATTGGGAGATTCTAACATTTTGTAACCCTGAACTATTGGGGAACGCGACCGTGCTTGCTATGATCATGATGATGTTTAAAGAGCACAAAATTACAGACAGGCTACTCGTGCTGGACCTACGCATGCTCGTAAGATTAAGAAGCTCCGTCAGAGTAAAAAGGCATGGTACTCACCATTGTACTACCAAGACTTGCGCCATTTTAGTTCAGATGAACGCTGCTTGACCCAACTGATTTTTAAGCGTGTTGCTAACTTGACGTGCAGTAACCGCGTTGATTCGTTCATAATTTTGAGTCTCGTCGATTTAGGCACGTAGCTGAGATTTTATAAGTAATAATCACAACGCTTGCAAAATCGTAACCTGGCCGTTAAGCCCGCTGAGTCTTGCAACTCACACGTTGCGCTTAGCTCTATCCGCAGTGTTCGAAAGGGATGTTAGCAGCTTGACGGGGAAAAGGCATAAATGTTGTCCGTTTTACAATTGAAATTTTCACATTTTCAGTAAGATTGTTACATTGCCGATTTCGTCTAGGGTGCGCTATTTCAAAGAGGTATTGTACTGAACGAGAATGAAGAGCATATTTGGGCGTGCATAATCTTCACCTGGTACTTCCACTGTTATTTTGCGAAATCAGGTGGACAGACAAAAGATAAGAGTGCACTAATTGCCTTACTCCTCGCAGAGTAACCAGGCGGCGAATGAAGCGATTGATTCTGATTTTCCTGATCATTCTACGAGGAATAAGGCTATGGCACGGTCTTATCTATATGCATGGTGTTCCTCGCAAACGCACGCGGCGAATGAAGCTTCACATCTAACAGCTTATGGAAAGATAAAACGGCCTTTTTTGAGTAATTTCCTTGGACGTCTTGAGTAAAGCCAGCTTAAAGATATGATTAAACATTGTTGACAGAATAAACAATTAAGTGCATAACATGGTCCATCCAATGGAATTTGGCCCTGCCGACAACGATCCTTACGGCAGCCCATTGCCGGTATTGTCGCCTGCCGATAGATGTGAAGTTGTCTGTAGCTGCTTCCAGCTCATCGGATTGATTCATCAATGCGGTGCCACAAGCGCTCAGTGTCTAACAATGTCAAGCAGCAACACAACCCCTAGCTGTTTTTGTACTTTTGATCGCCCAAAATATAGCGATAATGACTTCAACATATGAAGTGAAATGTAAAAAGATGGAGAAAGGTGACGTCCAAACCGTGTGCAGTAGTTAGTCAATAAGTTAAAGAGAAATACCATTCCAAAATGTTCTCTGTTTTTTTCGGCACACAGATTTACCAAAACGACAGCCCATGTTCGCCTCCTTGCCGCCAGCATTATTAAAAGGTTTTTTCATTATTTCGTTCCGAATCTGAAAACAAGGAAGACAGGATAAACGGAAAGAAAAACTACCGTTTTCTCTTGTAAAACGATAGGCTTTATTCCGGATGCGTTTTTGCTTTGTCAGTATGCGCCAATCCGTCATCTTGCGTTTACCGATTTGGTCCCGTTGAACCAAATCATAAAGTATCGCGAACTTAAAATGATGAATAGGTGCATTCATGATGGTGAACCAAATCAGCTTCCGAGCAAAACTTTACGTCTTATTTAGAAGTGATAACAACAAACCATGGATTTTGGCGCTGCTTGTCCCATTTTTCGTGCATTTGAGCTTTGGTAACAACTTAGTCCGTGTCCAACAACGTAAAAATGTACATTCCTAACAGTGCTATGATGTCTAGCATCGCACAGACGTCTAACGAAATAGTTCTTGCATGATATATCACGCAATAATTATCATAAGTACCCCATGACTGCATAAAACATCGTACCGTGGCAAAAAGCTAACTGGAACTTCCGAATCACGCGGCATTTGCCAACGGTAACGTGTTTACATGCGTTTCAGCAATACTAGAATGTCTAAACAATATCCTTTATGTTTATTAGGGACGTTAAAGCTTCATATAACCGCGCTTACTGAATCAGCAAATCAAAGCCTTTTTGCGGTTTGACAAAAGCGAAGTAATAACGGGTGCGTGCGATATATCACATATATGATGCCGGAATATAAGTGAATGTAGCCAGCAGACAACGAGAACCATTAAACATGAGCATAACCAATGCATTGGAATGTCTGCCTTTCAGGAGTTCAGAAAGTAATGTGATATTCTATTTCAGTATCTTTTTTTACAAATTTGTTCCGAATGGTCTGTATGGGTGGCTGTGGGGTCAGGGTACCTGCTAAGCATAGCTTGTTGCGTGTCCCCTGAACCCACCATCCAAGCCGCACCGCCCAGTCTAACGGATAGCTTTGAGTCCGCCCTTTCGCCAGACGGGAATGCGGAGGGTTTTACGTGCCACACAATGCTGCGACACGACCGCCCCGGGCCAAGGTTGACCCTCGTTGGCCAGCTGCCAGCTGACCTTTCCATTTCAATCGGGCCAGACAATGCTCCCGCTTTGGAACTCGCACCCAGTGCCGCTGGATTACGAGTCCAGCATCTTTCCCCTGGACCACGGAGGCGACCACTGGAGCACGAATATGAAGTGTCTTTGCGCAAATCCAAAATGATAGTGTCTGATAGGCCTGACCAAGTCTAGACATTTCAGCTGACAAAATAAAGGGATTTGGGATGTGTTATGTTTTTGGTGTACGTGGTTGAAACGTTGCAAAACGAAACTTGTGGTAAGATATCTATCGTAATGGCTCGAGCTATACACTGTTTAGTATCCATGACCAAATCCCCCTTTAGTTGAGACTAAAGGGATGGTATTCGAGACCGCGTATGAAAAGGGCGATGCTGGCCGTTTTCCGAGAAGGTGCTGCGGTGGATGGCACAATGCTGAACTCGTTCTATGATATGTGGACGGTACTTTCAACTCAATTTGAAATCTATGTTTATATTCATCTTCTGTCACTGTCGAAAGCTGAGATATATTAATTAAACATCCTCAAGCTGGCACATCCCAAAAGGCGGTACATGCCGCGCGCGTGAGCACAACTGTTTGCCCACCGACAGAATACTTCGACTCATGATTTTGTCAGCACTTTTGTCCTTCCTCTCCTTCGCCAAAAGGTGATATGATCGATTCACTATCACCCACGGCTGCTGAAGAAGAATTCCGTTTGGGTCTGCGGTCTTGAGCTTTCCGCAGTGTAGGAACTTTTCCGATGCTAAACGTTCCCAAGGTAATTGAATACAACGCGATTTCGGTGTCACCGCCTCGCTGCAGGAAAGCCGAGCCTGCTCATTCAGACTGCAGGAAAATATCTGCAAAGTATACCAGCAAACCTATAAAAGAGCTGTGATGTTTGCTGGTGAAGGCTGCTTAGCGGCACGATCAGAGATTACAAAGATATTGACCCGTCCAAGTCGTGACGGGCGGGGCCGGTCAGGGCCGGGCCGAGCCGCTGAAGTCGCCCTGTTTCCAGCTTATTCGCGTCATAGCTCCTTAGGCCTGCAGCATCGCCAGCAACCGCGCAGTAATGCATGATACCTATTCCCCAGAACAAAACCTGGTTTTCAATTAGTTGTAAAGAACTGTTTGAGAGCGGACTGAAACCAATTCAAATCGATAACAGACATTGGCGTGACCAAAATTATGGAAAATGCAAAGAAAGTAAATGTAATCATGGAGGAAGTGTTAGTGACCTACTTAGAAAGTTGAGAGTTTTGAGACAGCTAACAGACAGTCCTTCCAGACAGTCCAGTCCAGACGGACAGTCCTTGTCTCGAAACATTCGATGTTGTAAGGAGGCTACTAACAAATGAAACATGACCATCTGATCAGCATGCCTTACACTTGCACTGGGCTGAACAATAACTAACAATACTAAATATAAACAACAATACCTAAACAATAACTGAATACAATGAACAAGGTTTCTACATGAAATTGCAGTCTATTTTTGTGCTGCACCATGTTCATCCGTAAAATTGGGCATGCTCTAACAAACCAATGTGTCTGATGCTCATTCCGAAGACTATTGCAATAGTACGTTATTTCTGCGAGACCAGAAATAATTGAAGCTTACGCGACCACGAGCTGTCGCGAGTTATTGCACACAGGCATGCAACTAATCTAGAGCAGCATGCCGAGCAACTCCCTTACAGCTGGCGTCGAACCTAAGTGACAGGCCACTGAGACCGCTTCTCTTCCGCTCCCGGTACGACTCCACCATGGACAGGTGCTGACTGAGTCCGCGCGCTCCATCAGTCATGTCTTCCGAGCGGCGACATCTGCAGCACCGGTCGCGGCGGGCACTGTTTGGCGTCTCTCGGGCGGCGTTGGATCATCACGGCGCGGACGGTCCGCACGGGGTCGGGGTGACCGGACCGCTCCTGGTCCGCCCGCGGACCCTGGTCGGCCCTCACGCGATCGGACCGGGCCCGGTGTGCTCCTGACTCCTGGTCCACCGCGGCTCCTGGTCGGGCTTCACGCGATCGGACCGGGCCCGGTGTGCTCCTGGCTCCTGGTCCACCGCGGCTCCTGGTCGGGCCTCACGCGATCGGAATGGGCCCGGTGTGTTCTTAAGCCCAGGTCCACCACGGCTCCTGGTCGGGTCTCACGCCACCAGACCGGACCCGGTGTGCCCCTGACTGCTGATCCTCCTGCTGTCTGAGCTTACACAGCCTCACGGGCTCTTGGTTAGACCAAACCAACGGAGCCGTCTCCTGACGCGCGCGTCCTCATCGGGATCGGGTCCTCTCGCTTCCGACAGGACGCGTGGCGGGTGAGTTCGCAGTACCGTCGTCTGTAGCGTCACTCCAGCGTGTGCCGTCGTCAGAGATGGCTGGCCAGACCGGCTGCCAGGCCGAGCTGTCCGAGCGCCTGCACCGTCCACCGCCAGCCCGCTGTCTGGTGCGCTGTCTGACCAGCTGCCCAGCCCAGCTGTCAGCCGGCCGCACCAGCTGCCCGGCCAGCTGCCTGGACAGCTATCCGGTCGGCTGTCTGGACGGCTGTCCAGCACACAGCAACACCATCCAGCGCAGCCTGGCTCAATGCCTGACCAGCTGTTCGGCCGTCCGACAGTCCCGTTCACTCTGTCGGCCCGGCCGCACACCGCAGGCGGTGAGGGTGGGCCCGCCACTGGAGCGGTCCAGGTGAGCCCATCGATCGTCACACCCTAGTAACGCGGCCGTCGCCAGCCAACAGTGATAATCGATGAGGTTGGCCAGCTGGTTGCCCCCGGAACGGCAAGCACCGGCGGCGGGGATCCAGTGATTGCCCACCTCTCTGCGCGAGGCCCAAATCCCCAGTGGTGACCAGTCGGCGTAGGCGGCAGGCCCTACCACCCTGCTTGTAACGTTGTGTACAGTAAGATGCGCGACTCGGGCATGGGCCGCGCGCAGCTGTTTTTTATGAGCATAGGACGACTACCTTTCCTTAGGGTGGCCATTATTTTGATTTGTCAAAAATTGTCAGCTGGGTCTGCCTTAAATGACCCAAAAATAGTTTGGTCCAAAAATAGATGGTGTAAGGTTTTGAACAAATAAACAAGATTTATGGGTCGCTCAAAGCGATTAAAATTAAGTCAAAGCATAGTCAGTGGGCATTCAAGCCTTCCACAGGTTTACTCAGAGCGATTAAGGCGATAACCGAAGTGTGACATTTGACTTCCGTAACATTATAATTTCTTCCTGTTTCTTGTCCTTTTTTGTCACACTACAGCCTTCTGCGTCGGGTTCCTTGTTCATCATACTGAACTAATTCTTCATGATGCGGTCAAAATAAAAAATGCTAGCCTCCATTACAGTGTGTTAAATTTGGTTAACAGTGGCATATACTGCTGTGACTATCAAATGCCGGTAAAACGATGTAAACGGGAAGTTAGACCAAATCACGTTCACCACCAGATATTCCATCATCAGGACCGATTTTCAATTTCAGAGAATGCAGAACGAACGGCAAAATCTACGAAACCGAGCGCCAGAAAAGGCAAATAAAGCGACATTGTCGGAGCTGTCGTTTATGTCCCTCTGATCACTGGATTACTCTTGCGTCCACTAGATTTTCTTGCGTCGGGGAAGACCTTCCTGTTCTGTTCTATGGCTTGCAGGACGTACTGCAGCCGTCATCCCCTCGGAAAGCGTCCAAAAGCACTGGGCGACTAGGAAGCTCCTGGCCCGCGTTGCCATGCCTACCAATGAAATGAAATGAAACAAAATCAAACATCGATGCACGAACAGACGTCAGCATTTTAAATGTACGTAAGGACGCACATTGCGGTGCATTTATACGTACATGATATTTGCACTTCCCGTCTACCCTTCACCCTCATTGGACGAATTGTTTTTACCAGGGTCGTCAATGAGGGCGTGGTATGCAACATCTACCGTTTCGCACCTAATTAAAGCATGCTCTGGCAAATTATGACATCGTCACTGACATGGGCAACCGCCAATCATCCTTATTGCTTCATCTTTACACAGCCACACGGAGCTCAGACATGCCTATCAATGAACTTCGGTAAATATGACGTTCCGTCAGCGGACAAAGTTCGGCGGCCCACCGAAGGACGGGAACCAGCCCTTCTGGCTGGTGTTGCGTTAAATCAAATAATGAACACGACGACTCAAGCCCGGTTCGAACTTCAAAGTTCCGTCAGCTGACAAAGCCGGTGCGTTGCCGAATGGCCCACCGAAGGACGGGAGCCAGTCCCTCTTCTGGCTGGTGTTGCGTTAAATTAAATAATGAACATGACGACGCAGGCCCGGTTCGGACTTTAAAACCTTACTCGCCACAGTCACGTATTCACACAGGTTGAACACTGAGCAGGACATGACACTCACCTCTGTAAGATAAAATGAGGATACAAACCGGGATTCCACCTAATCGAACGTCACTGATCCTCCAGCCAAGTGCCTATTCCTGCTTAAAAAAAGATTTTGTGGCCTTCCTTCTGTTAAACATCATGTTTGCTCAAACACCGTACAAGGGTGGAGCAAAGTTAACTGAATACCGAAATACATGACGATAGCAGGTTCCCTTCCTTTATGCAATATCCACATGTTCGGAGATGTCAGCCCCAAATGAGCTTGGCCTAGCCATGCTGGATGACGGTAAGCGAGCCTTGAATTTGATTTGACGTGGTTAAGACTTACTGTAGCATTTTGAAATGTTTCATTACAATAAGAGTCACGTTAATGTGCATGACCTCAGGCTTAAGACAGCACGTCTGCCTACATCGTACTTTTTCTGAATGTATCGAAGTTTTCAGCAGCCATCACCACGCTGCAAACAGGACATGCTCTCTATTTCATCTCCCGCCTGGTCAGGCTGGACAGTATTTTAGGGAATGGGAGCCCAAAGAACTGTGGTTGCACGTCCTGATACTAAGTACTCAGCTCATTGTTTTCATCGTTCGACGATTGACACCTTTTATGCATGCATATTAAAGACGATTTAAGTGGACATTAGGACCATAATTAGTTAGCTAGTGAGGAATCAGTTAAACTGCGATGAAGAATCGGTCTTGGAACTCGATTTGAACAACCTTGGCATCTTTTAGCATCTATAATTCGTCACGCGTTTTTCTATGACGTTACCGGCTATTGAGGCCTGTCCGACGCGGTTAAAATACGAACGCCTGTTGAAAGGACTGTAAAGCACAGCGGTGTGGGTAGAATCACTCCTAGGTCTCAGGGTAAAGTGAGAGCTTGGCGTCGAGCATAGAACATGAACAGCGTGAAGATACATACGCTCAAATGATCAGCTGTATACACTAAAGCTTGAACATATGCGCATGAACTGACCACATGTTTTCAAGGTCCTGAAATAGGCAGAGGTGTTCCATCCTATGGCGATGTGACTGTCATACATCGGTATTGAGTGCTTGCATTGAGTGCTTCCTGAAAGCACTCAATACATGGTTACAATATCATCAAATTATAGTATGCATGTTACGATGTGCATCATTTTATACTAAACATACAACCACGAATAGCGTGCATATAGGTATGCTCTTGTACACTCCTCCACTTTCAGTGAACTGGCGCACAAAGCGTCCAGTCTATGGCACCTACTCACTGCGCAGCATGCGACGTTGAATGGCTGTTTGACCAGCTTTACCGCGTGAAGGATAGGCGGGACCGACAACGTGGAACACCGATAGTGTAGCGGTCACGCTGCGCGTCCGAGAAAGCAGAGGTGCGGGGTTATATTACAACCGGAGGTACGGGTCGGGGGTTCGCGGTGCACGTCATCGCCGCCAGGGTGAAAGGCAGACGACGTCAAAAGGCCTCACCAGCTGAGCGCGCTGGGAAGCAGCCCACTGACGAGGGCGACGAAGCGCACAACGTGGCAGTCCAAACGAACTCAAATCCTGTCGCAACATGTGCCGTGTATACGCCGAGTCTCTTCCCAACACGACCAGCAGGAGCTGCTGAAGGGCGGCGTTCCTCGCCCAGTTGCAACAGCGTGACCAGTTCAAACGTCTTTAAGCTCGTGACATGCATTGCTGAGACACCGCAGGGACTACTTCTGTGGATACTTCTGTGGCACGTCGCGGGAACACGACACCGTGCTGAAGCGTTACAAATTCTGTTCAGCGGCGCACAGAGGGGTGAGACTCCAAAGGCGCGGCCGGAGTGTCAAGGTCACTAGACTCTGGTCCCCGGCTCAAGCGCATGCTTTGACCGCGGAACACGTGAACTGCAACGCGTTTGGTCGCAAGACAGCTGAACGTTCGTTGATGTCAGGTTCGGATTTCTGAATACGTAAAGGCTTGGCTCGGTATCGTAATGAAACCTGGTTTATACTGCACACAGTAATGCATACACACACACACACACACACACACACACACACACACACACACACACACACACACACACACACACACACACACACACACACACACACACACACACATATATATATATATATATATATATATATATATATATATATATATATATATATATATATGCAGTAATGGTAACAAATAATACAGATTCGTGATGAAGTTCCACTGGCTCATGATCGGCTCACGTGTGGCTCATGCTAAACCAAAAATTCACAAAATTGCCCATCGTTAGCAGAGAATTCTGACCAAAAGAAAAAATAGTGCACGAATGAGAACAGTATGTCGCAGCCTTTTACGTATGAATTACAAAACCGTTCTTCGTTGGTTCCGATCCGATAGATGAAAGAAGGTCTCGGAAAGTGGTGGCACCAAAGCCAGTCTGCGTGTCAATATTCTTTCCGTGTGAGACCATGTGACCAGTCACCAGTTCAATAAATGTTCGACATTCTCGTAAAGCCGGAGTGTCATGACACCCGCCAACCTCATTCCCATGCCCATGCATTAAAATATACATGTTTGTATGGAATCTGAGAACAAAAATTATTTTCAGATTAAAAGCGTTTAATACACACATTTTTTAATGACACATTTTCATATTTTTCCTCATTGTTATGAGCTCACTGTTGCACGAGGTTCCGATAAGCGGACCCCAGCTCCAGCAGCTCTCACGCGGGTCGATCCCACGGCAAATATCTGCACGGCATCGGAGCCGTCCGCAGAGGCGCTCCGCCCCCGGCTCAGCGCTGCACCCTGGCCCGAGAGGCAGATCCGTAACCGGCTTTTGCAGCGTCTCGCGACGGGCCTTGGCCGGCGCGCCTGCAACGGCCCGGCAGCGGCGGCCAGTGAGTGCCGCCTGGACGTGTGGGGCGCGCGGCTGCACTCTCCGCCGACGCCATGGGTGAGTGCCGCCGGCGCAGAAGGGCACCCCGGTGTCAGGGCACTTGGGGCTGTCGTTCCATCCGGATGGGGCAGCTGTTTCGGCAGTGGGTGGCTGGTTTGAGTCGGCACGGCTCCTGCTGTGCCGGATGTGGGAGCCGTGTGGTGACCTTGAGGGGAACGCCTTTGTGGCCCTGGTGATGAACAAAATGGTAATCAGCCGAGCTTCACATGCATTTTGGCAACACGGCGCGTCACGATAGGCGCTAAAAATCGTCTGTATATCTTGTCAGTGCGTTTGTATTGTCGCGTGTTATTCATGAAATCGTGGAAATAGTAAAACCGGTCCTGCGCCGTGAACGGAAGAGGACGTGAGCAGCGGTCGGTGCCACGAGTCGGCTCAGGCATTCAGGGGTGAAAGAATTACGCACCAGCGCCATTTGAGAGCTTTTACATTACGTGATGCATTTCAGTGGCACACCAAACAATTTCTTTTGCCATTTGACACCACTGCTGTTTTGCGAGGAGAGGTGACTCAAAAAATACGCGCCATTTTTTAGCAATTAGGCACAGGGACGATTAGGCACATAATTGTATTAGGCACAGGGACTATATACAGGTATATCAGGAGTTTCGCATCGAGACCGCCCCGTCACTATTCCGGCCATGTTCGTAGTTCGCAGCCTGGTACCGCCCTGTGTGGCGCATGACTCCGAAGGGGGGGGGGGGGGGAAGGGCGTTGTGCGGATCGAGGCAGGCTCCAAAACACAGGGAGGGTGCTTCCGCACGGGGTGATCCGATCATGGAATGCTCTTCCAACCCCACCTTACTGGGCCACTAAGCGCTTTTAAGTCGGTCCTGTGAGATAAGTGTGACGCTGACTCGTGGGTCATCGATGGTAGTGCCCGTTTTAGCAGTTTTGTTTGTGTGTTTGTGTTTTCACTGGCATCTTGTTTGTCATATGTGACGTGACGACCTGAATGCCCATTCACGTGGAAGGAGATTCGCAAAATGCATACATGCATGCCAAAGCGTAGCTTAGAAGCTTAGTTGATTAGACTGCGTGAAAAACTGCCCGCGATGAATACTGTCTGTTTCTGTTGTGCACAATCCGCGTCTATTGAGCGCTGAGAGTCTCGTGTGCCATGTCATAATATGGAGCGGACCATTATGTTCAGAAATAAATGTGAGCGACCCGGGACATTATCAGCTGATTGATGTCTGTGAGCTGTTTTTCTGTGATAAATTACTATATTACCTCCGTTAGTGATCCCAAATAAATGTGCGATTCGCTCCGTAAAACTATTAGCAATGGGATGAAAATTAGATTGCAATTAAGATGGGTTGTTAATAACTGCATTATAACTCTTCGCATCCCAACCTCTCAAGACGAAATACGGCCATTTTGTTTTACAATGGCGCAACTTAAGACTTACTTTGAAATTGTTGGAATAACAAAACTGCAGCAAAGATATAGGTACTGGATGGGGGTGTAGTCTCCTATTCAGCTGAGGAAGAGGGGGCTTCATCCCCTCGCCAAAAATTTGGCTCCAGTCGCCCAACTCTGGGAGAAAAGTGGTCCAAATCAAGAGGGAAACCCGTTTGTCGGCGAATTTTGTGAGTAGGGTTTATATTTTCCGCGGCTCAGCTCCCCCTAACACATCTTGCGAAAATACGCCGCTTTATCACTGGATACCTCATTGCATGGCACCAGGGAGCCGCCTCTGAGCTATTGGTAGGTGTTCAACACCTCGTAGCCGCAACAATATGTTCCCTTCGCAGCTGACGGGAGCAATTTGAGCGGACAGAAACCAGAAATAGACAGCCCCCCCCCCCCCCCCTGCACTCCTCTCCCCTCTACGATTGAAGTACGGTTAAGGCACTCCGAAACTGGGGGAAGCATAGCATTAGCCCTGCGATTATTTTGCGTGGAAAGGAAATTTGTTTTGGCGCCCCAAACATCTCTAAATTGCGCGGTCCTGTCGGTCACCGCACAAGTCACACCTTTGCGCCTTGAAAACCCCGCCCTACAACCTTAAAACGTCATTCCTGGTCACCAAGGTTGCTTATATTTAGTCTCCTGTACTCCTGCGGATCTAATCTTTAGCTGAGCTGTGGAGGCTGCTCATATCAGATAATCCTTCGGGGACACTGTGGTAATTCCGAGACATTTCAAACCGAGTTTCGGCTACGAAGATTAGCACCAGCAGGTATTTTCAGCCTTGCTTACAGAGACAAGCGAGGATAGCAGGGCCTCGTGTGCTTACCATTCCTTGGGTGTTGACTACGTCCTGCTTGCGGGGCATCAAGCTTCCACTTGGAGACGTCATGAAAAACACCATTTTGCTAGTCAAATAATGGAAGCCAAACGGTAGCCCCGGTCAATGGAATTGAAGGCCTTGCCAAAGGTGGTGGATAACGGCATTTCAACGGAAATACTACGATATTTTTAACATGGTGCGTACTTCTCTCCTTCAGAAAACACAGCGGGAGCTGTCATGTTGCTGATACTGTGTGTGGTAAGTATACTAAGTCGCGCCTAGAGGTCCGCAGGCATAACGTCCAATCGCTGCAAACACACAACGTGAGTGTTCACCTGGCCAATAACTCGTACACGGCAGATTATATCTGAAGAGCGTAGCCAGTTTCAAATGTGTATCCGGCCACGGGACATCACTTCAATACTCCCACGTCACGCGCCACGAATAGTTAGAGAAGTGAAACGTCATAAATAACTGGATAAACCCTGCACGTTGAACAAAGCGAAAAAAAATGTTTCCGAAGAGCCCCTTCCTTGTGTTCCTACTCACGTGACCCACAGCTGACCCTGTGTGACCCGTGACCTCAGGTGAGCGCCGGTAGGGCCGCCGACATGATGCGGCAGTCGATCGTGTTCAACCCGGGCACGCCGGACGTGTTCTACTGCCCGCTGCACAAGCCGAAGTCGTTCCACAACATGCTGGTGAAGGCGCGGCCGCTCTCCAAACTGTGCGAATTCAAGGGCCGGCCGCTGCCGGAGGGCTACAAGTCCGACTGCTACAACGACGTAGACGAGACCGAGTTCGCCTGCGCGGAGAAGCACCGCATTTTGGTGAGCCTTGCCGCCGGTGGCTGCTCAAGGAAGGCCTGACGGGTCACACTCACAGTGTATAGCTCCACTAAATCTTGGTTAGGGGGTGAGGAGACTGGGTAGGATCGAATCAAGGAGGCCATATGTGAAGGAATGTCTCAGAAAGAGGGAAAGCAAGCCGATTTTGAACTAGAATTTTTCCCTGCGTTGCCATAATGTTGACAATGTTCAGCATTCTCGTATAGGGGGGGGGGGGGGGGCATGGCGCGCATGCACCCTCCCACTCCCGTTCCCACACCCATGCACGTGACGGAATGGTAAGCGCTGAGCCTCCAGGGGTGCGCTAGCGTGGCGTGCCCCAGCGGCGCTGACCCGCCCGTTGACCTTCCAGCCGCGCCTGCAGTCGGAGGAGGATCAGCTGAATGGCATCTGGGAGGCGGTGTAGCGGAAGCTGATGCCGCTGCCGGCCGATGGGGCCATCGGCACCCCCTGTGGCTGCCACTGAGTGATAACATTGGCCAAATGCCGCGCGCGAACGGCACACAGGCGTCAACGGGTCCACGAGGTCTGCGGCTAGCACTGGAAACGGCAAGCAGACAGCAGATGCTGGATGGCGCTAACAGCCGTGCTCTAGATAGCACCTAGCTAACACTGGTCGTGAGCATTGTCCAGGATAGTGTTTCGCTTAGATCATTGTGAGATATTTATGGTGCATTTACTCAAATGCGCCTGGGAGGAGTACATGTTTTTCATGTTGTGTCACATGTGGCTTCTGTGTCTGCGTGTCCGCGTGCCATTAACAACATCAAAATAGGATGTCCTTCAAGGGGTTTCAGCCTTAAAATCCTTAAATATACAGCTCATGAGTTTCCAGCAAGCCTCGCTGCTGATAAGCATGATGGTATTTCGTATTACAAAGACGTACCGGATAATTTTAGGAGAAATAATAAAATAAAAAAACATATTGCAACTGTTTGTAAATGGGCAAACGAAGCACCAACCTAATTACATATCTGCGTTGTAGCTGCATTCGTTTTCTGCTCTTTTTAGCAGAATGGCCAGCTCCGAAGCTCTCTTTGTCGTCCATGCCTTGTCCTGGAAGAAGTCGCTTTATTCTTCTGTTTAAATACATATGGTCTACCAAACGAGCATTTCAAGTTTACGCTCAATGGGACAAGCACGTCCTAATGATGCCAAAGAACGGATGATGTCAAAGGGCATAACAGTTTCCTCATTGTGGACGAATGTGTTTCCCTGCGCTGATGGTACGTGATGGGTCAGTACCAAGTATATTGAAACGGTGACAAAATGGTGCATGCATAAACTATTGCGGCTACTGTCCTGACCATTAGGTGTTTGGTTCTATTGACAATTCGGAAATTTTCCTTATATGAGATTATGCGCGCTTGTACGGACTCATGCAAATATACGCACGCACGAACGCGCGCCCACACACACACACACACACACACACACACACACACACACACACACACACACACACACACACACACACACACACACACACACACACACACACACACGCACGCACGCACGCACGCACGCACGCACAGCACGCACGCACGCACGCACGCACGCACGCACGCACCACGCACACACACACACACACACACACACACACACACACACACCACACACTTACCATCCCCCCCCCCACACACATCTAACATATATTATAAGATATTCCAGCAAATCACATCTGATTCAATGACTGGAAGCAGTAGCCTATCCGGTCACTTCAGATACATGTGCATGACAAGCTACATGTGATTATGATGATGAATAATAGTAATGACCAATAATGCACTTAAGGCATCTGATTTTTGGCGTTTAAATTGAAGCCGTCGTATTACTGACGTTCGAATCCGGATCTGGCAAATCCGGTTGGCGCGGGCAAATCCTCTGAGGACATCCGGCGATTCACTCAAGTGTGATTCACTCAAGGGCGACGCAAGCATTAATGCCAAGGGCGAATCGCCACTAGGACCAAAGCCTCCCGGCCTGCTCACCTTCGTCTGTGTTTGGCGGAAGCCACACCACGCCTTCCTCAATGCAGGGCATTACGGCACGTTATGATGACAGCAAGACATGAAAAACGCAACGATAACGGAATTAAGGCACTTGCTTTGGACGCCTTACTCGCTCGAGTGCAAACCTGTTTATGTGGCGACGTCCGCACTCTCCTAGCACATATGGATGAAGGGAGCATATCAGTGACAAGATCGCTGAAGACAGGTTTTTTGCTCGTTTCTTACCGAACTCGCAACCCGCTCAGCGCTAGGTCATCTGCCGCCGTACACGAAGCCGCTGTGACGTCAAGCGCTGATCGCGTGCTGCTCGCCGCACTTTGTGTGCCCGAATGCGGGGATGGTCTGAGTTGGGTTCGTTACACGAAACATGATGGCTTGTTTCTCGAACAGACATGTCAAATTCGGCACATAGTGCGATCGTGTCTGGCGCGTTGCGTGCTTCCGACCTTTTTTGCACGTTGGATGGGTCTGTAAGACAAGAGAGAGTAAATTGCACAAATGCTTGTCACGATCAAATGTAGGCATGTGAACCGTTTATACGCCGAAGATAACATGGCTTCCCTCTTCATCAGTTTTTACAGGCAGAAGAAAGCCAGCGAAATTTCTTTGGCCCCAATTCCCTGCAGGGTGGGGCAGATTCTGCCCACAGGACTTATTGTTTTGCTTACTGTTCGCAAAGCGTTTGCCGTCATTTTTGGTAAAGTTAGCGTGCCTGTTTCGTGTCAAAGGTCCAAACAAATCAATCGTGGGTACACGTCCCTTCCGCCCCTCCATGCTGTTTTGTTTGTCCTAGGCTCTGCTCCCTCCTTCCTCGCTGGTTCAAAACTATGGTGAGAAGAAAACGCACTTAACTAAATACTTTAAGATATTTGTGTACGGCAGAGCTCCGTCGACTCCACTCAGCATGCTTTGCTCTAAGCGTACTGCTATCTTACAATGACCTAAGTACTTGAGCGTGACTGGGAAAAATTATCCAAGGCCAGCACCGCCAACCCATTTCAACGGGCTGGTGGCGCCTCAGTTTTATACGTAAGGAAAAGGTTCAACTGGAGCGCCGTCAGCTCCGTCTCGTTTCAGCGGATATCGGCAGCGGCAATGCATTGCGCACACAGAGCTGTCATTTCCGAAATGAGTGAAGATAGCAGCATTTGGCTATGTTAGCCAGCAACAAGGAAAATAACAGTTTGTCTGATGAACTGGACTCCCATCATCTGGGTAGTAGAATCAAAATACAAGTTTAGGGAGAACGTGTCTATTTTCATGTTATGAGCAACGTGATAACACATCCCGAGTATACCAATAATGTTCGAGCGTTCCCAGATGCGGACTTATAAGATGACTAACAATGTATTTTGCGCTTTACACCGGTATGTAAGAAATACACTTAACTGATGCGTTTTATCCAGAGCAAGAACATGGTAATGTTGTACTTTTCAAGCTATGGATACTGTACCGAATAACAGCCACGGTAGCTTGCATTTCACAAATAAATATAAACTGCAGTAACCATATTAAGAGCGAAGGCGCCCTTGTCCTGATCTTGAATGCGATCAACCGATACGCAATTCAACATTCGGATGCCGTTACGTGACCGGGAAGCGTCACGAGACCAGGAGTGACAGCGGCAGTGGTCAAGAGCCTCACCACCAACCAACGCTGGCGATTAGCGATCAGCTGGATGTGGTGCTGCCTGTGACGTGACGCAGTTACGGTAAATCCTTTCTTTCGAACCATTGTGATCGTTCAAATATTTTTTAACAACAGCAAACGGCTACCGTGTTACTATAGCCTCAGTACGAAGTTAAGTCTCGTTCCCTTTTCTGGTTTTATTAAAGCTATGCCACTGGCGGTGGCGCAGGCAGGGAGGGCACAGGGAGCACGTGCACTCCCCCAGGTTCCGAGGCGCGTGCACGTGCACTCCCCCAGGTTCCGAGGCGCGTGCACGTGCACTCCCCCAGGTTCCGGCCTTCGGGCCTGGGGACCTGGGGGACCTACGATTAAGGGAGCAATTTAAGGGCCGGAAGGGCCCGAAAGGCCAGCCGGAGGTCATATTTAGGGGTGCCGGCCAGAGGTTCCCAATGCCAGTCAGTGGGTCCTGCGCGCTGCTCAGGGCCTCCTGCTGAGCCGATTAGGGCCTATGTTTTGGTCAGACACCACCAGTAACGCACAGCCTGCTCCGCGTCGGCATGTGCCTGAGGGCACATTTCCCAAGCAGAGACAAAGCCGGAGCCAGCGATTTACATGAGACAGGGCCCAGCGTGTGTTAGGGCCCCACAGTGCCCTACAGCGGACCTGTGTTGGCAAGGGATCCTGATTCGGCCAGAGGCAATGCTCGAAGATACCCGAAGATCCTGGAGGACTCATCGGGACTTACGATGAAGGGCCGGATTGCAGGGCCTAGGAGCACGAGGGGCTGGCCGGATTCTTATTCAGGAACCCCGGCCTGCGGGGGCGGGCCCTCAAATGGCAATCAGAGGTCCCTTGACGCCGATCAGGGACCTCCTAAGTCGATGAGGGCCTCTGTATCGGTCAGGAACCACCGTTCGCTCCGTGACGTCCTTGGCCTGAGGGCCCACTTACCAAGCAGTTACAATGCCGGGGCCAGCGATTTACACTGGTCGTGCCCCTGTATATGTCAGGGACCTTAAGTGCCTTACAGGAGGTCCTGTGCTGCCAATGGCCCCGGGCCGACTAAGGGCATTGTTAGTAGAGGGGCTCGGGCGACCCACCGAAACCAACGATCAAAGACCCGGTTGAAGGGCATAAGGGCCCGAAAGGCTGGCTGTAGGCCACAACAAGAACCACAGCCCGTAGGGCCGTGATCTGAAATGCCAGTTGGAGGGCCTCTTGCACCGTTTGAGAACCCCTGAGACAATGCAGGTGTCTGGGTCGGCCAGAGACCACCAACACCGAACAGTTGTCTCTCAGTTAGCCTGCACAATGGGGCCCATTTCCCAAGCAGGAGCAAGGGCGGGGGCCATGATTTGCATTGGTCTGGGCCCCTGAAACAATGGTCGGGGCCCCGGTGTCGTCAGGAGCAGTGCTTAACAGTGCCTTACAGGAGATCATGCGCCGCCTGGTGGCCATGAGTCGGCCATGGGCTTTGTCTGAGGAGGTCCGAAGAGGGACCGGAAGTCCCTACGGACCAAAAATCAAGGACCCAGTTCTAAAACTGAAGTGCCCGAACGACTAGCCTCATATCACATTTAGGACGTCTCCGCCCGTAAGGCCGTGACCTCGTGATGGTGATCTCGCAGGTCTTAACATACGCTCGGGTGAGAGCCAATTTGACCCCCCCCCCCGAAACTTTTTCCTCAGTCACCTATAAATATTTAGTAAGGTCATGCATTATAAGGTCAGTGCCCTATGGCAGGTCAAAGTCATGCCATGAATTCCGCGAAGACAATGTTTAGGGAATCGTTTAATTTGATGCAACAACGTAGTGTTAGACGAAGCCACACATCTCTGATATAGCTTCTTAGGTAACAAACAATTAAGTGAGCAAATTCCATTGACCTAGGGTCAGGTATGAAGATCACACCAAGGTCGAAATCAGCCTGTTTTGTTTCTCTAGAGCTTCTTACTGTATGAGACAGTTTTTAGTGATCGTTTCGAACTTATTGGTAACAATAATCACATTATGCATCCATGTAATTTTTAAAAGGCCAAAATAGGATACTGACAAAACACCTGGGCCAACATTTCGTTTCTTAGGAAGATACTGCCTAGCGTATTCTTTGACGCTTATTCAAATGCAAAACTCAAAGCAGTCTTGCATGGCTTTGGTGACCATGACCTTCAAAGGTCAAGCAATGCCACTGACCTTAAATGAGCATCAGTGTCCCTTTGCTTAAAACGGGTCCCCAGATTCTGGGGGCGCTTTCGACACCAATCTGGAGTTTGACCTAATTTAACCTTATTTGACTGAAAGAAAACGACTAAGGAACCTCAAATTTTGGCATAAATGAGTTCACGTGCAGCCCTATACACCCTGTAAATTTGGTGTCCCTAGCTCTCGTAGCTTATATTGTAAGACCGGGGGGGGGGGGGGAGGGTCAAATTAACCTCCACTCAGGCGAAGGGTCGGGTCCGGTTAGAACCGGTCACCGGGGCGCGTGTTAAGTTCTCATGTTACCTTCCATTTTCAGAGGGCCCGACCAACGCGAGGCCCTCTGGCATTCAGGACCCCGTCCCGGCAATGTTCAGCAACGTTTCCCTGGCCTACTCAAGACGCCTTGTTAACACGGAACACCCTGGTAGGTAGGCACTGCGGCCCCTGACCGATACAACAGCTCCGCATTGTTGAAGGGTCCCTACCAATATAAATCGCGTGCCTTGCTTGGGAAATGAGCCCCTGAAGCTCAGGCCGACACGGAGCTGAACGCTTGGTGTTGTTGAGCTCTGGCCGAAATAGAGGAACGCACTGCCTCGGCGTCCCCAATCGGTGCAAGAGAACATTTAAGACTTAAGATCGCTGACATCTGGGACACGGCCTTACAGGCGGTTTTGAACTTAATGTTTCAGGACCGAATAGCCGGCTTCGCGTCGGTCTGAGCCCTGAGAACCTATTTTCCAAGCATCAACGAGGCCGGGCCCACGATTTGCAATGGTCTGTGTCTCACGCAATGAAGGCCTCCCGTGTTGGTCAGGGGCGACAACGCTTAGCAGGGAGTCCTGTGTCGGCACGTGGCCTCAAGTCGACGAGAAGCTGGGGCTCAAATAGGGGTCCGAAACGTCTTTCGAGACAAAAGATGGGAAGCCCCTTTTGGATAGCGCGCTGAGGCTACCTCCATATCGTGGATTGACAAAACTTGCGCAACTGTTACACCCAGCGAATAACATTGTATTGCAAGGCATCCCAGCGTAGTCCTGTTATTTGGTGTTCGATATTGTCAAAAGGCATTGACGTTGGTTACACTGCCTAGTAACGAAGAGGGCACGTGTCCGTGTTACTTTTTGCGTGCATTGATATCTAAGACCGAGCTGCAAGGTAGGAGACCAGTTGACGTGCGAACAGGCCTGGGGACTTCCCCCTGACACATCGGTAAACTCGGGCAGTGCTGTGTTGCGCTGCAAAAGGAGGTGATACTTTCTCTTGGCTTTTTGCAGTTGTCTTCACATTTGGTTTCAACTATCAGTGCATGATCATTGTGCTAAGACACTATCAACATGTATGCATTGCTTTGCCATTATTGCAAAAGGTGTTCAGACTCAGCTTTCAGTTGAATGTGACCTTTTGCTCTGTTTTGTTGGCATTCCCTGTTCTTATCAAGCTCTTATTTTATAGGCTACCTACATTCTTGGATTTAAATGGGTTAGGTAATGATAACCAAGTTACAGAGCCACACAAAAGTATAAGGTATGTGTGTAAATACATTTAAATTGATACATTAGTATATTTAATGATATCTGTATTTACCATTTACAATGCTTTGCATCATTCAGACTCACTTCTGACTGTGGTAAGATTTTGCATGTGCACATGAAATTTGTTGGATGATTCTGCTACTGCTTGCCATTGCTCTTCTTGTCAATATGATTACCTATGGAACCTTTAAAGTTGATGACAAGCCTATGAACAAACCTGACAATTGTTTTATTCCTAGGAATATAGGGCTGTTATAGGTATAGTGGTTAGGGCACCCAACTCTGGACCTGTTGGTCTTTGGTCAGAGCCCCTGCCACACCACCACCTCATCCGACATGTTACCTTACAAAGGCATCCACCTCAAAATGGCCCTGGCAGTTAGTGGGAGGTGTAGCTCCCATCATCATAGCTGTACAGTGTGGTCTGTATGGGCCTATCAAACTTTTAAGTCTGCATAAAATCACTGTTATGCATGCTATACCAGATTCCCTGTGCATGCCTCTGTGATACATTCCTGATGTGCTTGATAACAAGAATCCCTGGCTTTGGAACTGGATTTCAGAGATACCATCCTTGACAAGAAGCCCCAAGGTAATGAACCCATTCCAGATGACCCAATATGTGCAGCTTGAATGCAATTTGTCCATGCAATTGGTCTGCAGCTAAGTCAGTTAAATGCATGGAAATAACCCATGAGCTTCAAAATAAGTTCCTACCAGCCACTGCACACATTGTTTGGGTGGTGCAACAGCCTATAATGGGTGGCCTGAAACAGTTCTTAGGCACATGGATGGGTCTCAAAGTACAAATAACAGATGCCTTTTACCTTACCTTACCTTATGGTGATTGGGAATTGTAAAAGGCCACCAGGCCTGTAGTTCCCAGTCTTGTCAGGCTCCCTGTCCAGTGACCAAACAGTCTCCTTTTGCCTTTTCTCCTAACCTTTTGCCTCACTTTTACCACCAGAATCTGTCTCTGGTGATGACAGTGGGGCTATGTGTAGTGTTTTGCCTCACTTTTATCACCAAAATCTGTTTCTGATGATGACAGTGGGGCTATGTGTTTATGTATATGTGCCATGTGAGACTAAGGTATGTGTTTGCTGATGCATCACCATGAGGCTGATGGTTTTGTCTGTTATGAGGCAGTTGTGTTTGCTGATGCGTCACCCATTGACCCTGCCATCACCAAATGTTGGGGAAAGTGCCATCAAGGTTTGTAAGACATTTCCTTCCATACAATGCCAAATATCTTTTTTGATTGGTGGAAGTGGTATGAGGCTGGGATCAGCAAAAGCTAAAAATTACCTTTGCTTGTTAGTGTCACTTCCCAAAAAAAACAGTCAGCACTATGCAGTTGTGCTAAAAGCAATGACAGTGGTGGCATGCAGAAGGTGTCATGCCAGAATTGTTCAAATTGTTTCTGTAAAAGACACCAACTTGGACTGATATCTTGGTGTACAAGAGTGTCAAAATATGTAAGTGAAATTCCAGGTGTTCTCACAACATAAGTACTTAATGTCCACAACTTGGAGGCTGGGGCTGGCTATAATGCACCGGAATATCATCGAATCATTGTGTAAACAGCCATATTATTGCTTGATTTCAGAACTATGGCAAAGGAAGATTACACTGCAATACCACTAGGATGACACTGAGCCAAGCAGTAAAAAGGCAACAAATGGCTCAGCCTTCAACTATGATTCTGCATTTGATTTTCGCTCAATATCCAAGTTTGACAAGGCTTCTTTTCCATCAAAATCATATTTTACATTCTCCAAGCAAACAAGCTTTTCAAAGCAAACTGGTAAGGTACTGTATATAGTTGGTAAGTACTATAGATATAGATTGCTGTAACATGAATTATTTCTCTAAGGGGAGTCTGACATAACTTTGTTTGGTGACATTAAGTTACTACTACCACAGAGAGGATTGGTTCTGCTCTGTTCATCCAATCCAGACATGTTGGCAGTGTGTCCAATCATGTGAGAAATCAAGACCAGCTCAGCTGCCCATTGGTGTAGATATTCATCCACTCTGTTTATTCAATACACATTTCTGTATGTCCTACCCAGATCAGTAACATCACTTGTATCCTTTAGCTGAACTATTGACTGACAGGTGGCGTCACGTGTCTCCCCAGCGGCTGACGGCGGCGACGACTGCCTGTCGACCCTGGTCACGGGCCTGCTGCTGTTCTTGGTGTACTCGCTGACGGTGATGACGCTGCCGGTCACGGGCTGGTGGACGGTGCGCCGGCTGGACCGCTGGCAGCGCATGGTCGTGTTCCGGCTGGGCAAGGTGCTGCCGACACGCGGGCCCGGCTGGACGCTGGTGCTGCCCGGCCTGGATAGGCACCAGCTGGTGGACCTGCGCAACAAGAGCATCCTGGTGCCGCCGCAGCAGGTGAGCGCCGCGCCGGAGCCGCGCAGGAGCTGGCTGGGTCAGCTGGACCTCAGCCCGGCACGGAGGGTATGATATCCGGTCTCTGATTGATTCGGTATCATAGTACTGCCCGGGCTTTCAGTCTTGACTCGTCTGTGTTATGTTACGACGTGTGCAAGTGCTGCGGTTATGGGCATCGTCAGCTCTCTTCTGCTGTTGGCGGCGGGAAACGGCGAGGCGCCAGCCAGGTAACCAGACGGTAACCAGACGCCAGGTAGCCAGACGCGAACCCGAGGGTCGTCACGCGGCCACGGCGAGCGCCGTACGAACCGCGTCCCTGCAGCCCACGCTGTCGTCAGATACCCTGTGGGACCACGGGCACAGGATCCAAGATAAGCGAGGCGGTTTTGCACGTCAAGGAAGGACCTGACACGCGCGCGCCGGCCGCGCGATGTGCGAGTGGCCCTGCTGACCCGCGCGCGCGCCGCCGCCGCCAGCTGATCACCTGCGACGGCGCCGTGGTGGAGCTCGGGGCCGAGCTGCTTTACCGGGTGTGTGACGCGCACACCTTCGTCGGCTCCTGCGTCGACCCGCAGGGCGCCCTGCGCTCCCTCACCAGGACTCAGATGGTCAACACACTGGTCGGCCAGGAGGTGGGAGACCTAGGCGGTCAAGGGTGCCGTTCAGTGAAAGGAACTGATTTTGAGTTTTGTTCTTAGTTTAGGACGCATTGTAGTGGGAACTGCTGCCAAGGGCATGCGTCTGGATCAGGACTGTTCTTCGCTGTAATTGTACTAGGCGTGACGGACGGGCTGGGCCGGGTCGCCCGCCATTATCGTTGTCCCTGGATTTAAGTTATGAAATTTCGATCGAAATATCTAGGTATTTGTATCTTCATTAACTGAAAAGGTTCCAGCATCCGCAGGCAGATTATGTGATAAGTAGTTATTGAGCAAATATTGATGAACGCATCGAAAAGCGTGAGTATTTTACGTTTCTTTTTTGATGTTATCAACGATCATTGTTTTTATGTGATTTGTGCATATTTTTATGTTTTCATCAGGGTTGATGAATCACTCACATGAAGAGACGTAGAGGTGGAGCCAGATGTGGCAGTCTTAATTTTGCATCACCTAGGTAGCTTGATTAAATCGTATAAGCTACTATGTGACCCGATTTCGTATTGCAGCTGACCACAATAACCAGAAGGGGGCCGGAAGTTGAGGAGGCTGTGCTGTCGACTATAAACGGCCAGATCAAGGACTGGGGAATGGAGGCCTCGTCTTTAAAGTTGTAAGTGACTGAGGTCGTGACGTTTCGCCATCACACTCGTCGGTTCTTGCAGCGCAGAATGCCCTCACTTTGTCTGCATTTGTGTGAAATATTTTGTGATATCATCAGTGTATTAATGATATCCCTCCGGCGAGGTCACGCTAGCTGGTGGCCGCTAACTAATGGCTTACGAATGCCCTCATCAAACTTGAAGTCGTCCTTTTGGTGCGCACTCGTGAGGAAAGCTAATGTGATATCTGTCGGCCGTCATCCCCGCTCCTGCCGTACCCCAGCTCCGAGGTGAAGGTGCACAAGGAGGCGGAGCACCTCTCGGCGGTGAACCCGCTGCTGCGTCAGCTGGGCGGCATGTTTGGCGGCTCGGGCAGCCCGCTGGTGGCCGGCCAGCCGCCACTTTCGGCCACCTCGCCGCTGCTGGCGGCCGCGCCGCCGACCGACACGACGCCAGCGCCCCTGGCGGCCGACCCGGAGACGAGCGAGGCGCTGCGGGCGGCCGTGGCGCGGCTGCCGGCTGGACCAGGCGCGACCAGCCTGGCGCGCGGCACGTACCGCATCGAGACCACGGACCCGGCCGGCCTGTACCACGTCCTCGTCGGAGACGGTCAGTGAGAGGGGGTGGGGGATGGGGGTGCTGCTGGAAGCTGTCCTGCTGAGTACTGAGCTGCTCTGGTCTCGGCGAGCCCTCGCCCTGTATTGCATTGGGCATTACGTCTATTAGCTCGCGTAGTCACGCCTCGATGCACATGGACATCTTTACTGGAGACGTGCAATGATCACACGACTGGTGCAAGCATTTAATGCTGCAGCCTATGCGTCCGAGGCGTGCGCCTGGCCAAACCCACCTGACCTGACCTGACCTCCGCACGCGCTCCCGTCCGGCAGCCGGCGGTGAGGTGCGGGAGGACGCGGCGCCCGGCCTGACGGCGGACGTGACGGTGACGCTGACGGCGGCCGACCTGCGGGAGATGGCCGCCGGCCGGCTCGGTCCCGGCACCGCCTACAGCGGCGGCCGGCTCCGCGTCCAGGGCAACGTCCACCTGCTGATGGCGCTGGGCCGGCTGCTCGGCGGCGCGGCCGGCGGCCAGCAGCGCTGAACCGGGACGCGGGCTCCGGTCGGACAGCGGCCACGCCACCGACGGACACGTGGGCGAGGCAGGGACATCTTCACAGGAGCAGGGGCAGGGACAGGGGCTCTTCACGTGGTGCGGAAATGTCCGCGCTCCCGTTCCTCCACCCATCAGCTGGCGGCTTGGCCCGAACAGTCCGGTCACTGTCGGCGAGAGGTCGCAGAGGGCGACACACCGGTCTCAGCACGGGCTAGGTCCGAGGGAGTGAAGGGGGGGGGGGGGGAGGGGGCTGGATAGTGTTTCGGTCCGTGTCTGATAACGCGAACACGGGTCGTGTAAACGTGCCCATAATACGCCGAGCTCTACCCAGAAGAGGGCGGAGGAAGAGAACGAGTACGGATTTCCGCCTTTCTCACTCATGCGGCTGTTCCACGTTCGCTAGGACGGAAGCAGTGGCCATGGTCGGTGCCATTGAAGACTGGGGGTCGGCAGTTCGTGGTGGTGCAGCCTCGTGCAGGTTCCCCGTGTTGTGATCTGTACCGGGCTGATTGGTTCAGGGCAGGCACGTGTGATGTTGCTCTAGTCGTGCTCACCGGAGTACTCGGGTCAAGCGAGCCCGTCAGATGGCGCGCGACTCTTCACTCACGCTCGCCGCGGTGTCGTGACAAAGCACCGCTTGGTTACTAGGTGCCCAGTTGTCGCGCCCGCCACACGTCCGTTGGCCACAGGCTTTGGCTGGGCCATGGCTTCGTTCCCATCACCAGCTGTCACAAGTGTTAGCCCTACGTTCACTGCGATGTGGCTTTGAGATTATACTTAAGATTACTGCGCCCAGTAGTCCGGTTAACGCAAGGCAACGACGAGCAGGTCTATATTTGTACATTTATCCCGTCTCTCATCAACCGTTGTGTTGACTGTTGCTGGCGGTAGCTGATGGTCATTCACGGCAACGCGTTGACCCGCTGTTGAATCATGGCCTCTGAGCAGTGCACGTTGTGGCCTCGTATTTGGTGAGGTTGTGAGTATCTTGATCCGTAAAATATAAACGCCTGCACCTAGGATCTAGATTCGACGGAAACATGGCCATGGTGCATGGAAAAACGACAAAACACCGCAGAGTATTGTTGAAACCACCAGTCACAGATAGACCGTCTCGTCTCGAAGAAGACCAGATTTTGGGAAAAATTGATTGCTCAACAAATAGTGGATGTACGAAGATCGTCCAAGAAAGCCCAGAAAGGACGAAGTGGTCTGATGCATACACTTGGTTCTGTGTAGTGAAATTGCGTATCTAATAGGTCCTTTTTAATGAACGTGGGCTGAAAGGCATGGTGCTGCTCAAAACATGTTTGCCAAATGAGGTAGTTTCAGCTTTTAGCTTGCTTTACCAAAGCAAAACAAACTAAATCAGGGAAAAATCAGCAAGGAAGGATGTTCAGTCGTCCAAACTCCCAGATTGCTCATGTGTCGGGGGCGACCGGCTCGTGCTGGCGGGCACAGCCAGGTCAAGGCACTGAGCGGGCGAACGGCGGAGCGGACAGGCGCTGTGGGTTGGGCGGCCAGGGTGGATAGAACGTCACTGTAGTGTGGCACCGTGGGCCAGGGCGTTATTGACAACGGCTGCGCTTATTCTTTGGCTTTCCGAGCAGAAATTGTGAAGAAAGCTATGTAAGTTGTTAGTGCATCGGCGAGGAACATTATGCATACAGATAAGGCAGTAGTAAAAGCCTTATTCTTCGTAGAAAAAAGCAGAATGGAGAAATCGGATGCGTTGATATTTCGGCAACATATCTTTATGGAGACGAACAGCAGCAGCGTAACAGTAGTAACGGAGCAGTAGTGTAACAGTATTGCAGTAGCGGTTTGAATAAAGACACCCATAAATATCCAGTACTGATATTCGTTTCCATGAAGGTATTTTCCCGAAACATCAACTCTTCCATCTCTCAATTCTCTTGGTTTTCTGTGATGAATAAGGTTATCACTACGGTCTTATCTGAAAGTGTGGAACTATCACTGTCAGAGCGGTTTGAACGACAGGCGGCCACGCGGCCGGAACTGCCCCAGGTCCAGGAGCGGGCCTCCGTGCAGGCTACCTGAGATACCGACCAAAGTGGTACTAACATAGCACGTGGGCATGTGTGACTCAATGCCAAAGTTGCATCGACCATCTCATCCCTTTCGGGTCCATACTCACGCATTCTGAGGCGCAACTTCGGCCAGGTTGCTCCTAGTGCAGTAGTGGACCTCCCTCCAGGCTAGATGCAAGACCGGTCAAAACGGGACAAACGTGGCACGCGTGCACGCAAGTGACGAAATGAGCCATTATTCCATCATTCCATAGTTTTGGTGATTGAAAATACCATTGCACAAGCGATCTTGGCGCTGGCGGCCGGCCGGTCGACAGTTGCCTGAAACCCAACAACGGACCTCCCGGGTAGTTAGGGGTAAGACCGATCAAACTGATACAAACGTAGCACATGTGCATGCATGTGCAAATGCCGGAGCTATACAGCCCGTCCCATCGCTTTTGGGTTCCAACTTGCGCATCATGAGACGAATGCAAGAACGGCCAAAACGGCACAAACATGGTACGTGTGCACGCAAGTGAAAAATGGACTCACGTTCAAAACATTCTATCGCTTTCGGGAACATAGCTGTCTCTCCTATTTTAAACGTGCTTTGAGCGACAGGCGTCCGCCCGGTCGAGTACGCCACATGCCAAGTAACACATCTCCCTGCAGGTTAGATGCGAGATCGCCCAGACTCATGGGGCGGTCTCGGGCTTCAACACGTTGATGGTTTTGAGGAGACGGAAGCGTTCATAATTTTCACAATTCAATATCCGAACCCTCGTAGCAAAATTACGTCCCTGCTGGTCTGGAGAAAGCTGTCTTCCTGAAAAACTGAATTTTCGGCGCCGCCTCTATTTCTAGCTGAGTTGGACGGAAGCCTTGCCACACTCTGTATTCTCAGAAGTGTGAGGGGAGGCCTTTCCGATCCCCGACGCACCCCCACCGGCGCTCCGCTCACGCAGACGGCACGTCCGGCCAGGAGCGCCGCCAGCCGACATTCGGGCTCGGTGGCCAGACACAGGGGTGACACTTTTCAAAATCGGTTTTGAGGAAGGACTCAGCCTATAAGACTGACCTAACATACCCTAACACCCAATTTCTCCCGCATTTCAGCTATTTAAATTGGCTTCCGACGTCAAGGAATAATGTTTTCATCGCCCGATATGTCCAGAGCGGAAAAGGACCCGTTTTCAAGCCCATGTGGTATTGCGGCTTTGCAACAAGCTTAGAACTGTAAATAACTCACAGAAAACATCTTAGTAAGAATGTCCGATATGATCACCAGAAAAAGGTCTCGTATATTGTTCATGGATGGATGTCCGGCTCGCGAACACAGTTTTATGCTGAGTGACTTCCAATGACATGTTCAATCACCAAAAGCGATAGAATGGTCAACACATGTTTCCATGTGTGATATGTGGGCAAACGTGCCACGTTGGTACCGTTTTGGTCAGTCTTGCATACAGCCTGCAGGGAGATTCCTTGCTGGATTTGGAGCAATCAAGCCGAAGTTGCCTCTCATTATGCTCGTGTTGGGCTTGGAGAGCGTTGAGACCGTAGGTACAGCTCGAGTATGTTCACACACATGCATACATCCTCGACACTTTCTCCCTTCTGGCCCTTATTCAGCTTTTACACTGGTGGCGAGCATTCGCCGTACGCAGCGTTTCTGCACTGACATTCCGCACCTGCTCGGGCGTACCTTGCCGCCGCATCGCTGGCTGGGCGGCCGGCGGCGGCCTGCCACCTGGTGGTAGCCGGGCGTGAGGGCGCGGGAAGGCATGTGGTCCGGGGGAGGAAGTGGTTGTGTTTCAGAATATTTCGCCAGGGTATTGAGGTAAACCATGAATTTCTTTTAATTCTCAGGTTTTTTCGGTGTGGTTGTGACAGTTTTTCGTTGATTTTGCAAAGAATTGTGAGCGCCCTTTCCATAGCGTATGATAACTAGGACTTGTTTCTGTGGTCTTGTGCGTACTGCATCTGGCATTGGATTCTTCTGTTGAGTGTGGCATTACTGCAGTTTTAGAGTTCTGAGTGGTGGGTGCATCGTCAGGTGGGCTTAGAAACTGATGATAGGTCATTTTTTTCACGACCACATAATATGTGCACCAAAACAAAGGATACTAAACCAATGGAATGCAGCATGTGCCAACTTCTGGTACATTAGGTACCGTAACTCATGTCATGAGTGTCATGCAACATTATTATCATCAATATAGCATTGGCTTCAAATGGGAAGTCATCCCTAGCATGCAAGCTTTTTTGAACCAACAACTTGCCTTGCTGTTGGTTTTTACATCAGAGTGCCCAAGATTCTGCAAGAAATTGTGATGATGTGGCAGGTGATGTGAACTTTATCAAATTAGCTCAAAAAGTATTTTAGAAAGTGACATGACTGGGCAGCTTCTTGTTTTGTTTTCCAAAATTGAGGAAATATGTCATGATGTGCTGCCACAGAGCAAGTCAGCTTCCTTAAGACCTATAGGGCCTAATCTGACAAGTCTGATCTGAAAAGTGTCTTGGCAGCATGTTAGTCAGCAGAAGCTGCTGCCAATGGACAGCTTGCTTCTCAAATTTGGGACAGCAGTCAGGCTGCACCTGGAGCAGAGTTTCTTATTCAGTTTCAGGAGGGGGAGTGGGCAGATCCAACCTTCAAACAATTTGGGCTCCCTAAATTTGATGTAATGATAGCCTAAATCTGAGGAAAAAATTATTTTTTAGTGTGTGGCCACTGCCAGGAGTGGCCAGATGGGCTCCACAGAACAGCTGCATTTAGAAGATGCCCAGCCTGGTCTAGCTTAGCTCATCTGAGCCCAGCCCTTTGTGGCCCATCCAGCCAGCCGGTCAGACATTCCATGGGAAGGGCCCGCGAATAGTGGTTCATGCCTCGTTCAGTGCCGTCTTGCCAAGTCCTCAGTCTGATAAGTCACACCTGAGAAGTTCACAACTAGTAAGCAGTACTGCATGGGATCTGTTCTGATCATCATCTGATCATCATCTCTGAACACACCAGCTGAGCGTGGCACAAAGCCAAGCCAGCATGAGCTTGTTGTGTCCTACTCGTGACCTTGGTCTCGGCACAGTCTTTCCTGATGGGGCTCGGTGGGGGACCCACTTATGCAGCTGTGGTTCTTGAGCTGGGGTTAGGGCACTAACTTCGGGTACTGGATTGGGCGTCCACATTTGCCGCGTACGAGCGCACTGCATTGCTTCCTGATGTACCAGGCACCCTTGATGCCCATATCCCTGAGCACTTCCATGCAGAGTTTTGTCCAGGCAAGAAGTATTGAGCCTGTGCCAATGATGCCTGCATTTGTTCCCCAAATGATGTTAAAAGATGGACAAAACCTATCACGTAAGAATATGTGGTAGAGGTTTTCTTTACTTGCAGCTGTTGCTGTTTCAAGCAAGCTCGATGGTATGCAAGGACATTGCTATGTATTCGTGCCATCCTAGTCCAAGGACCTATGGCGAGTTCAAAAATAACTTAAGAATGGGTGGCTGGTGACCAGGCAAGCTCATGAACCATTGTTTATCCCTACATGCCTAATAAACACCCACATAGGGACCCACTCCCATGCCAACAAACCCAGCCAAGGTATATGTGGGGCAGTAAATGCAAATATGGTTTGTAAAATCCTGATGTCGATGATGGTGGCATTGTACCAGCCACTTAAACCTGGTTGTGGATAAATTAGCTAACCTTTGATGTGATCAGTATTATATTGAGACCACCCCATCACAAAATGCAGTGCAGTTCGTTGACAATGCTGCACTTTTTGCTGATCAGAACTCCTATGGCATGTTTACTTTCTGCCATTACTTTTCCAGTTGCGGCACAAATGGATCCGGACTTGTTTGACATGTGCACCTACCTGGCGACTGAGGAGGATGCCCTGCAGTTCTGTCGCGCGCACGGGCTCATACCGGCGCCCCGTCTGGCGCCGAAGGACCGGCGGATGAACGAGTACTGGGGCGTCTGTGGCGAGCTGAGCTTCAACCCTGCAAAGCCGAAGTGTCACGGCTCGGTCACCACCACCTGGCGCACGTATGCCAATGGGCCGAAGCCGCAGTATCGCTGCGTGCGCTGCAAGAAGCAGACCTCGCAGCAACGATTACTGAGGCAGGTGAGGTCCGGCGCTGCCGGTGGCGGCGGCACCTTCTTCGCCAGCGTGGACGCCGCCGGCCGGCCGAACGTCAAGGTGTCGAAGGCGTCCGTGCTGTGGATCCTCTACTGCATGATGAAGAAGCTCACCATCGCGGCCACGCTGTCGGGCGCCGCGCACCGCTTCAGCGACCTGAGCGACATGGCTGTGGTCGAATGGCGCAGCTACGTGCGTGAGCTGTTCGAGATCGAGCTGGACCTCGCACCGACCATGGGCGGGCCGGCTGAGAGCGTGCGCATCGACCTCATGCCGTACGTCGGCCAGCCTAAGCACCCGGTCGCCAAGAAGGCGCGTCGCAGTTTGGATGACTTTGCCGGGCCGTGGCTGCTTGGGCTGCGGTGCCAGCGCAGCGGTGAGTTCCGGCTCTTCTACGTGCAGCGGCGCTCGGAGGCGGTGCTGCTGCCGATCGTGTGCCGTCACGTGGCGGCCGGCACCGCCGTCCTCTCGAACAAGATAGGCTTTCGGTTCCTCAGCACGGCCGCTGATCATCGCGGCCCCAGGAATTACGTACATGAGCCGGGATTCCAGGTGAGTCCCAACTACAGATGAGTCGTTGGTGAAAACAGCAGACGGGCAGGGCCGCCCAGCAGCGTATTCGTCTAACGATCGCTTGACGTAAAGTTCGGTGGTCGACGGTGTCCGATGCGCAGGTACAGAGTTCTCACTGACAGCGTGTCGGGGCCAGAGGGGCGCGAAGGGCCTCCGTGGCCTGCTGGATTCTTGTTTGTTTCGGTCAACATCCAAGGGAAACTTTTCGTTGAAGAAGTGCACCTACTGATGTGTGCACTTCTAAGCATGTGTGTCTTACGCACTCTCCCACTTGTGCAGACTTCCTCGAGCCATTGCTTGCATACCACAGATATGTTCAGCCAAGTGTTTAGCAAATGGCACGGCGCACGTGCCTAGTATTAGATAAATGGCTACTGGATATTAACGTAAGAAAACCAATGTACGATTCATTTTTATATTTCTAGTACGAATGTGATCACAGCATTTAGCCGGCGGAACTAGAGGTGGACAGCCCCGGTCCAACTCGTCCGAGTACTAGCGGGCAGGGCGGCATCAGGTCAATGTCTGGTCAGTGCAAAACTAGCATGTCTGTTTCGCAGCTGTTGGCGCGGTGCATACGGATGGGCTGTACTCTAGAGTCGTGGTACTCGTACGAGACTCCCAAAGATGGGTGTCTACAGTGGGCCGTGTAGTGGTCCCAGCGTTCCACGCCAGGATGCGCCGTTCAGGTTGTACTCCCTGTCTCCCAGTGCGGCAGGATATGTTGCCAGGTCCAGACCACTGGCGGAGAAGTCCACAGTGGCATTGAGCTTCTGCCCGCTCTGATCCAATCGTAGCAAGAACTTTTACAGATGCATTACAAGGATGCGTGGGAACCTCTGAATCTTCAGGTTTTCTGGACCACTTTTGACGCCTCTGGCACGTGGTGCCCGTCGGCGTTTCTTCTCCGTCAAGCACCTCTTCCTTAATAAATAGGTCAAAGCAGTCTTGTTGACCCGTCTAGAATGGGATCGGCGGGCTCAGATCCCAGAAAGAGCCGAGCGTCACGGACGCGTCGCCGCACACCGTGCACCGCAGCGTGGACTTGGGCTGTTCAACGAATAGGTCAACGAACTTCGAGCTCTTCCTTGACAGGCAACGGTCCCAGGCCTCCAGCGGTTTCCGGCTGGCACTGAGGCTGTCGTCGATGTGGATGGGTTTGGGCTTGGGTTGGTTGTTAACACGGTTGACGTCCTTGTGCAAACCCTCCAGCGGGTATCTGAGGAGCTCTTGTGCGCCCTGCCGCTGATAGCGCGTGAATGGTGCCGCAAACGGTTGGCATTTTACCTTTAATGGGGACGTGGTCAGCGCCCGGTCAGCCTCATCTGGGCTCTTCCATAGGTCTCGCATTAGCTTGGCCAATGCTCTGATGAGAACACCCTTCACAGCGGAGGTGGTCGTGTCGATCTCTCTCAAGTACTCGTCTCGTTGGATGTAGTCATGCACGGCGTGCATGCCGCTCAAACATTGCGGCACCGTGTTCATGGAACACGTACTGCTGATGTCCCGGGGGTCCCGTAAGGCCGAGCGGCCGGGTCGCGGGCCGCGCCCTACCGCCAACTTTGCTCAAGCTTATGATCCACATGAAGTCGATGGGGAGGCGGCCGGGCCTGGGCAGACGACCGGGCAGGGCTGCCGCCGACTCCACTGTTCAGTACGCGCCCGCTCGGCCTGTTGTTTCGCCTTGCATTCGGTGTTGCATTTCGCCTTGCATTGCTGGGTTTTCCCCAGCTGTTCAATGGAACTGCTCAGCTCATCCTGCAGCTCAGGAAGGCAACACACCGGGCCAGGCTCGACCGGACCGTCATGCCGACTTGGGAGGAGGTGCGGGCCGACACAGAGTGTGTAGGAGGCCCACACGCGGGCGGCGACGAGTTATGCGCTCCATCAATCGGGCTAACGATGTTGTTGGCTGCCTCCGTATGTAATGCCTAGCTCGCCACAGCCTGCTTGCCATTGGGCGCGGGCCAGTTATTTGCGCTGGCAGGTGCGTTGAGACTAGCTGTGCCAAGCACGGAGGCAGCACTACCACGGATGACGGCGATTGATAGCCGCTGCCAGAGCCGGCCAGCCAGCTTCAAGTTGATATCCTGATAGGTTGGCAAGGCGCGACCCCCACTCTCTGATGAAATCCGTGGTGGACGGACCGCGGGAGCATCAACTCCTGCATTGGTATGGCACACGGTAGATATGACGTAGGATTCGGCGCGCGTGTTAACGGAGGTAGCCTCCCAAACTCGCCTGTTCCCCAGGAGCACGGGTAAATGTGAACCCGTCTGGTCATTCGTCGTCACAGCGGTCCAGGCCGGTCAGTTCCAGAATGACGAGTATGCGCAGAGACTGCAGGGCACGCCTGGTGACATCGTTGAGCGCTGCGTGTTGGGGATGTCTTCCAGCGCTGAGACGGCATGTCAGGGCATGGTAACATTCGCTATCTGTGGGAGCACCGCATCTGCAGTGGTGTGGGCTGCACACATCGGCTCCGGCCCTCAATGCCATTGGATGCGCAGCGTCTCGTTGTCAGTCAGTGTACCGAGGTTGGCGGGTGGCAAATGACGATTCTTTTGGTCTAAGATTGTTGTTCACTTCTTCTGATGTGTCACATCATAGTTCTCCGAGAATGCTCTGTGATTTCATGTGACACTGTTGTGTGATGTGTACAAAGTTCAATTTGTATAAAGTGAAGTAGGGCGACTTCTGTAAGCGAAGAAAGAAATAGTTTTCTTTTCTTTGTCACTCTCCCAGAAGTCGGAATCAAAAGCTCAGCAGTCAACACTGCTTGTCGCCATGAACTGACTGATTAACATCTACACGCCGTCGGTCTTAATGCAGAATCTTGACAGTTGTCTTCACCGCCTTGACGAATCATAAGCCGTGCGATAAGGTCATGTTCAGCGCTGTAGTCTAAGCGCTGTCTTCACTCGTCGATGCGTGTCCCAGGGACAGAAGGTGGCCAAGGCGTGGTCCCGCGTCAGGGTGGCCGTCTAAGCGCTGTCTTCACTCGTCGATGCGTGTCCCCAGGGACAGAAGGTGGCCAAGGCGTGGTCCCGCGTCTGGGTGGCCGTCTAAGCGCTGTCTTCACTCGTCGATGCGTGTCCCCAGGGACAGAGGGTGGCCAAGGCGTGGTCCCGCGTCTGGGTGGCCGTCTAAGCGCTGTCTTCACTCGTCGATGCGTGTCCCCAGGGACAGAAGGTGGCCAAGGCGTGGTCCCGCGTCTGGGTGGCCGTCTAAGCGCTGTCTTCACTCGTCGATGCGCGTCCCCAGGGACAGAAAGTGGTCAAGGCGTGGTCCCGCGTGGTGGCCGTCTAAGCGCTGTCTTCACTCGTCGATGCGTGTCGCCAGGGACAAGGTGGCCAAGGCGTGGTCCCGCGTCAGAGTGGCCGTCTAAGCGCTGTCTTCACTCGTCGATGCCTGTCCCCAGGGACAGAAGGTGGCCAAGGCGTGGTCCCGCGTCAGGGTGGCGCTGTCGCACCAGCCGAAGGGCACGTGTGGCCCCACTCTGCCCGGCTACCTGGCCACCATCTGGTGGGAGAGCCAGGCCGGGCCCGAGCCCTTCAACCGCCTGCTGGAGGTCATCAGGCGCCACTACCCCCAGGAGGAGGACTGGGTGAGAGCGGCGGCAGTGTCGCCCGCCACCCCTGCGCCTCTCTCGCCTGCCCGTCCTGCCTGGCTGGGTGCACCCCTGCGCCTTCCGCCTGCCCGCCCTGCCTGGCCGGGTGCACCCCCGCGCCTGTCGCCTGCCCGGCCGGGTGCACCCCTGCGCCTGCCGCCTGCCCGCCCTGCCTGGCCGGCAGGCGGCAGGCGCAGGCAAACTCGCAAAATAGCTGGGCTTGTTGAGGAGCTGCTTAGTAATGGGTGCGAGAGGCGCTGGCTGCAAGCGGAAATACGCGGTGGAAACCGAGGCCAGTGGAGTCGCTGGAAGCAGCCGCCGTCGAGCGCCAGACCTGTCGCGGGACAGAGGCCGTGGCGCTGGCGCCCGCCCTCCCCGCTCTCGGGGGGTGATAGGTGGCGCTAGTCGCGGGAAACGTACTCTTGATCTCATGCGGGCTGGAGTCAACTCCCGTAAAGGGGAGTTTTAGTTTGTGTAGGGAGGCACGTCGCAAAATACCAAAAAAATCTAGGTCTTTATTTGCGAATCCTATTGGGGTAAGGAAAGTTAAATGACCTTTCAGAGTTTCCCGGTCGTGCTTTCTAAGTCCTGTGACCCGGTACCAACGGGCTTGCGCGGTCACCCACCATTGTCGGCGACCGAGTAGGGGAGGGGCAGAGGGAGAGGGGCAGTTTAAGCTTCTGAGCTGATCAGTTACTCGAAGGGCGATGAAATGCATGCCATCAGCAGGGACAAAATGATATATGAATGCGTGATTTTGGCGGCCAGGGGTGACCAAAGGTCAGATATAGGGTGCAACAGATCTTTCGTATCCGAGGTCACAGCAAGCCGTTATTGTTATGTTTTCAGCATGTTGTTATGTATCTAGTATATTGCTTTCCATCCAGTATGTGGTTATGTATCCAGTGATGTTATTGCCATGCATTCACGGTGATGTCGCGGTAAGGTCATATAAGTACAGTCAAGGCGTGGAATGATAAAATAAGGTAATGCTTTAGCTGCGTCCGGGCCATTTTATGCCAGTGCAGTTGAGATGTGCTTAGTGTGCTTAATAACGTTCTTGAGTTATCTGAGTATCAATGGTGGGCCAACTTCAAGTACAAGGTCATCAGAGCTTAAAAATGTCTAAGGTATACAAGCCGTAAATATTAAAACTAGAAAAATACATAAATCACTTCAGTCTTTCTGCAGTCACCTTCGGCCGCCGCTCGGCGGGCTGGTTGGGGATTACACACGCCGGAGCTGGGGATCACACACACCAGGGCTGGAGATCACCCACACCAGGGCTGGGGATCACACACACCGAGGCCGGGGATCACACACGCCGGGCTGAGGATCACACACACCAGGGCTGGGGATCACACACGCCGGAGCTGGGGATCACACACACCGGGGCTGAGGATCACACACATCGGGGCTGGGGATCACACACACCAGGGCCGGAGACCACCCACACCAGGGCTGGGGATCACACACGCCGGAGCCGGGGATCACACACACCGGGGCTGGGGATCGCACACACCAGGGCTGGGGATCACACACGCCGGGGCTGGGGATCACACACACTAGGGCTGGGGATCACACACGCTGGAGCTGGGGATCACACGCTGGAGCTGGAGATCGCACACACCAGGGCTGGGGATCACACACGCCGGGGCTGGGGATCACACACACCAGGGCTGGGAATCGCACACGCTGGAGCTGGGGATCACACACGCCGAGGCTGGGGATCACACACGCCGGGGCTGGGATCACACACGCTGGAGCTGGGGATCACACAGGCCGAGGCTGGGGATCACGCACGCCGAGGCTGGGGATCACACACACCAGGGCTTGGGACCACACACACCGAGGCTGGGGATCACACACTCCGGAGCTGGGGATCACACACACCGGGGCTGGGGATCACACACGCTGGAGCTGGGGATCACACACGCCGAGGCTGGGGATCACACACACCGGGGCTGGGGATCACACACGCCGGGGCTGGGGATCACACACGCCGGCGGCCATCAGACGTTTCAATAACTCCACCCTGATTTTAACCTTTTCGTGCACGTGTCCCGGAGAGTAGGATCTATAGAGCGGCCTGGTTTGGCCCCCTCGAAACCTCAAAATCTATTCGATGGGTTGATTCTATGCGCCGAAAGATATGGACGTCAGGAGTGCGGAGTAACACTCCGTGTCACACACCTACCCCCCTTGGAGCCGAGCAGGAACATAGCAAAATTTCCGTCCAAGAGAACATGACACTAGTATGTACTTGACACTTGGCTGTGTCCCCCTCCCCCAGTCTTTCCCACTAGTGTTACTTTCTCTCCTGTTACGGCTACGGCTAACCTAATTTTCCTACAGTATTGGTGAGAATGCGCCAAATTAAATATAATATTCATGGGGACTCTTCCCTCCCCTCCTCATATTTTCCTGTATTGTATTGTGTCGCATTTAATCGCTCAAAAATCGTTGATGAGGTAGTTTTCCAGATCTTCGGCTCATGATAACGTTCGCTGGTTTCGGCTTGTTTATCACCCACTTACTGGTTACAACACGTTACATTATTATTATTAATGCCATAAAATTCGATGCCACGAAATATGTTTAAAATACGTCATATTATAAAATACGCCAAATACGTCAAATATTACGAAGCATACTGTACCATGCGATACTATATAATACGACAGGATAAATATGGCATGATAACATACGATGCGATGGGGTACGTACGTACGAAGTCCAACGATGAATCCAATGTATGTTTTAAATTCACAACGGAAGGTGCCAAATTCAGCATACACACATAAAGGTGAACGCAAATAAATTGTAAGTACATGGGATCCGCATTGACTTGCAATGATCACACACGTACACACATATGTTATACGACCACACAGGTAGCCAGCATAGCTTAAAACGGACACGCACAGCGTAACATTTGCGTTTTAAAGTGCGAATTTTTAATCCCTCAAGTCAGAGATGAAGTCCTAGTGATGGTTGGAGCCAGGCGGCTCCAAATTGTTGTGCCAAGGTATGGGAAGGCTCGCTTTTTGTTCCCCAATCGGCACCTGGGCAGGTGGAGAGACATTGACATGGAGGAGCGCGTCTCCCTTAGTGAAACAGAAAAACGTTGCTTAAAAATAGATTTGACGGCCGAGGGCAATTCCTGGAGTTTTATTCCAGGCATTTTAGAACTTTGAACACTTTCAAGCACGCCCGTCTCTTTCGCCAGGTCATCAATCCGGGGCCAACCTAGAGATTCCAGAGTCAGTGTTATATACTGGCTGCGTTTCATGCCAGAGACAATCCTGGCGGCAAAATTTATAACTTTTGAATCATTTGCATCTGACGCTTTATCGCGCCACTCCACACACGTAAACAGTAGGATATTGGTGGGAAGTCATAGACGTCGATAATAATCTGTTGCTTTTTGCACGACTCTGGTGACATGCTATTCCTACGAAAGCGTCAGGTCTACGATCAAACCGGGACATTTGATGTGCCATGATGATGAGATAGTCTCTTCATCCATCGCAAAGTGAAAATCAGATATTTTCTTTAAATTATGTTTTAATTTGTAAGAAGAAAGTCTGTTTTTCCTTGTTCGTTTTCAGCGAGTTTGCGCCGAACCAAGCATTAAGTTTGCAAATGGATGTTTCTAGACGATGCTTTAGTGCTTCGAGACTGCTTGTGGGATGGAGCGTGGTCAAGAGGTACATGTGCATGTGATCTGCATCTGCATCATGTGCATCTGCACATGTACAGAGGCACAAGTCATGTGCACATGAGATAAGGCGTCCATGTGACAGGTGACTGGGCATGTCGTTTGTGACTAGGATGAATAATAGCAGACCGACTATGGATCCCTGGGGCACCTGGTTGGTTACCGAGTCATGAGGGACATGAGTCCTCCACGCACCACCCGTCTCCGACCACTCAAATAACTTTGAACCAATCATGGTTCACGCCTTACCACTGAAGTTTTGTGATAAGCGAACCGTTATCAACGCTGTCGAAAGCCTTGGATAAGTCGACAGCGCCTAGCGAAGGTATCTCCCCGCTGTCGACGTTCCTCACCAGCTCTCCGACAGTGTCGAGCAGAGCGTTCTCAGTATATTGACCTTGCGGGTATATATATATATATATATATATATATATATATATATATATATATATATAAGCAAACCGGTAGCTAGCTGTTTGCTTGTTAAAACTTGTTATGGGTGTGAGTGTTGCACCACCATACTGAGTTCTTTGAGGCTTACCCGTCGTGAGGCTAAACAAGAATTTGTTGGCAACAACATTTGGCAACAAACGTGGTTGAATTGATTGGTAGGAGTCTTCGCCTTTGCGGTTTGAAACAGGGCACCCCACGTGCCTGCCAAAGCTGTCCGGTTCTGCGGTGAAGGCACGGTTGGTTCCTGCTCGAGAGATGGACCTGGTGGTCCTGATCTGCACCGAAGTGAGGACGAAACTTAGGATCGAGTGCAAGAGGCTGTTCCTGACCATCACCTACTTTGCACATTAGTCGACAAACACAAATACCAATGATGTGGTGTTCCGCTATGTAAAACACCACAAGCTGGTGGCACGTAATGTCTCGGTATCAGCCGATCAATGAGGCGATGCGGAAAGGTAAACGCATGAGTTCGCTTGTTGGGAGCGAGCACGCATGAGGTCGGTTATTGCAAGCGCGACGTGGAGCAGCCAGCTCGCCTCGGCAAAATGTGGGGTGCTCTGTATTTGGGTGAGCCGCCAGACCCTGCCAACTTCAGGGACCCGTCAAGGACATTCGGCATGATTACTACTTTGTGATCCATATATATGGAAAGTAGCGTTTGGACACGCAAATGACAATATTACTTTTCGTATTTTTGTCGTAGGAATTACACCGGGTTATCTAAACTTGACGGTGTGCACAAACTTTTCTCCTCAACATTGAAAAACGCAGATCGCTGTGTTTGATAGCAAGCGTTAAATGCCGATCCATGATATTTGGCCTCACATTTATCATTGTCAAGGTCATTATAATGCCAGGCGTAGCAGTTAAGTTCCGAATTGTTTTATTTAAGCTTGTATTCGCCAGTTCTAGCCATGTAAATGATATAACCGGCGTCTTGGTTGCCAACGTTGAGGAAATTATTGGTGCATAAAGTTAGTGACCGCGCAGGAAGATTTTCGTCTACAGTACCTCCAGCGTCTGATTTAGTGCCGAACTTTGCAGTACTTCTTATGCCGTTTATAAAACTTCGAAGGTCAGGTTCCGTGCATTCTCATGTCTGCCCCTGTTGTCATCATTTGCTGAATGGCCCTGGCATCACCGTGTGTGTAGTTCAGTCGAGCGTTTTGTGTTTGACCTCGTTAAAATTATATTGGGGACATGCGTTGATACTCGTTTGCACATGCGAAAAAGTGTGCACTGAAAAAAATGGAACCTTTTTCCCACGCTCTATCGAAGCCTTGTAGGTCTGCTTTTCAGGCTGATGTAATCCGTCCGATTATTCGACTGCCCTTTAACTATAAGACTTCAAAGGATGTCGCACCCATGATTGCGCAATATTTTCTGTGCTGCTTGGATCATTGTAGATGAGGGCAGACGCGTACTTTTTGACTTAGCTGGAGCAGAAGCCTTTCAGCTGTCGGTCGTGACCAAAGCCAGAGAGGCGCCTTTGTCGACACGGGACGAGTGGGGCCTCAGCGAGCGCGGATGTGTTCACCACACAGACGATCCCAAACGCCAGCGAATAGAGCACGCCGTCTTCGGGAACTCATCCGAAAAGTTGCATTGAAACTTTTTTGCAACAACTTTTGCAACAACAACAACTTTTTTGGATTGCAGTTGCAAAAGGTCATAATTGCATTGTAGTGTGCTCCCTTCGTGAGTTTAACAGGCTGAGGCGCACTTAACGCTTTGCGCTCGCCTAGCATTCACGCACTGGCTTACCTTGCCAGAGCACTAGCTAGAGCATTGTTTTGTAGTTACGAAAAACTGGCGAAATTTCCACGCCGGTTTGTTACAGAGGGATCGATGAAGTAATGACCTCTGATATCGCTGTGATAAACCAGGTGGTTGGTCGACAGCTGAATAATTCTTGTCGGATCTTCTTTTAAGTCACCACTTCACTGATGTGCCATCACAACTGACATGAAATCGGACAGTGTACTAGCGAAGCATCCGAAAATGTCGAGTACTTGCCGCAGAAACGATAGGCTCGTAATGATTGGCCATTAGGGGCGTCATTGTCAAGGTCACGTAGCGTAGATGGACAATAACTATCGAATGCCTTTCGTAGATGCCACTAGTCAGAACATTTTCCGCCGTCCACGTTTGTAAGCGCTGACGTCGTCTTCTGTTTCGCAGGACGTGGACACTCCTCCCGCGCTGCCAGCGCCGTCGCCGCCGCCCATCTCTGTCGTCAGAGACGCGACAACCAAGACAAAGCAGGAAATAAGTCGGTCCTGGCGGTCGAAAGGACCTTCAAGCGCCGAAGTTCGCTGAGGGCTGTTGTGATGCTGGGGTCCAAGGAGGCTATTTCATTGCAAGGCCCTCAAAAGTGCAGGCGATGAACGCTGCCCATTGTCTTTTGAAACTCAACCAATTGTTGTGTTTGTTGAATGTGATGTGACAATATATGAAGTCAGCCAGGCTAGCCGTGTTGACCAAGAGGCTTGTCCCGCGGCTGAGGGTAAGGAATGACTGTCGCATGCGGCGGAGGAACAAGCCGCAACGAGGCCACGCAGGCACGGGATGTGGTGACCTCCGCCTTTCAGGTCGTCCCATGGCAATTTCCGATGGGCAATGTGTTTGCGGTCGCCCCGTGGCAGGCCCAGTCGCCTCGATTAACGTGATGGCTTGAACCGGTCATGAAGCCTGCTTGTCGGCATTAAATATCCGCAGCTCGTGTTGCCTGTAGCTATGGTCTAGATCGCGCATTACGTCGTCTATTGCCGCCTGACATAGGTACCTGCCGTTTCAATCCACAACCCCCGACCCGTTACGAGCACCATTTCCGTCGCGATCAGCTGGCAACACCCCACGCCAAATTTGTTAGCACCCCGACCTCGTCTCGCCGCCGTCGTTCTCGTCGTACGGCCCACGCCGCCGGATCTGTGTGACGCCGGCGCTCGTGTGCTTTGGGATGCGTGCCGACCGAAGTGGAGCGGGGACCATCACCGGCACCCGGCGCGCTCCCCGCCGCCGCGCGGCATCCCGCCGTCGGCACGTCGCAGTCGACACGTCGGCCCCGGCGACGGCGACGACCGCGCGTCGGTGGGTCGAACGAGCTTGCGCGCGATCGGATTGGGCGACGCTGGCGAGAGCCGTGGCCGGCCGGCGTACCTGCGCGCGCCAAAATAGACAACAATGGGGGGCGACGGCGCGCCGCGCGCGGTCAGCATTCCCGCGCCGGCGCCGGTCGTAAGTTGTCGGCTGCGCCGCGTGCGTCGCCCGCGGCGGGACGTGCCGCGCGGGCCGGCGGCGGCCGTCGGCGCCGATGAGGCTTGGCGACGTTGTCAGGCTTCGGCGGCGGACGGGCCGCGACCGAAGCGTCGGTGGCTCGGTCTTGGCTCGTGTTGACTGCCGTAAGCCGTCGCACTGGTGCGACCTTTGACGACGAGGGAAGCCCTTCGGGGTCGCCTCGCTTTTGATTGGTTGAGCGTGTTCCGACGAGGAAGCCTTTGGCGTGAGGACCGGGTCTGCTGCGGCGGCGGCGGTGACCAGCCCCGATCGACGAGACAGTGGCGGGCTTCACGGCCACTGCGCCATGCCTGTCTTGCTTCCATTCGGACGGAGCGCTGTGTGCTTCACCGCGGACCGACCCCGCGCACGTGGCTCAGGAATGGCTCAGATCCGCTGGTTGCGGCGACAGCTCGGTGGTCCTCGGCCTAGATCTGGCAGATTTGTTCGCCGCCTGTGCTGTCATCCTGCGCGAGCAAACGGATCGGTTAGCAGGCCCACGGCTCACGGAGATCCTGCTTGGCTACGACAGCTTGGTGATCGCAGGAATACACGCCTGGTGACCGGTCTTGTGTCACAATAACAAGCCCCGTCTCTTGGACCCCAGACGCCCAGGGCTTCGTCCTGGTAGTTCCCGTCGGCCTGCGCTCAGCACAGGCACTTGACCTCTGCAATCGTCAGCGACGGCCGTTGCCCATCCGCCGCCTCCCCGGCGCGCCTGTCCAGCCTCACCCGTCGCCATCTCTGCCGACCCCGCGCTCCGCCACGTCCTAGGCCCCGCCGCGGGGTGTCGGCGTGCTGTAAACCGCGCGGCGGCGGCCGCGGGCGCTGACCTGTCGCTACCGGCCGGGGCGGCGCCGTGTCGCCGGCCGGCCCCGGCTATCGACCAGGGCACGCCCGGCTGAGTGATGGGCGAGCTGGGCCGGCGATAGCACGCCGCCGGCGCCGAGCTGTTAGACCGCTGTACCCGCTATCGGAGCCGGTCCGAGTGTGTTTCCGCGGCCTGGCGCCCGACGCCTGCCGGTCTGGGGCGACGATCGGGACCAGACGGACGTGGCGGCGCTGGTGCACGGTCAGGTTCGGCGAGGTGCGCCACCGGCCGCAGTGGACGCCTTAAAACCCAGGTGGATATGCCCGCCGCTCCAGTAGAGCTTCATTGTATGCATTGGTGGGAATATTTTATGTTGAAATTCGTTGGTGGTTATGCGCAAGAGACAACTTTTCAGCCCTACGAATTGTACATGTTCTTTTATCGGGCTGGTCCCGGGCGCGACACCATCGCATCATTCTCTCACAGAGCTGCCTCCCCTCGAAGTTTAAAGAATATCTCTTCTTAGTGGTAAATGATACCGGTGAAGATTGATCGGGTGGTTCGTTAAGCCGCGACACAATTTATCCTGAACATTAATTCATCTGTTTTCCGAAATTGTTCCGCCTGCCATTTGTGTTAAGCCTTGCGCTCTCATGCGATCCGACCCATCTTAGGCAGGCGTCGGCCATTTGCATAGCTTCACTTATCACCTTTCTAGGATGGTCGCAGCGTCGTATCGCAGCAGTGAACAGGTTACGGATGGCTCAATGTATGGCTTGCTTGCTGTAAAATGGGTTTGTACTGCAACGACCATTAACAATGCGCCGTGGTAAAGACCCGTTCGTACTTTGATCCTGGCCATGTCTGGGTTCGGGTCGCGTGATGAGTGACGTGTTACAAGACGTCGTCGCAGCTTTCCACGACGGCGGAGAAATGTGACGGTAGCTGCCTTGATCATATTCATCAGCTGACAGCCTAAGCCCCGTGCAGAGCCACAGTGGCGTGAGTGTTTGCACCTCAGGACCCGAGCTGTCAACCGGCTGGTTGCAGCCGGATAGTCGGGACTATTCTCGGCTGGTTGCAGTCGGATGGTCGGGATTATTCTCGGCCGGTTGCGGCCGGATGGTCGGGATTATTCTCAGCCGGTTGCGGCCGGATGATCAGGATCATTCTCGGCTGGTTGCGGCCGGATGGTTGGGATTATTCTCTGCCGGTTGCGGCCGGATGGTCGGGACTGTTCTCGGCTGGTTGCTGCCGGATGGTCGGGAGTGTTCTCGGCTGGTTGCGGCCGGATGGTCGGGACTGTTCTCGGCTGGTTGCGGCCGGATGGCCGGGACTGTTCTCGGCTGGTTGCGGCCGGATGGTCGGGACTAGCCCTTCTCGGCTGGTTATGCCGATCCAGTTGGAAACATCGGTGTTGGCACCATGAAGACGCCGACCCGGGAGTGGCAAAAAGGGAAACGCGTCCTCAAGAGCGGGGCGGATCACGAAGAGCGAAATACGAATGTCAGGTTACACAATACGTTGTCCGCAAAAGCGTTGGTTTGGGTATTTGCATTTACTGTCCTTTCGACCAGTGATGATTATTTCAGAGCTATGGGACGAAGGAGACAGGGCAGCGGTGGGGCAGGACTAAATGCACCTGGGGTACCAGCCGCCGAGCCCTAGCCCGCGCAGAGAGCCCTCTGTGGAGTATGTGCCGGTCACCGGGTCGGGGTCTCTCCAGGAGGCCTCTCGGCCCACTCGTGGCTGGTGCATGCAGCCTGCCCCGGACAAGTGGGGCGTCGCGAAGATGCAGGATAAAGCAAGAAAGAGAATAAGTGGGCCGGATGCCTTGACATGGTCACGCTTCACTTCATTTTGTTTAAGAAGTTTCAGCCCGCTCATATCATTTCACGCCGAGAAGGAGTAACTAAAAATGGCACCTACGAGCATTCGTATCATTTGAAGCGCGTTTGTACGTTTGAGAGAGCCAAACAAATTATCAAGCAGATGTGAATGATCATAACCTAAAAGGTTTTCAAAATGGCAATTCCAGATTATGTTGACGGCAATGGGTCCGCAGAGTATTCCGTTGTTGTTGGTATTTGCCACATTCAAGAAGAATATGTTTGACTGTAAGAGAACGATCACATGGATGACAAAGGGGATCAGGCTATTGCAGATTTTAATAACTGAGTGAGCTTGGTGTGTCCAAGTCAAAGACGGGTCAACACCCTCTCCAAACGGACTGTGCGGCTTGCTGACGTCCAATGTGTAATATCTGGTTTGATGCAATAAAGTCGAGTTCTGTTGTTTTCTGTCCATTGTCGTTGCCAAAATAGTATCGTCAAGTTACAAATATATATTTTATAGTGGTATGGTCAACAGAGATGGGTGTACTGTGAAGGGCCGTCAAGGCTACCTTGGCCAATTGGCCGGCTCGCTCGTTCTCCGCGATAGCTCTATGGCCTCGGATCCACACAAATATAATGGCTATGTCCTGCGTGTCTGCAGAGAATGATGCATGCTGATGATATTGGCGCAGAGGCGGCGAATCAGGTCGGAGTCAATCAGTGACTGCAAAGCCGCCCTTGAATCAGAGCAGATCACTATGGTCCTGTTCCTACGACTTTGTCGTTCTGTGTGTTGCAAGGAAAGCAATAGTGCAAGTAAACAAGGCCGCAAGGTAAACAGGTCTCTCATCTGGTAGCTTTTGTAAATAATGCGGGTGACATCGTACTGCACATGCGATGCGGTTATCGGTCTTGGAACCATCAGTGTAAGTAAAGAGACAATTGTAATATTTTGCCGTCGTGCGGTTGAATTTCTGTTGTACGTGAGCTGCTGTCACGGAGATTTTAAGATTTGTAAGAAGGAACAATTTGCTTCCGTGGCGTCTACAGTCAGTGAGCCACTATTAAATCTGGTGGCACGGAGACCCGCGGTAGGACGTAAATGAGGCTTCGGCAGGAGACAGTTACACGAGACGCGACCGTATGGTCCGAGTGGCGTTCTGTTGGTCCTATGTACGTGGGATGAATTAGGGCGATATAGGTGTAGATTGGTCAAATAGTTGTCATGTTCATCAGTGTGTATTCAACACGTTGGAGGGCGAGAGGGGCCATATATGCACGTACCTCGAGTGCAGAGATTAGAGATTTCCGCAGTTTTCCCTGCGGGAGCTGCAAAAAAAATGTTTTGAACGACGGGGATTTTGACTTTTTTGTTACCACCCGTGTACTCAACGGAGCCATATTCAATGAGCGGAAGAACTGAAGATAAATGAGGTAGTAATAAGTAATAACGGACAGCGCCGTATCTTGATCCTGAAATGCACCTGGACAAATTCAAACGTTTCATGTTTTTGTTGCGGACATGCGTGACGTGTATG